TAGAACATCTCTGGGACCAGCTGGGTCGTCGTCTTCGGAAACGTCAAGATCCTCCCTTCACGAGGCAAGCGTTGATCGTTGCCCTCCGTGAGGAATGGAATCGGATACCTGCAGTCGATGTGAGGACGCTTGTCTACTCAATTCGACGCCGCATTCGAAGATGCATTGCCGCTCATGGAGGTCATATCCCGTATTGAACGGTCTGGGCCGTCGTCACCTTAAAGTTGTAACCAATGTTGTTGATCGAATACTGGACGAATGACCCCTTGTCAAGAAATGTCCTTGTTGGAGGTCAAGGACTTTGTTGTTGAATTAGTAAATTCGCATTTTACTGTTCTGAATGATAAATTTCTACAATACAATTGTTATTGCTGCTTCAAATTGTGTTGGCCATATTATATCCTAGAAATATCGTTGGTAACGTTTCTTTTGGCCGTCAGTTTAGCTACTCGGTGAACATATCAGTGACAACAAACTGTGAAACATTAAAATATGAAGTACATACACTTCAAAGGCATTACAGTTTACTTTTAATTGGCCTACTCACTTGCGAAAACAAACTGGTTACGTTAACGAAGCCTAATAAACGCACTTGTAAAAACAAGCAGTTAGCACCGTCTCACAAACTTCAGTGAATACAAACATATTTACAGTTTAACCAGGCCGTTTAAAACTTCCAAACTTGACCCCTTGGTCAAAGTCAACTAAATTACATCGGATGTGTTTAATTACTGGTTTGCCTCAGTCAATCATTTACAGGCCGCTGTGGTGTATCTGCTGACTCGGCGTGTAGAGAGTATTAGCATATAGAGTTTCCGTATAGTAAATATCATATAATTTAGGTATAAATTTATATTATGCGAGCCTTTTTCATATTCATTATTCTTAATATAAGACATTTACGATATCTACTTGAGGTAATAATCTCATTATTATATAATGTCATTCTTACAATAATTGATGCGTAATACGTAATTGCACTATCTGAAGTAGCTCCAGAAACCGGATATGAATACTTTCAAGTGAACGGGCGTAATATATTATTTTGTCTCAAATGATTTGCAGCCATGTCTGTCTACAGTGAGTGAGTGAGTATGGTTTTACGCCGCTTTTAGCAATATTCCAGCAATATCACGGCGGGGGACACCAGAAATGGGCTTCACACATTGTACCCATGTCGGGAATCGAACCCGGGTCTTCGGCGTGACGAGCGAAAGCTTTAACCACTAGGCTACCCGACCGCCCCGTCTCTCTACAGAAACACAGTGGCACAAGGATACATGTACTAGCAGTTTAATGAGAAAGAAGTAATTGCATTGGTGTAAGGAGTTTGAAAGTAGTTCCTGCTAGGTGACCTCATTTGCATATTTATCGGAGTTCATTGTATCAATAACTCGCATGTGTACATGTGTTTGTTTGTTAGTTAGTTTGTAGTTTAACGCCACATATAGCAATATTCCAGCTATGTGACGACTGTCTGTAAATATTCGAGTCTGGACCAGACAATCCAGTGACATAATGAGCATCGATCTACGCAATTGGGTACGATGACATGCATCAACAAAGTCAGCGAGCCTGACCACCCGATCCCGTTAGTCGCCTCTTACGACAAGCATGGGTTACTGAAGACCTATTCTAACCCGGATCTTCGCTGTACTGTTATCTTTGTACAGTTCGCGTGGTTCTCGCCACTGGTGTCCTCCGCCGTGATATTGGGAAAAGCGGCGTAAAACCATACTCACTCACTCATGTTGTACTCGTAAATTGTCCTGACACCTGTCAATTTCAACAATTTCAACACTTTACCATGAAAATGTTTCCGTGTTGGGCCAAGCCATTCAGGTTGAAGAGGAAAGGGAGCGCATGCATACGTCACCATGTGACCACATCCTCATATTCGCTTGTGAAATCTGTGTACCTAATTACAGCAGTGTGATTGGACCATACAAAGAGTATTTACAATCTCTTCAAAATTGACACAAATCACACGAACGGAAATATCAACTGTCAAGCAGAGCTCAATTGGCTTGGCCATATCACCGAGTTAAAAATCAGCCAGGCTGCTCACTGTAGCCCACGTTCTTCATTTCAGTCGGTTCTTGGCATCCTCGATTACCCAGGGTGTTACAACTACTTCTCTCTTAAAAACCCTGAACCCAGTCGTCAACTTTGCCTCGGGGGGCGACATTATCTCAGTCACTCAATAATCAGCACATCATTTCTCACGTTCATCATTATTTTTATTGTATGGCTATTTTTAGCATCGTGGTTTAAAAACGAAGCTATGGTATAGCTATTAGGTCCAGGATTATTATACTGTATATAATATACACTGGACAATTGAGGGTGTTCGTGAAGTGGTTCACATTTATTTGGACATTAGTATTTTGCTACATAAGTAAGAATCAGTGCTTGCGTTCGATTTCAAAACCATGGACGACCCTGATGAACCTACGTGGCCAAGGTATAAGTTTGGTTGACCAAGATTAGCATGTTAACTCACTGACTTCAGTTGCCCGAAGTTGCTCACACCTACTGAACCTCTAGGATGCTGTACTCTGGTACTTTCAGGTGACCTCATCGTTAAAGATAATTAGTTTTTTATTGTTTATTTGTTTGTTGTTTAACGCACTCGGTGATATTCCATCTATATGACGACGGTCTGTAAATAATCAAGTCTGGACCACACACCATGAACATGGATCCACGCTATTGGGATTCGAAGACATATATTTTTATTGATTCAGTCATGAATAACATCACTTAAATAAAGATGACTGACTTGGCATTAATAGTATATTTGTATGCTGATTTTAACTTTCGATTGTTGAGAATAAATGCTTTTAAAGCAGTAAATGAAACTTTGATGTTGACTTGCATCTCTGTTCGAATTTCTACGCGTTGTTTCGTTTTTCCTTGCCTGGAAAACGTCTGAGACCTGCATCACTTCGGGCTTTCCTCCAACATTAAGCTGAAACGCCGTGATATAACTGGAATAATGTTAAAAGCAGTTGTTAAACCCAACTCACTCACTCACTTGCCAGGTTCTGTCCTAAGTTATCCTAGATTATATACTAGTATTAACAATGGTTAACACAGGTTGAATCTAATCTACACTGGTTGCCAGAAATGTGATAACCTCAGCTGACGTTAATCTTGAAAATCGAACGAACAGTGTGATTTATGTTGTGCGGTACAAGTGTGTTATCTATAAGTGACTAAGCATTTACTAATTGTCTCAAATAATGTTTGGAGAGAGCTCTGTAACAGGACTTCTGGTTTAAAAGGAAATTGAAACTGTTAGAAAATAATCAGCTACAGTTAACGTTGAGAGTCAAACTGAACTTCGCACCATATATTCACATGGAAATAGTGTCGATGACTAAGCGCAAAGTGTCAGTTATTAATTTATAGGGTTTTACTTTCGGTAATTAATAGACAGGTTTAAGAGTCTTGCAAGCATTTGTTTCAAAGGCAATTTTAAACCTCTTAGATTTCTTTTGATGGTGTTTTTTTAATGTACAAAACTTTTCATCCGGTAAACAAGGAAGTATTGGCTACAAATATTAAGTAGCAGCAAGCATATTCAAGGCGTAGCAAGTATTTTCATCGGCGTGTAAAGACATGCACTTTTCTAGGTCAGTGTCATTTATCTAATGTGCCTGAATATACGTGTATGAAAACAAATGGAGTTGTAAGTGCATAATCTTGCAGCGACATGGGCCGAGTAAGTGAGTGAGTGAGTGAGGTTTAACTCCGCTGTTAGCAATAATCCTGCAAAATCACGTTGGGGAATCACCACGTTTGTAGAGCCCCTACACCTAGAAATGCTCGGAATTGTATCGATTTTCATGGGCGCTGGCCTACAGAAAAAGCTCATATCACGGACGTCTGTTGGACGTCGGATAGCAGGCATGGGAGCTTGAGGAGTATTGCCGGTTATAGCTATTTTCAGAGAGGTTGCCTACGTTCAACATGTCAGAGAATATCAATAAGTTACACACGTAAATCTCAAGGTGTGCAGTTTGTTGTGTATCCAAGCACGAACGCACTTTTTTTCAGCAGTTATAATTAAGATTTGTAACTAATGACATACCCAATAACCGACACTCACTTTACATGCATGGATCCCGTGAATATCCTGGTTAGAATTGGTATTCGGCAACCCATGCTTGTCGTAAGAGGCGAGGTCGGGTGGTCGGGCTTGCTGACTTGGTTGATGCATGTCATCGTATCCCAATTGCGTAGATTGATGATCATGTCAATCACTGGACTGTCTGGTTCAGAATCGATAATTTACAGATTGTCGTCATATAGCTGGGGTACTGCTGAGTGCGGCGTAAAACAACAAACACAAACAAAAACAAACAACTTGTACATGGAATACTAGGCAGACATGCTTTCCGTCCTGTGCAACGTCAGATATATACAAATCAACCATCGATAGGGATAATCAGCTCTTGTGGGTACCACCAAACACGAATTGAGCCTGGTACATTACAACAGACAGATTTGCTTATATCACCATGCAGCCCTATTCCTCCTTCCCATCCAGCCTTGCTTATGTCACAGTCACAAACAAAGTTAAGGTCAGGTCAGCCACATTGTGACCAGAATTGTACCTGAAACTCTATCGTGTGTTCATGAGCTGCATATTTATTACATTATTTATTACATTACCATTTTGCTAGTACCCTTACTTTGATATGGTCCAGATTAGCAAGGTTTGATTGTGCTTGCCACATATAAGTAATTATCCTTGGTATTTGTTTGTTTTTAAATCAATTTTACACAGTGTAATATTTATTACATTAGACCTGCCAGCTGGAGAGCGAACTTGAAAGTGTCAGATGAAGGTTACTTGAGTTATCTCCCTTCTTTGTCGCCATAATCACCACCACACAACAGCAGGGCTGTTCCAAAAATGATGTTGTATTCTGCATTATTCAAACTGGGCCATCTCGCCATTGAAACTTATAACATAGAACAAAACAAAAAGATTTCTTCATATTTTTTATCTGTATCTATGCTGTAAAATATGTATAAACATGTTTATTTCAAAAAGATCATATCAATAAAAGCGGGGACATAAACCAGCCCATAAGCAACAACAGGAAAAAGAGGACGGAGTTAGTGTCCAATATGGAGAGACACCTGGTTCATGGTTAAAAAAAATAACATTACATTTTTTATTAGTCATTGCAATTAAGGCATACAATAGAAAATACATATATAATCTGTGTAGACATATAATAAAACACATTTTATTAAGAAATCTTTGAGAGCATTTGATAATCAATGTAATGCTACCTGCGCACCACTATTCAGGAATTACGTGAGGACTTTAGATATTTCAAACAAAATTGGAAATAACATCATTATAATGATCAAAATATTTTAAAGAAAACCAATAATGCAAAGTCTGAGGTAATTATTTAATTTTTGATTTTGTCAAATTAACAAGAAGTTTAAATCAAATCATTGTATATATCAAATATGTCATCCTACTGCTAGTATTGTCTGTACTATAATGCTGGAACTTTAAGTAAAGATGCCATTAGTGAAATAAATTCAAACAAAATGATTAAACCAACCATTCGACTAACGTGTCTTTGTCACCAGAAACAAAGCTTCATGTAATCATGTAATCACATAAACATAATTCATAATGCTGTCAAAGTTCCAATATGAACGCAACAGTATGGAATGTACACATAGATATCACAGTGGCTTATCACAGTCTCATGTTTCAGTATAAATAGTCATATATGTATATACAAGTTCACACAGGATTCAAGATGATTTCTCTTCTTCAGGTTGTCATTTCATAATTGTGAAGGTCATTTTATTCCCAGTACACACCCACACAGCATACAAATATGTTGATTTCCTTCTTGAAAATGCTTTCCATAAGATAAATCAATTTGACTTTGATAACATTTATAAAACAACTGTCTGAATTGCAGATCTATCTGACATCCATGAATGTTTTGTGGAAGGGTTATTGTTCGGTGTCTGGTTCTAGACGGGGTTCGTTGTCACTGATCAGGTCAAGAATCCGTTTCTTGTCCATTTCTAGTTTTGCAAGATTTGATTTGGCCTGGGTAAGTTTCCCAGATGCAGCCTTCCGGAGGCTGTCATGTTTACCGCGATCCTTGCTTCCTCCTTTCTCAGCAAGTTCCATCTCTGCCGTAATTTCGGTCTCCAGGGCTCCGATATTTTCACTGACTTTCAGAATGTTTTGGTTGACCTCAGCAAAGTCAGCACAGAGATTGTCATACTTGTCCTGTTGGTTAATAGCAAAGAATAAGTGAGAATGACTTTTAAACTTTTAGCAATATCCAAGCAGGGGATGTGCTTCACACATTGTACTAATATGGGAATGGAACCCAGGCCAAGGGTGTGATGAGCAAACGCTTCAACCACTAGCCTACCTCATCACCCTAACAGTAAAGAAGTTTGATTAATCAATGCAGTGAGAAATTCAAACTAAATGATATAATATTTTTTAAGAAATATTTACTCTAAACAAGTAGGTGAAATGTCCACAGAGGAAAACATCCTAGTCAGACAAATTCAAATTTGTCATATTCTGTCTTGAAAATAAACATGAAAAAGTTTCAGTTCAAATATCATTTTGAAAAGATAAACCAGCACTATTCCAGCCATTGATTGACCAGGCCTAGTTCCACAAGAAGCATTCTCAAAAAGTTCTGCTCACATGAGTGTTATCTTTGGTGTCGTCAGTGGGAGTTGTCTCCCCTTGATTGCCCATGCTATTGAAGACTGTATTGTAGAGGGCAGTGCCCGTCATGTTGGCCATCATGAAGCTAGGCGGGACATGCCGATTCAGCACTGTAGTGCCTACAAACATTCCATGAAAGCATAACAGAAGTTGAATAATAATTAATTTAATAAATATGAAACTGTTCATTAGTGGCATAATCATAAATTACTTTAACACAATCTGACTCTCACAAATGGGGTTTAGCTTTGATTATTTCACTTGAGATATAGTGATGTGCGTACATGTGTGTGGCTGCTTGTGGTAGTCTGTACTTATGTTGTGTTCCAGTGCTAGCCCACTGAGATACCAGTTTAACATGGATACAAACACATCATACTGACATTATATTGATACTGACAAGAACCATCTTTCAACATATTTTGGTATGCCGCCACCCTCCAATCTCTGGTCAGATGTTCGATGCACTACACCCCAGAGGCAGTCGTGAAGAAGTAAACAGTATAAGGGGTTCCATGCAGTAGGATGACACTGACCTGCAGTGGAGTACTTTTGGCTGAGCTCCCTGATCCTCCTGTTGACTGCGGGGGTAGCTCCCTGCGCGTCTGCCTGGACCATCTTGTCTTTGACACTTCCCAGCATGCTCTGCAGTTTGTTTGTCATCGAAAAGTTCGAATACTTGGAAAGTCTGGGGACAGGAGAATGTTAAATCTCAGTAAAAATGATATAGATGACTCAACATCTTTTTCTTATATTAAAAAAGAAAAAGTATTTGAGTATAACTGACATAAATATGAACAAAGATGAATGTTATATGATGCTGGTGTCATTGGAGTGTGATCATAAGATTCTGGCATGAGGAAGGGACCTGCCAGTGAATTTCAGTGCCATCTGTGCCCCTCTCTGGGTATGATGTGTCTAAACATTCGTACATCAAAAAGAAACAAAGACTCTTTGACCCACCTGTCCTCAATCCTGTCCTGTGTAAAGCGCAAACCCTGGGAGTCTACAGAGGGGAGGAGTTTCACCTCCAGGAGGTCCTCCACCACCCTGGACTTGCCATCCTCGTTGTGGTGGTTGTTGAACAGGTTCTGAAGCATCTTCTCTGCAGCCAGGTCACTGCCAGTGTTGGACTTGGAGAGGGCAGAGGATGATCGGTTGAAGCGAGCAAAGAACAGGTCATCACAGATGACAGTGAGAGCCCGCTGGTATTCCTTCACGAACGCTGGGTTAGCATCATCTCGTAGGTCACCTAGGATTGAGAATCATTATGAATGATGTCTATATCTCAACACAATGGGATTTTTTAAGAGTTTTACTGTTTCTAATCGTTACACAAGCAAAATATTTATTGCTACATGTGAATAATGAATACCCCGTTCGACGTAATAAGAGCCCGGCTCTAATAACCGCCCACAGCAATACCTGCTAATATATTGGCTAGTGAACAATCCCAATTAGCACCCATTCCGAATGTCACAAGTCACAAGACTTATTTATTCGTGTATAATACACACTCGTTTGTTATATGCACCCTTAATTATGGGCAATTCCATTCTGGAAAACATATCTGTCGTATATAATCCACACAGTCTTTTCTTTTGAATCATTTCAGGCTGTCGGCATAAATCACGAAGTTATGATCTTTCAACTGTTTTTTTCTCTCACCAAAATAATGTTCTAATAATAACCCCCTATTTCTAATTTTGAGAGCACCCTGGGCGCTTATTACGTCCAATACGGTATCTACTAAATATATTCAATGACTGTTGGTGCACAATGTCACACAAACAGACAAGCAACCAATATATACCAATGAACAGTACAGATATGATTTGATTGAAAAAACTGTTTAAGTCACTTTCCAAAACTGTTATGGGGAACAGATTGTTGTTGGTACAATTAGCAACGATCAACATCCTCAGAGTACAATGACACATAATCCACCTGGTCATACATTGTGACAACCTGATCTGGATTTCAGTCAGGTCTTGAATCCAACATACATGGGGTACTGCACTGAACACAAGGAATTTGCTTCAGAAGACACATACCTGACTTGACATGGGCAAGACAGTGCACCATCACCAAGATGAACTCTCCCACCGAGTCCAGACGGGCTGAGCGAAGGTACAGTATACGGTTGTTGGCATCAAAGTGAAACGAGTTGCGGTACAGGTTTCCAGTGAGATGTTCATTGGCTGGGATCTTGTCAGCCAGCAGGATGGTGACTGGAGCATGGTGACAATGGCGACCTACTAGATCAGCAACGAAGCAGCCGAACTTATACACAATGAAAGACCTTGAAGTGACCTTGTTCAGGTCAACTGGTTGGAGTTCCTTGTCATTCATCCAGTCAGCATCTCTCGAGTCCAAGGACGTGTCTCCTGGAACAGTCATACAATGTTTGCCGTATGCTATATACCCAGAAGTATCATGGGAAACAAGAGGAAGACAAAGGTCATATTTCTTAATGCAAATCATTGTATCGCATCAATCACTCATTTCGTCACTAAGAACACACTGAACCCAAATTTTTAAAAAAGCAGGTTTTGATTTCTTCATTTTTTTCATGTGTGACTGCATTTGTGTCTTTGTGTGTGTGTGTGTTACTTAAAGAATCAATTTTTGTTATCAAATATTAAACTTGTGTACTACCTGGTGCTGGTGTGGAAGACTTCCCTCCATCAGCCAGAGTCTGCTTCATGGACTCCAGCTTTTTGTACAGCGGCGATGCCATAAGCAGACTCATCAGCTCAGCCTCATTCAGAGGGGCAGCCATGTTGTACGTTTCAGGAAGTGTCTCAGGCTGGCTAACAGGGGCAGAGGTCAGAGGTGTCATTTCCTGTGGAGGTGGTGCAGAACTTCCCACTGGGTCCTGTCTGCTCAACAGGTCGATGTTCAGTGTCTCTTGTAGAGTGAGCATCTGCATTGGGGATACAGGAATAGTTTAGACACAAATTCCTTCAGTACATGTCAATGTTTACATTTAACAAGTTTATTGTGATACAGCAACTATTTAAAGTCCCTATTTTCAAAAGAAACAATGAGCTCTTGGTACTACAACAGCTGAATGTTTGGATGGCGTCAAGTTAGCATCAGCCTACTAGGGCTGGGAGGGATAGCTCGGGTACTCGGGTTGGGTGGGTCCTGAGTAGGTCCCAGGTACCCATAAGACTACCCAGAGCCGTGGTTAGTCATGTGATATATTGTTAATGACAAAAACTCACTTGTGCCAGCCCTACACCCTACTTACTTCATCAGTCTTGAGTCTGTCTCTTTCACTCCTTTGGCGGGACTCAAGGTCGCGCTTCTCCTCGCGGAGGTTGTCCTTCACCTCCTGCTCCTTCTTCTTCAGCTTCTCCTCCTTCCTCTTCTTGATCCTCTCCTGTAGACTGGTGTTCATCCTGAGTCGGTCGGCCTCCATCTTGTTGAGGAGAGACTGCAGGTCCTTATCATGCTGCTGCATGATGCGTTCCTGCTCACTCTTGCTGGCTCCGTCGTTCTTCAGGCGTTCCAGCTCCTCCTGTAAAACATGGATCAAATGTGTGAGTGAATGCTGTTGAACACTGTAGTCCCAAATATTTGAGCTGGAGGCAGAGATGGAAACAGTGGTTTATAGCATTAGCAAGAATTCACGATGTAACTTTGGGTATGATGACCCCAAATTGTAATCCTCTTTTGAAAATTATGGGATACTGGGGATCTATCCTGACCGAAAATCACATGGAAGCATGCCATCTACATCCATGTCAAACTGACACTCGTAATAACAAACATTTTTTATGCAATAGATGCATTCTATTTGATTCCTGACAATTGACAATTACACTGATTCCCCAATTTCATACATGAACCTTTTGGGGTCTCATTTACATATTCCACTGATGCTGACCTGCATCTTCTGTTTGCGTTCTTTGACCAGATCCTCCTTCCTCTTGTTGAGTGAGTGGATGTTCTTCTCATGTTTCTCCTTGTCTCGTTTCGTCTCCTCCTCCAGTTGTCTGGCATACTCCTCCATCTCTGATTCTAGCCGCTTCTTCTCCGCCTTCTCAAACTCTGCAACATTCGGCGATAAACTGCATATTTTGTACCCATGAGCAGAAACAAAAAATAAAATTTGGGCAATGACAGACTTGAGTGAGTGGAAACATATGCCAGGCCGCAAAATTCCAGCTCTATCATGGCAGCATTTGGACCATCAAACTAGTGGATTGATAACACATCATTAGGTGGTCACACATTGGTGGTGTGTTCTTCCAATGGGTGACCTACATGTTACTTTGGATGCATCAGGGACAACCTCTCTGACAGTGTTTGCCCACTCCCAGTTTCAGTCAAGTTAGAAGAGCATGAGATGGTCAGGTTACTATATATTTCTTTTACCCCTGATGCAAATACTGGTCAGCTCTTATAGCTGGCAAGTACAAGGTGCCAGGATATTAGGGCTCTATTACACAGTTACACATATATACAGTGGTGGAGATCTGTTGCCCTATGAACGTCTGAGGACAAAGTGAGGACCCCCGAGAGGAACCAATTGCCTATACACAGTTTATTCATGTTACGACATGTGGTGCAGATCTGTTGCCCCATGTAGGTTTGAGGACAAAGTGAGCTCACCCTTCTGCTCCTTCTTGAGGCGTTCCTCCTGTTCTCTCCTTTGGTCGTCAAGCCTCTGTTTCACTTCCTCCAACTCCTCGGCAGCCATCTCAGCCTGACCTGCATCCTCTTTCTCTGGGGAGTATCTTTTCAAGGCCTCAGCGAACTCCTGCAATGCATCATTTAGTCAATATACTTCACTGACAGCGTCAGAAGAGGGACACAAAAAGAACATGATACTGTAACAATTTCAGGATTTAAATGATATTTTTTACTGGCTCTGCAACATTTTTACTATATACATATAGCTGATTCTACCTTGTAGTGCTTCTCTTTCAGGTCAAGCTGTGCCCGGGCAAACTGCACCTCCCAGTCTGCAAGAGCTCCGCGTTCAATCTCTTTCTCATCTGCTGCCAATCGGCGGTCAAGGTCAGACAACTCCATCTGTTGGCGATTCAGTAAATCAGCTCGACGGTCCTGTAGCTCCTGGGGGCCAAGTCCTTGATTCTAAACAATGCAGGAGACAAATGGTTATACACCTAACATTTGGATTTCATTTTGAAATAGACCCAAAGGCTATAATGTAACACATCTTCAAGCCAAGTGAGATTATGAACAGACTGCCTCATCATCTGTGATCTGGTTTCATGACTACTGCTATATACACACAAGTGTGGGGAGTGGCTACGAGCATGCATGGCTTTAAGCACTGACAATTTCCGATACATCATCAGTGAGAGTGAGTTTGATTTTAAAAATCCAACATTGGGGCTGGGACAAGTCTACTCAGTACCCACCCGACCCGAGTACCCGAGTTACCCGTCCCAGCCCTATCTGACATATATTTATTTCTCATCCCTGGTGTTTTTTATCAATAATTTTTTTTTTCATTTCTGTGTTTGCTTGCGAGAGTGGGTTTTCCGTAATGTCACTCACACACTGCATGAGGCACAAAGGGGCTTCACAAACCTAACAACAGGTGCCATTACTAGAATGTTTACAGGAAAGCATACCTGAAGCTCATGGAGCTCGTCCTGGTGTCGTTTCAACATGGCATCCCTCTCGTTGTCGTACTTGTCATGTAGCTTGCTAAGTGCCCCATCAACTATCACCTTCTTCTTGGCATCAAACTGACTCTCCAAGTCACGCAGCTCCTAAAACATAACAATTGATAAAACATGTATTGTGGCACGTGAATTAAGGGTTACACAATTAAAGTAGTATTTCAAGTCAGTTGTTTGATGCAAGGAAGGCCCAAAGTGCTCAGTTACCAAGGAAACCATGAACACACATATAGCCAATAGGGATCATTATCAGGGTTAGTCTGTGATTCGAACCCAGAATCAGTGGATCCTGGTAGCAAAGGACCACAACTCTGCACAGTGAGTCAATGTAACCATGCACCATTGTCCTCCTATATGAACAAGAGAGGTGAGGTAATGGGGTTTAATGATGTGTTCAAGATTATGTAACTTACGTTGGGATGTGCAAGCAAGTGTTGGTGTGTGACTGCTTCTACTAGCCCAGACGAGGTGATGTGAGGTGAAATGGGGTTCAACGTCCCATCCAAGATTATTGCACTTATATAGCGACGTGCATGTACGTGTGTGTTTGTACTAGACTGATGCCGATTTATAGTGCTAGCTCACTGAGATACCATGCCGCAGTTTAACATGAATACCCCACTCAGACACAGTATACTGACTCCGAGCCGACCAGCCCTTGTTTTAGCCCCTTACTGCCGAGCGCCAGACAGGGTAACAACAAGTACCATCTTTTAACAACTTTTTCGTATGACACAGCCGGGAATCGAACCCTGGACCTTCCGCTCTCAGGGCGGGTGCTCTACCACTAGACCACGGAGCTAGTGCTAGCCCAGACGAATGCCAGTTTTATAATGTTAGGCAACAGAGATGCCATGGAGCAGTTCAACATCAAATCCCAACTCAGACACAGCATAATGACTTCAAAGTACTATCATTAAGCGTCTTTTGGCATGTAGAGGCCAGAGGATCAAACCACCAAACTTCCACTCTCTGGGCAGACACTTTATCCACTTGACCATGGAGGCAGTCCCCTTACGATCAGGATTGAGTGAAGCATGATGAGTAGAAACACAAATAAAACAAATCTTGTACTTCTAGCATTGATTCTTATAGCTATCAACTATGCTAGGAATACATCACTGAATTGTAAATATATGAAATGAACAACTGATATCATCTGTGATATTCATGCAAATAATGGCAACGCCAGACATCAGGTTCTGAAGTTTAAAACTTTTGAATATATGCTGTAAATACCTAAAAATCTGAGCATGCCTGTTGGCTCGGACAGCCATGATGACCTACAAGACCTGAGCGTGCCTGTTGGCTAGGACAGCCTTGATGACCTAAAAGACCTGAACATGCCTGTTGGCTCGGACAGCCATGATGACCTACACGACCTGAGCATGCCTGTTGGCTAGGACAGCCTTGATGACCTAAAAGACCTGAACATGCCTGTTGGCTCGGACAGCCATGATGACCTACACGACCTGAGCATGCCTGTTGGGTAGGACAGCCTTGATGACCTAAAAGACCTGAACATGCCTGTTGGCTCCGACAGCCATGATGACCTACACGACCTGAACATGCCTGTTGGCCAGGACAGCCTTGATGACCTAAAAGACCTGAACATGCCTGTTGGCCAGGACAGCCTTGATGACCTAAAAGACCTGAACATGCCTGTTGGCTAGGACAGCCTTGATGACCTAAAAGACCTGAACATGCCTGTTGGCCAGGACAGCCTTGATGACCTAAAAGACCTGAACATGCCTGTTGGCCAGGACAGCCTTGATGACCTAAAAGACCTGAACATGCCTGTTGGCCAGGACAGCCTTGATGACCTAAAAGACCTGAACATGCCTGTTGGCTAGGACAGCCTTGATGACCTACAAGCGTGAACATGCCTGTTGGCTCCGACAGCCATGATGACCTACACGACCTGAACATGCCTGTTGGCCAGGACAGCCTTGATGACCTAATTGACCTGAGCATGCCTGTTGGCTAGGACAGCCTTGATGACCTAAAAGACCTGAGCATGCCTGTTGGCCAGGACAGCCTTGATGACCTACACGACCTGAAGATGCCTGTTGGCCAGGACAGCCTTGATGACCTAAAAGACCTGAACATGCCTGTTGGCCAGGACAGCCTTGATGACCTAAAAGACCTGAGCATGCCTGTTGGCTAGGACAGCCTTGATGACCTACAAGCGTGAACATGCCTGTTGGCCAGGACAGCCTTGATGACCTAAAAGACCTGAGCATGCCTGTTGGCTAGGACAGCCTTGATGACCTACAAGCGTGAACATGCCTGTTGGTTGGGACATCGTTGTTGACCTTCACAAATGAGCATGTCACAGAGATTGACCATAAAATCCAATTTTGCCACCTCTTGAGACAAGCAATAGAGTTCTGAAACCTATTCTCATCCAAGTTTCATAGGGTGTGCCCAGCATCACCTGAACCACCCACCTGGGCATGTCTGTTGGCAAGAACAGCCTTGATGACCTTGTCACTGTCCTCTTGACCATTCTGGCGGATTCCCTCCTCGATTGCCTTCTGCTCTACAGCCTTCGCCTGTGGGTGATACCAACAGTAATAGGACAATTGTTTTCCCAGCAGTAATATTTTTCACATATTTGCAATCAAGTAAAACTGAATGGCAGTTAAATATTACCAATTGCTGACCTATTGTGAAATATTTCTCCATAGTACTTGACCAATATGCAGCCCTGAACATAATAAACCTAGAGTGTACATAGAGCAACAGGGTTCCAGAGTATGGCAGTAGTACCATAACAGCTGTGTGCCAGTGGGAACAAGCTCTTGTTCCACGGAGCTATCACAGAACTATGACTGTTATTATTTATATACTTTAACATGGACTGGGGACAGTCACAACTCCCCCATCTCATTGTCCACGTGTGGAGGCTGTTCCTCATGTACCTGTTTCAGTTTGATCTCATCCACTTCCTTCTTCTGTTCCAGCATCTCTTGGGTCATCTCCGCCTCCTGTTTGCGTCTCAGCTGATCCATCTTACGCTTACGTCTGTGTGCCATCTTCTCCCTCATTGCAAGCTGTTGGCGGTCACGCTCTGTGTCCAGGCGGTCTGCCAGGTCGTCCAACTCCTGCTGGTGTGAGGCTAGCAGCTGGAACATAGCAGATGGCTTACATCACACATAAGATAGACAGTACTTTACAATAGATTCTTGCTGGTGTGAGGCTGAAAGCTGGAACATTGGAGCAGACGGCTTATAAGATACATAACAGAGACAGGGAATCTTGACCGAGTGCCTTTTAATATCAAATATATCAACATGAGTTGATAAAAGTGGAAATGTTTTTTTCCACTTTTATCAATGAGTGTTGATATATTTGATATCAAAAGACACTTTTATTTATCATCCAACATCATTCTTCAAACTTTTTCAGTTTGTAGACAGTAATAAGCAGTGTCTTAAGTGTAAAAAGTATTGCTAACAGCTTCAGTAACAGAGCCATTAGTGATTCATTTGATTCTGACGTCATGGTAACCAATGATGTCACAATGGTCTGCAAAGCATTGTGATGTAATTTCATTGCAGCGAATGTACAATGTAGATACAGCTTGATCTCACCCAAGCGATATCTCCTGTGGGAACCAGATTTGTATGATAAAGTACTCTATATTCTAAATCCAACTCCTTCTGACAAAGATACCCACATCTGTATGGAAGCTTGTACAGATCAGACAGTACTAACTGAGTCAGCAATAAGTGCAACTGTGTGGACCAGGAAAGCCCAGTGGCATACAGATGCACAAGCAACTACGTGTGAGTGTATGTCAGTTCACATACATGTGTAAATGAACTCACTATGGCAAGATGGTCGTAGCACATATCAGAACTAGAATGTATTTACATGGGAGGATGGCCATATACACAGAGATCTGAACTTCATACTCCACTCAGGATGGCAGGATGGCCATATACACAGGTGAACTTGAATGTACTCACTGCAGCAAGTTGTTCTTGACTCAGATCCGACCGAGCAGCTGCCTCGGCTGCCAGCTTGTTCTTCCTCTCATGGAGGATCTTCTCCCTCTCCGAGTCGAGGTTGTTCCTCAGGTCCTGCTCCTGGCCTGTTGCTTCTTGTTCTAACTTGGTTCCCAGCTGCTCACGATCCTGCTTCTGCCGCTTCCGCAGCTCCTCCTTGGCCCGTTGCTGGGGAAACACACCATTAGCATCAATACACAGAATTCACATTTCATAAAAACAGTGATTGGATGTTTTGCAGTTTAGCAGTATGCCATCCATATCATGGCAGGAATCACCACAGATGGGCTTCACATTGCATCGAGCAATGAATGACCTAAATTCAGAATTTTGGATAGGTATTTTTTTAATGAGTTCTTAACCATTCAAATACGTATACAATGGCACTGATCACTAACTATATATGAGCTGATAGGAATAAGAAAGAAGGATAATAACTTAACCTTTGCCACTCTGGTATTATTAATGCTGGTAATAACCAAGTCCAGTAACGTGTCAACTTGTATTCACCTGTTCCTTCTTGAGTGCCTGTTCCTGGATGGACTCTCCATACTTGACCTCTGGCATGTGATGGAGGTCAGCTCCAGGTGTCTCTCCCGTCCCCGAGCCGGCTTGCTTCATCTGGAGTGTCTGCTCCTCTACAAACTTCTGGGCTGCACTCTCCTCCATTCTTCTCTGTGCATCCCTCAACCGACGAGCACGTCTTGTGGCTATTCTCGCCTGCAAGAAGTACAGTGTGTCATACTGAATACCCTCCTTGTTCAGACATAATGCAATGTAGCAATGTGTTGTAAGAGGAACTCCACATGGTACTTGATATAGACACTAACACTGTCTTATTACTTCAAAAATTGGCATTGTGATAAAGTGATTGGTGAATGGTAATAAATCTGTAACATTTGAAACAAAATACATCTTGTATGTCACCTGTATGTCACTGAGCTGCCTGTTCTTCCCGCTGGTCATCTCAGGGTCCCCCACACCCCACGTCCCACCCACCTGTATGTCACTGAGCTGCCTGTTCTTCTCGCTGGTCATCTCAGGGTCCCCCCACACCCCACCCACCTGTATGTCACTGAGCTGCCTGTTCTTCCCGCTGGTCATCTCAGGGTCCCCCACACCCCACGTCCCACCCACCTGTATGTCACTGAGCTGCCTGTTCTTCTCGCTGGTCATCTCCATGTCCAGGGATGCCAGTTCCTGCTTGTAGTCCTCCAGCATCCTCTGGACAGCCAGCTCCTGACCTGGCAGTGTATGCTTGTTGATCTACAAGTAGAAAACATTGTCAGTAATGATCATGAAAACAATGCTCCCCAGCATGTCTACACCAATAGGCTTGCCCAAGTGTGATGTGATGATCCTGCCTCCACTGGATTCCTGCTGTCATGAATCTAAGCATCTTATTCACAATAGTACTTGCCACACAACCCTCTAGTTGACTTGACCTCTCTATTTCCTCTTTTTTCCTTTCTAGCATTCATTTACTGAGATTTGTTTCATCATGCTACCAGTAATTGAAACATGAAAATGAAAAACGTTCCTCACGATCTGGGTTCAAAGTCAAAGGTTCTGCTAACACACCTGTTTCAAAATGTCTCTGTGAATGTCTTTGAGTGAGACTGTGTGGTCTTCATCTATGGCTAGTGTAGCTTGTCTGATCTGCTCATTCTCCTGGGCATCCAGTTCTGCTTCTGCAGCCTCACGCTCCTGGCGATGCTGTTCATCCAGGGACTTCTTCAGGCGGTCCAGTTGCTCTGGGTTGCCACCTTGGATCACCTTGGTTGACAGCTGCAGTGGGAAGAAGGTAAAACTTCAAACATATACATTCTGACACATCCTTGAATTCATATGTAGATGTATCTTATGATTGAAATTCATGGAACAAACATTCCGAGAGTGATATGGATGACAAGAAGATGGTATCCATACTGTCTAAGATTTATTACCAACATTCACATCCTCAATGAACAAGATATTATTTATAACATATTTCACCTCAGCCATTTCTCTTTCTTGTTTGTCTCTCAGATTGTTAAGTCTCTGTCTGCGCCGATCTGCCATCTTCCTCCGGGTAGTTTCTATCTGCTGCTGTTGCCAGTTCCTCATCTTCTGTTGCAGCTGTGCCTCCTGCTCCAGCTGGGACTGCAGCAGACGGTCAACCAGCTCCTCCTGCACCAGCTTCTCATCTCCCAGTGATTTCTACACAGGATGTCAAGTTGAAAATCAAAAATAGATTTCTGCAGGCAAATGATATCCATCTTTTTCATAAATTGTTTTTTTATATGAAAATAGGTAAACAGCTTTTGTCTATGAACTTCTGATTTGATACATCATGATCCAAATAAATGGGAATATGTAATATCTTTGTTGTTATTTGGAACAGTTCTTATTTGTAAGGGATATACAAACCACACATTTTAATAAATAAATACAGAAGATGCAATATCATCCAGTGGAAACTTATGAAACACTTACAAGTTTTTGCTTAATTCCCTTTGACATCTTCTTTCGATGTATGTCAGAGATGGCCGGCACAGCATCAGACTCAGACTTGGCCGATCCAGCCATCTCCTCCGAATGAAGTGTGTTCATCAACTCTTGTTCTGTCTTCAGTTTAATGTCAAGGTCATCTGCACCATCTACAGGCTTTGGCAAGCCAGCTTGCTCTGCCTTAAGGACATAGATGAGAATGAGGATCAGAATCAGGTCATTGATAATTATTTTGATAATTAATTCCCAATTTTTCAGAGCCCTTTTCCTAAGAATGATGATGTAAAAACACTTGAGTTTCAAACTGGAGAATGATATATATGACATCACCAGACCCAAGGATGAGATTTCTAGCACACAAATTCAGGACTTCAAAAAAAGGGTTAAACTTGGATAGCATGTAACTTCTAATGCAATGGTTGAGGGATTTGGGTTTAATACAGCAGTGATGGATGTTCATTGACATGAAGTCACATTTATGAGTGAGAAAGTCCAAATAGTGATGCAGGTTTGGAGGGATTTCATATTTTCAAGACCCAGTATCATAATAAAGGAAATCAGAACATATTCAAGTAGATCCTCGGGAAACTGTAGGGAAACAGGTCTCCACAACATGTTGCAGTACCTCAGACAATCTGGAACCTACCATGCCACACAAGGACAACCTACCTCCCTCTGATGCTTTTCTCTGAGCATGCTTTCCCTCTGTTTACGCCTCTCGGCAAGTTTGTGGCGAAGACCATCCAAGTATCTGTCCCTTTCCTTGTTGTGGGTAGCCAGTGCAGCCTCTAGGTCACGATCATGGTTTGACAGGATGTCCTTGACCTCCGAGTCCTTCAGATCACCTATAGGGAAAGGAATATCTTCACAAACATATTTCAAAGTGCAAGCTACCCTTTCTTGTTAATGATGGTATTGTGCTATAATCAGACAAAGCAAAATTGTGATTGCCATGAAAGTTTCAGTGACCAAGTCAAATCCAAAGCCTAATTTCACAGACAGATGTTCTGAACCTGATTCAGTGACAATGGTCGAATACAAGCACTGACCCTGCAGCTTGACCGCCAGCGCCTGGCTGAGGCCGTCCATGATGCCACGTCTCTTGGCGTCCTGGTCCTGCAGAATGTTGTCTAGAGCTTCCTTCTCATCCTTCTCAAGGTCACGCTCCAGCTCCATCTTCTCACCATTCTGGCGCCGCAGCAGTTCCGCCTGATCCTGAGTCGTCTGCACAAACACATAGATAATGATTTAGACATTTGTTGGGATTTCTAATGGTGAAACTAATTTGCTAAACATGACCTAAAACCATACTTGATTGTTATTTCAGCATCAAATCCTACATACAAGTACAAACAAATTGAGTGAATACTTATTTGTGTGTTTTTTTCTGAAAGGAGAATATTCCAGTCGAGGTCCAGCATGAGACACTGAAAATGGGCATCACACATTCTACCCATGTGTAGAAACTCAGGTCATCCATTTGATGAGCAAACACTTTAACCACGAAGCTACCCAACAGAAACTGTAATCCTATTAAGCATCTGAGAAAGACAATAGAAAGCAGTCACTCAACTTAGAACTGTTCCTTCATGGGTGAGTGAGTATGATTTTACACCACTTTTAGCCATATTCCAGGCATGCCATGTCAGGGACACCAGAAATAGCCTTCACACATAGTACCCATGAGGAGAATCCAACCTAGACCTTCGGTGCTCCAAGTGAATTCTTTAACTATTTGACTACCCAAACACCCCCAAGCACTCAAGGCTTTGCATGCTTCACTCCAGATTGTGCTAGGTACCTGTGCTCCTCCTGTTCTGTTGATGTTGAACTTTGAAGTGGAGTCCCCTGCCTCGCCTCGCTGCATCCTCTCCCACATCTCCCGTGACATCGGGATGTTGCCCGAGTTGAGCTTGTCCAGAAGCAGCTGCAGAGCCGACATCAGCTCAGACTCACGTGTGTGGCCTGGAATCAAACAGTCAGTGAATGAGAGATGGGTTCCACTCCAGTTGGTCAGTGCATGTCAGCTTATTGGGGGAGAAAACAGACTGGGTAGGGTGCTGACAACCCAAGGATCATAATCAAGGTGAATCAAGGTTAATCAAACTTGAACCAACAACCAATACAATCCTGGAATCTACTGACAAATCTACAGGAAGATCTGCACCTTAATCAACTGTGGCTAGTTTCATGTTACAGGTAGAGGCATGCTAGTGCTTAGAGCAATATCATTGCTTAGAATGAGTGAGTTTCACAACACTTAGAACAGTATTCCAGTAATATCACAGCAGTTCAGCTTATTTGGAGGTAAGCCCGAAGTAATGTAGGTTTTAGGCGTTTACCACTTTGGTGAAACCCACAAGCATGGGTATAGTGCTGACAAAATTAGAACCATAATCAGGGTGAACCAGGATTTGAACCCATGATCATAAAGTTCTGGCATGCCCAAGGGATGCAACGCTGCACAGCGAAATACGGCACATCAGATGACTGGGCTGGTTAAAGGAACTGAAGACTTCTGCATGGTGAGTGAACAGAAAGACCACTGTCTTCATACATTTACAAACAATAGACGATGTCTGTGATTGAACTGTTGATGCTTGTCACTTTCATTACAATTGAACTATTATTAATTGTTCTACATATGTATTCAACTTCTTACCAAATTTATATTTGTTGTGGCTTCCCATGTTGATGTTAGCGTTGACCACAGTGGGGCCATCACTGGCACCCTGCTGTAGTCCTTCTCTCTCCATTCTGCCTCCACGATTCTGTTGGCGACGTTCGAGATCGGACAGTTTGTCTGGGTCAAGGTTGTTTAGGAGTTTCTTCAGTTCATCATTTTGGGCAGAGATTCGGCTGTAGAATCCTCTCAGGTCCTCTTGTTGCCGTGCCAACTGTGATGCCATATGAAGGTTCTGGTCCTCAAGCTTGTCGTACAGAACCCGGACATTAAAGTCCTCCAGTTCATGGTCTTTGCGGAAATCTAGACAAGAAGATTAGGTATTGAACAGGTTGCAACTTATCCCATGTTACACTTTTGTGCATGGTCATAAACATACATGACAAATGTTTGACGGCATTCCAATTCCAGTATGACCTTACCCACTGAAGATCCTGAAGAAATTTCAGCTCCATCTCCACTTGGTCGGGGTCCAAGATGACCACCACCACACCTGGAACAGTTTTCAGAATACAATCCAAATGCCAACACAGGAAATGCATGTAAAATACAAACAGAACAAAAGTTTCAAAAGATTTTCACAGTTTGTACTTTGACATTTTTATATGATTGAAGTATTGCTGAATATATAAAAAATGTGATATCCTAACCAGATCTTCTCATAAAATGTCCTTTATCCAGAAAACACATTGTTATATTTTGTATATGATAATACAAAGAGATACATTGTAAGCATAATAAACTGACACAAGATATTTGATGAATTTCCTCAACTACAGTGAGCTCTTATTAAGTTTAAGTCATGTGAATCTAGAAAATTGGATTGATGATATTGCCAATCAGGACCTATATTTATTCGGGTGAGTGAGTGATTTTGGTTTAAATCCACTTTGAACAATATTTCAGCTATATCACAGAATGTCAGTTTTATGTGGAAGGAGAGTTGAAAACTTTTGGAACCTTTGCTGGCATTTATATTGGGTTAGCAACAAAAAACAAGTTAACGGTGGTTTACCACCTTGGTGAAGCATGACCTTGGAGATGACAAACCAAGAAACAACAGGGTGAATCTGGGCTTCAAACCCATGATCATAGGTTCCTGGCATGCCAAAGGGACACAACTCTACACAGCTTATTGTGATGCCCCTGACTTAAGATGAGTGAGTGAGTATGGTTTTACGCCGCTTTTAGCAATATTCCAGCAATATCATGGCGGGGGACACCAGAAATGGGCCTCACACATTGTACCCATGTCGGGAATCCAACCCGGGGCTTCAGCGTGACGAGGGAATGCTTTAACCACTAGGCTACCCAACCGCCCCTCTGACTTAAGTTAATGAGGTTTCAGTGTAGACTTTTTCTTACTTCTCTGGCCAGTGATCCACATCATACCGCATATAAGATGGCACGGGAGGTGGTGCTCCCAGGCTGCGATATTTGGGCTTCCAGTGTTTCATGGGATAGATAATCGAGTCCCTCGGTTTCCACACCAGCACAGCCACAATCAGGAGCACCACACATGCTCCGAAAAAAGCGATGAGACCAATGATGAGTCCCCAGTCGGGTGCCTCGTTGGCAACGCTCTGCTTGTACACCCCCATAGCTGCGATGTTGGCTGGCGTTGACGGCAGGATGCGAGACACGCCATTGGGACAGGTGGTGCCAGCAGCCTTCACTGTGATGATAATCTCACTGTAATCAGAAGCAGTTGAGTGATAAAACAATGCCTGGGATGCCTGGGATGAGTCCAACTATACTACTTGCGTACCCCACCCGACAGGGAGTTGCGAACAAATTGTCCAAACAGGAATTCTTTACCACAGCCCTGGAAAAACTATTTACATACACGTATAAAACAATCTGACCATGCATACACTGAAGCTGAAGTTTTATCTTTACTCAGACACACAAAAGTCAGAAGGAATGTGTGCACTGTCAGAAAGAAATGCGAACATTAGTGACTTGTGGTGTAACCATGGAGTTTTATTGCTATTGTCATTAAACAGTATATCACGTGACTAACCATGAGTCTGGCTAGTCCTATGGGTACCCCTGTCCTATTCAGGACCCAGCCGACCCAAATACACGAGTTACCCATTCCAGCTCTAGTTAAAACCTTGAATATACAAGACATTTGGCAAGGAACAGCTAAACCAGTTTTTATGTTTAAAAAGATGTCCTGAAAGTACTGAATTTTGAAAATTTAGTGTCTCTGACAAAAATGCCAGGCACTCATGAATATCAAATGTGGGTCTCTTGATTCAGTCATGGCGCTGACCTGTCTGGTTCCTGTGAATCACTGAACACAAATATCCCAGCCTCAGTGAAGACATGGGCGAAAGTAGTGACCGTGACATTAGTGTTGGTGACCAGACTGGCCATCTGCGTGAAGGCGCCGTAGTCAAAGGTGGGGTTGGTGTTGTAGAGATGGTCCTTCTGGTACACCGGGTAGTGGCTCTTGGTGCGGTCAGTGTCATTCAGCCAGATCTTAAACATCACCATGTCATCCAGTTCCAGACAGATTGCTGGGTTAGAGATCTGATTGGTTGGGACAGTGGTTGCTAGGAGACGTCTTCTGCTGGAAGTAGTGCCAGCAAGCACCTCCTGTGGTGTTTCTGGAAGAGTATCATCATGATTATAAATATGTAGCAACCTGGTTAACATCCTCTGCAATTTATGTGTAATGTTGGGTATAGTATACTACTCAATGTTTCACAGGGATACTTACACACTTCACATATACAGTCAAGTCTTGTTAATCCGACACTCATTAATCCGACAATCGGCTTTATCCAACACTAATGATGGGAACCGATGAAATCAATGCTATTTAGACCCGTTAATCAGACAGTCTCACACTCCGACTCCAACACACCTAATTTGCAAGGAATTACAAAAAAACTCATTAATCAGTCTCGTTAATCCGACACAGTGATAAGCGTACTTCGTGGTTATTTGCCCGCGAGTACACAGCCAATGTTTTGATGCGAGACGTGTTGGCTGGTAGCTGCATATTAGAAAGCTTCAGAGATAAACTTTTCTTAACAATAAACAATTAATGCTTTAAATAAAGAAAACACGATTAATCACATGCTTAGATTACAATCAATCTCATTAAAATCAGATAAAAGTTCTCACTATCGCTGAGGATATCCCATTACAGGTCACGTCAGACGAACCTTTCGCGAACTATGACCTACGAACCTTGGTACTACTTAATTTCGTTTACCCCGACATACTAATTTGTCCGACATAATCATATGCAACCAGCCATGTTGGATTAACAGGACTTGACTGTACATCAGTTTGGTGTATCAGTGTGAACATCCTTATCCTTTACTGGGCAAGGATATATTGGTATGCAACTTGGTGTAGATACTAGGGCTGGGAGTCCAAATTTACAACCCGGGTACTCCCCCTTTACCCGACCCTACCCAGGTACCCACTGTAGGTCTCAAGAGTGGGGTACATAATGTCCGATTGGGGATTTTTTCCCCGGAGCTTTGGCGAATGCTTTTTACATACACACATAAATGATCAGATCCTGCATACACTGAAGTTGACTGAAGATAAATATCTTTACTCAAACGTATAAAAGTCAGAAACAATGCACGCATAGTCAGAAAGAAATGCAACTAAAGAGACTTTTATTGTTTTTGTATTTAAACAATATATCATTTGACTAACAATGGGTCCAGGTAGTCGTGTGGTAACCTGGGTCCAATTCAGGACCAATTTGACCCGAGTACCCGAGTTACCTGTCCTAGCCCTAGTGGATATATTGGGTAATTATGAAGAGTGTTGTTATGCTATTGAGGTTTTGAAAATTTTCCTGTGTAAATAATTGTATGCATGCAACTCAAAATTAATTGGGGAATGATGATTTATTCTGAGTTGTACCACTATTGCAGTAGTATTGCAATAATGCTGTTACTTTCATAACATACAAATGTAAACAAACTAGAGTGTCACATATATCTGGATGTAATGGTCTGTGAACTCACTGAACAGATCTGCAGCCTCGGACGAGTCACGGAACAAGGATGCTGTCACTCGGTCGGCGAAGATGGTAGCAACAATTATTGTCTTTGGACCAACACTTGTCTCCAGGGGCCCGTATGTGTCCCGAAGAGGCTGCAAATAATTCAAATTTGGGAATTTTAAATGACATTAGCTGCAAACTTGGGGCCGAATATTGGCCTCTGAGCAGGTCTAGATAAACCCTGTCTTTAAATAGACTTACCGTGATGGTGACGTTTCCAGACAAGGGGTCAACGATGGAGACTTGAATGTAGCCTTCTGCCGTGAGTTCCCCAGTTACAGTTGGTGATGTATCCTGCCGACACTGCTGGTTACAGATCTCATCCGAGTCTGTGTACACGTTACACTGACATCTGCAACATCACACAAAATTATGTGGATTTTTATAATTTCTTTGCATATTTTCCAACAGTATAGGATAATTATCTTTGAAATATTATGCATGCCATTCCATTTTCATATCTGAGTCAAGTACTTTATTATTGTATTATATTTCACCATATACTTGTAAGTGAGATATCTATCAGTGAAATAAGTTTAATATCTCTCCTGAGTAATGATAAACTGACAGTCCCTTTACAATGAAGTGATAGTTTCAAACAGTGGTTGATGGAATGTCCTATATATCCAGTACTACTAACCTTCCAAGGTCTACATGGAACACTCCATTACTGTCGGGACAGGAAGTGCTGCAGTCATATGACTCTGGAGTCACACACTGTCTGGTATTGGCTTGACGGGTTTCGTACTGGGAGCACCGGCCATCAACAATCTGCTGACAGTCCTCATTACCATTGCTCAGAGAGTTCTGTCTGTCAACTTCATTGTAGTAGATGAAGCCTGAGAGACACACACAGGACCCATCCGACTCCTGGAAGGATCTGTACAGGCCGTTACAAGTACATTCTGCACTACCCACAGCAGCCGTGGAGGAACTCCCACAGGGTCGACACGCCTTCTGACCCAGGAGATTGTTGTAGGTGTTCATGGGGCAAGGAACACAGTCACCATACTCGTCAGCTCTAGACAGCTTGCCGTACATTCCCGTCGGACATGGGGTAGGTTGAGCAGATCCTGGTGGGCAGTAGGATCCTATTGGGCAGGGGTTGGTTGTGCCATGGCCTGTTCCTATTGGGCAGTAGTAGCCACCTGGACACAGGTCACACTGACGTCTGTCTGTATAGTTGCCGTAGTAGCCTGCAGGACAGATGCGACAAGATCGGGAATAGTCGTATCTGATTCCTGTGTGAATCTCTGCCATGTGACCAAGAGGACACGTTAAGGTCATGTTGCTTCCTTCGGGGCAGTAGTACGGGTACTCGCACAGGATGGGGGTGTCGGTTCCGGCGGGGCAGTAGAAGCCGGGCCAACACAGGGGAGGCAGTCCAGTTGTTCCATTACAATAGTGACCAGGTCGGCAGTCAATCTCAATAGAAGCTCCCTCTGGACATTCGTATGTCTCCCTGCAGGGGATGCCCATCGTGTTGGACGTGTCATTGGGGCAATAGTAGCCTGCTCGGCACTGGTCGCAGTTCTCTGGAGCGTCGACACCTGGCAGAGCTTTCATGCGGCCAGCTGGACACAGGCGAGGCTCGTCTCCCTCCAGACAGAAGAAACCAGGGGGACAAAGGTAGTCGGAATAATTAGCCATGCCTGCAAAGCAAATACAACGGTTGAAAGCGGGAAATATAGGCTCTGGTAGTGTTCAATCTGCCAAAGTTTGGACCAGGCAATGCTGAATTAGGTAAGTGAAACATCTTACTAAATTATTAAAATAAGATCTTAGTGCTCTCTACCACTACACACAGATCTGAGCTAGGACATCCAATAACAGGTTCCATCCGAATGAGATTTCATCCGACCAATCAGAGCGTCGCATATGAGATGTAAAGGTTAATATGGGGGATTCCAGACAAGCTGTTCGATAAAACATTTGAAAAAGAAGAGACCTTCCATTGCACATGGGAAGTACTAACATATCAGACATCTATTTGATATTCAAGAATTTTCTTTTGTTCACTTTTCAAATTTGAATCGAGGACTGTCAAAATATTTTTTAAAGCGAAGTCTGAAATGGAAGTTGTGACTAATGTCAACTTCCTGTTCCACTAAGATTTGATTTTAATGAGATCATACCAGTTATGTTCTGTAAACATTATATGTAAATAGATACACATTTATATAAAACAGGAATATCATTGCCATAATTTGAGAAATGGTATTGAAAGTCTAGTTTCACAACAATAGTGACAATACTCCCCCTGTGGCACCTGTGATAGGCTTGACATTGTGTGCACATTTAAGGAATTGATGCTGTCAAAGACAAAGTGAGAAAGGGATTTGAATCTGGGGTTGCCTGTCCTATCAACGAAGATAACAACAGTCTCCGCCATCTACCTGTATGGTTGCACCAGAATCCTGCTGGACATGGGAAACACTCCGTAATGACCTTTGCCCCAGTGATGTTGCGGAACGTGAGGCGAGGACAAGGTGTTGTTCCGTTACCCAGGGTGCAGTAGAAGCCGATGGGGCAGGGATCTGGGTCAGCAGAACCTAAATTGGGAAAAACATGTTTCATGTTAATTTCAGGTAAGTTTTATTGAAAAATGTACTTGAAAGTTTTACTAATTTAACCAAAGCTATTTCTTAACAGCTTTTAAGAGTAATTTTGATGACTGTTTGGAAAGATTGATGCAGACACATTCCATTAATTAATTATTCAAATTTGACAGATAACAATGACCATATTAATTAGAACTGGTAAACTTACAGATTTGCTTAGATAAATTTCAGAGAAAGCCTTAACTGATTGAATCAGTTAGCTATTATGACAAGCATTGGGAACTGGGGGACTATTCTGTTGTGGAATCCCAATGCTGAGAATATATTCTATGAGGTCTTACCTTCGGGACACAGGAAGCCAGCAGGACATGGTGCACAGTCATTCTCTTGGGCAGCGCCAACGGTGTCTCTGTAGGTGTCTGCTGGGCAGGGTGTTGGGTACAGCGTCCCCTCAAGGCAGTAAAACCCCCGTGGACAGAAGCCAGCACAAGGATCATCGGACACACAGGCATCATAGTCTAGGGTTTCGTTGGGCATGGTCTTAGGGGAGCCAGACTTGCAGTAGTACCCTGCTGTACAGTTGCCATAGAGCTGGCCATTCCTGGAACCAAAATGTATGTTTCAGAACATGAACATTTTACTGTCATATGTAACACAATGGGCAAGGATACTGTCGATAATGGATTCAGCTGTAAATATAGCTGACAATCCTGACAGTATTGTTACCAGGCATGTGCTGGCAGCAGGCAGGTATTGATATCCTGACAGGAGTGTTACCAGGCAGGTATTGATATCCTGACAGGAGTGGTACCAGGCATGTGCTGGCAGCAGGCAGGTATTGATATCCTGACAGGAGTGTTGCCAGGTATGTGCTGGCAGCAGGCAGGTATTTTGGAAACTGCTTCTGTTCCCATTTTTCTTCCTTGAATGAAATACTCCACACAGATTGTCCTTCCACACATTCATGATAATGCAAATTGCATCATCAGCATTTAATCGCCCAAATCATTCAATAGTTTGATATAACTATCACAGACCTCCTCATCACATATTATTATATGATGGCAGTTTGAAAATAATCAAGACTGGACCAGACAATCCAGTGATTGACATCATGAGCATCGATCCACGCAATTGGGATATGCTGACATGCATCAACCAAGTCAGCGAGCCTGACCACCCGATCCCATTAGTCGCCTTTTACGACAAGCATAGTCGCCTTTAACGGCAAGCATGGGTTGCTGAAGACCTATTCTGCCCCGGATCTTCAGGGAAGTAGGGAAGGGAATACAGTACCTGCAATATTGTCCTGTTTCACACGCCAGACAGTCGCTCTGTGACCTTAGTTTCGTCATGTTGTCGTAGGTGAAGGTGCCGTTGCCACAAGGTATTGGGTATGCAGTGCCTAAACATGGGGAGAAAACATCAAACATTGTCTATATTACCTTCACCAAGAAACATGTCATGTGTATCAGTTATCTTAATATCCCATAAGGACTATGGGTATATGGAAATTTATCAAACGTTACAGAAGAATGAATTCAAGTATTTCACACAATACTTCCCTACCTTCTGGACAGTAGTGGTACTCGGGACAGTCTTTGCGTTCCCCGGACACCGAGCTCTGACAGTAGGACCCAGCCGGACATGGGTCACAGAAGTCCTGGCCTTCATTCAGCTGGTACTGACCAGCCGGACAGGGCGTTGGGGCTGCAGATCCTGCGAGACAGAAGTAGCCCACGGGACACACGAAGCTGGTCGGGTTTGGCACAAGGGTAGTGTCGTTTGATGGGCAGTAGTAGCCTGTGGCACAGATGCCAGACACTTCCGTCTGGCCCTCGGACTCGCAGTAGAAGCCACCTGGGCAGGGTCGGCAGTCAGAGGCAGCACCGCCACCTAGAGCATGGGAGGTACACATAGCATACGTTCATGGCTGTAGCATGGAAACATTATTAATATTTATGTCATTTTGTGACTTCACTCCTAAATAATAAGAACAAAATAACAATCTTCCTGATATCATTTACTAACATTTACAAGTACCTAAAAACATTTACAACTGTTCACAAAAACTTTCAAGATTGATAAATATTTTAACAAACATCATATTTACAAGTTTGAACCTGCTTGTAATTATCATAAATATATTCTATTTGCTCGGCGTACAGAACACAAGAACACAGCCATCGTTGAAAAATCTTGTGAGTTTGATATCCTCTTTATCCATTGGTACTAATACACAAATTTTGAGAACCACCTAATAATGCCTTTTGGGCTCATAAATAACAGCCAAGTTGGTTTGTGGAATCACCACCAATTTTATCTTCATGTTGTGAAAGATATATCTGGTCACCAAGTATAAGAAAGCTGCGACTGACCTGTGGTGTTTCTGATGGTTCCTGCCGGACATCGGATCCTCATGGTCGTCCCCTGGGGGCAGTAGTGACCCGCTGGACACACCCCGTTGTTCTGGTAGGTCGGTGTAGGCGTCGGCACGCTGCTGTTGGCGCCACCTTCACAGTAGTACCCAGCTTCACACTCACCTGGAATAGGATCATGCAGGTGATTCAATGAAATAGTAATAACCATACTATCAATAAACATCCCAAACGTTTTAGAGCTGGGATGTTAAACAATAGAAATAATAACATTAGTTGCACTTTGATCCCTTTTAAAAACATGCATTGCCCAGACTTTCAGATATTTAATACAGTGGAACCCTGAAAACATATAGTGACTCTTACCCTCATGTCTTATGATACCAAATATATCAGCACTAGTTGAAAGTCTTAACTCTGAGTCTTGCGGAGGAATTTTTAACTGTTATTGACAAGTGTGGATATATTTGATATCAAAAGACACTTGGTTCAGATTCTATTTAACATCCAAAATCGTTCTTCCATCTTATTAAAACATTTTTTAACAGTAGTAACCAGTGTCTTAGGAGTAAAATGTTTAGCTAACCAGCTTCAGTGGCAGAAAGATTAGTTGTACCCATTTACTGTGACGTCATGGTAACTGATGATGTCACTGTGATGCAATTTCATTTTAGTGATATATCCTTGGAAGCAAGTTTTGGATGATAACATGGAATAACATTACGGTCCAAGTGGAATTCTTATCAGCACAAGAGTTGAATATTGGAACTTGACTTGTCCAGATCTCCTGACAGCTCAGTACATTATTGACATGCCCTGAGAGTAAATGAAAGAGAAGGTTTCACTGTAGAAACCCCGTACAAGGGCAGGAAGTAGTGGCTTCCAAAGACTGAGGTGGTGTACCTGAAGGGTCTATATTGCCGTTGCCAGCACAGTAGTGCCCAGGGGGACAGTCGATACAGTGAGACTCGGCGAACATCTCCGTCTTGTTGTTGTAAGTCCCTGGGGGACACGGCTGAGCCAAGGACCCAAAAGGACAGTAGTAGCCTGTAAACAAGAGACAGTGACATGTACATGTTAACAGTCTTCATCATACGTGTCCTCGAGACACATGGGACCCTTCATTACGACCAATGACAACTTCTTCCATAATACATCAAGCACCCACCAAAATCCTTTATTTATCATGATCATTATGAAAACATATTATTTGTGTTTGTAATTTGTTATATGGAACAAAAAGATGAAATAAATGCACATAGTAAAACTAAAAGATAACTACGAACATATGAGGTTTGATATATTGAAAATCATTCCTCGCGACTAAAGCATAAAAGTGTTTGTTATTTTACACAACAGGAAAGGTAAGACAAGCATGGAGGACCGGGAACCTATTCTTATCTGAAGAAATGATGCTGAGAGATGAATCAACTGTTACCAAAATCTACAACTACCTGTGCAAGCACCCTTCTTGCAGGGTTCACTGATGGACATGTTGCCAAGAGTTACCATGAATCAGTTAATACCATGGTCTACAACTACTTGTGAGAACACTCACCCATCTTGCAGGGTTCACTGATGGACATGTTGCCAAGAGTTACCATGAATCAGTTAATACCATGGTCTACAACTACTTGTGAGAACACTCACCCATCTTGCAGGGTTCGCTGATGGACATGTTGCCAAGAGTTACCATGAATCAGTTAATACCACGGTCTACAACTACTTGTGAGAACACTCACCCATCTTGCAGGGTTCACTGATGGACATGTTGCCAAGAGTTACCATGAATCAGTTAATACCATGGTCTACAACTACTTGTGAGAACACTCACCCATCTTGCAGGGTTCACTGATGGACATGTTGCCAAGAGTTACCATGAATCAGTTAATACCATGGTCTACAACTACCTGTGAGAACACTCACCCATCTTGCAGGGTTCACTGATGGACATGTTGCTGCGTGGACACATCTGACCCGCTGGACACAGGGTGCAGTTGTGCTGACCCAGGCTGGGCTGGAAACTTCCGATAGAACAACCCACTTCAGTGACAGCTCCCTCCTCACAGTAGAAGCCAGCAGGACACAGGTAACCCTGGACGCCATCCGTCGGCTCAGGGATGGTGCTGCCGCCGATACAGATGAAGCTGAAACAGGTGAAAAAGTGAGTAGTAGTGTCTTATTCTGCTTCAGATAATATTCCAGCTATGTTGGCTGGGGGGAACCAGAAATGGGTTCAGACACTGTACCAATATGGGGATTTCAACCAAGATGTGACAAGTGAATGCCTTAACCCTTAGGCATCTCCACCGCAGGCATAAACTATGTGATTGAGTGAATGAGAGAGTGAGTGAATTATGGCCAGTAAAACCTCATGGAATGGAGTGAATGAGTGAGTTGCTTTTGAACAGTATTTCAATATTATCACAGCATTATGCAGCTTAGGAAGTCCCTCAAGGTGTAGCTAGGCCAATGCCACTTTGGCATAATCCAGAAGCACAGGCATAACACTGACAAAATAAGTACCATAGTGTAGGCTATTCTGTGATTCAAATCCACAATGACCCCAATAGTGCAACTGTTTCATAAAAAAATCATCACTTTGTGATAAAAGCATGGAACTTGGCACAGTTGTAGCTAATGACATTCCAGGTATTTTCAGATATGGGGCCACCCCTCAAAAAAAAAATATGGGCCCCGATATGGAGGAATGAAATTCAAGTATATCTCATATGAACATGACCCGCAACCTAAATATATTATGAAAAATAAACATTTTGGAATGTAGATACCCAACACTAACTCTATTTTAGTTGACTAACTGTATTGATTTAGGCAATCTAAAGTGTGAACAAATGAACGAAAATACATTTCTTTCTTCTTCAGCATATCTTTAAGACATTCAAGCCAATTAACGATACCATTATTGTATACTCATATGGTAAACAACAGAATATTTCAAAGAACCAAATTTGTAAAGAATACAACTCTGCATACTGAGTCCAGGCAATCCGACCATTTGGCTGCCACACGTTTAAAAGGTCCAACATCAAACATTACAAATAAACCTAGCACAACACATTCACCCACCCTGCATGGCATTTGGGGGCTTCAGAGCTGATGACGTAGGCCTTCTGGTTGCAGTATCTGCCTGGCCAGCACTTCTCACAGCCCTCGGGGCCGGTCACCTCCTTCTGGGTGGAGAACGTTCCCAGGGGGCAGGGCTGGGGGTAGCTGGTGCCGTTGGTACAGAAGTAGCCTACTGGGCATACATCATTGCCTGTGAAGTTGGCAACCTGGGTTTCATCAATCTGTAAAATCAAATGAGAATGGCTGAAAATGTATGTCTGTTGGAATACCCAGCATAAAGAACTCCCTCCCTATTTATAACTATCAACGCACTTACTGAGGAGTATTTTTGCACCTTTCTCCCCCAAACCAGTAAAATTGTTCAAAGGATCAATGCACTGCAATGCTTCATGCCATCATACAAGTACGATTGCATTAGAAACTAACAGTTTTAGTCCACTTGTCCTTATAATGATAACATAAAGCAAAACCCTTAAAAAGGACTTCTATTTGTCCTTATGACACCTTAACTATTGGACAGCTTGGCAAGGACTATAGGACTAGTGCCAATTTCTAACTCTGGCACGATATCATTATATATTGATGTTTATAGAGATTGAGTTGGATTTATAGCCACTTTGAAAAATATTCAAGTTATATCACAACATGTCAGCTAAATAGTGGGAGGAAAGCATGAAGTGATGCAGGTCTCAGACGTTTACCACTTTGGTGAAAGCAAAAGCATGGGTATGGTGCTGACAAACCTGGAAATATAATCTGGGTGAACGGGATTGAACAATCACAGCTTTCTGACATGCCCAAGGGATGCAACTCTGCACAGCGAATGGTGGAGCCATAACTGACTTGGCCATCCGTGCCCCCTATTGATGTTTAGACAAGTATACAGTGTATGGTGTATGGTATATTGTAAATTAAAGTTATGTTTTTTACCTTATCGTAGATGGGAGTTGGTGAAGAAGCTCCTCCAGTGCAGTAGTAGCCGGCGTAGCACTCCCCAGTGGGTGTGGACAGGCCGGTCCTTTCACAGTAGTAGCCGGAGGTGCAGTCTGTGCAGTTGCCTTCATGGCTGTAGTACTCATCCGGGCCGTATGTCCCCACTGGGCAGGGGTACGTCTGGGAGGCGTCGGTTCCCTCGGGGCAGTAGAAGCCGCGGGGACAAGGGGCAGGGAAAACTGCAGGGTGGCCTGGAGACAACATAGACACAATCAGGACCCCAAGTACAGGGGGAGCAAGGAAAACAGCCAGGAGACAACATAGACACAATCAGGACCCCAAGTACAGGGGGAGCAAGGAAAACAGCCAGGAGACAACCCATATACAATTAGAACCCCAGGAGCAGGATCAGCAGTTCCCCAATGTTGACTGAATACAAACATCAGATGTAACAAATGAGTGAGTAATGTAGGCTATGATGTACCGGTAAGTGAAAACAACAAGCACAGATGCTGAATTACCAAATATCACATCATCATGTTGAATCTGGTATTCAAACCCATAAATTGTGGATCCTCATAGATAAGGGACAAATTCTTGGCAATAAGCTATGGCAGCATGGACAATCCATTTCTCCGTAACAGTCAGATATCAGATTACAAAGTTGATTCCAGTCTCATTGATAAATATCATTGGTGAATATCTTTAGTTCTTGTCCCTTGGGAAGGTGAAATCTAGAGTAGACTATATCACAGCACTGGTACCACTCACCATCAATGTAGGTGACATTTCCGGTAGCCATGTTGCAGAAGAATCCCTCGGGACAGGGCAGACAGGTGCTTGCTCCATAGCTGGGTTGGTAGGCCCCCCCAGGGCACATGGTGGGGATGGATGACCCCACCTCACAGTAGTGACCCTTCCAACACACCAGGTCAGAGGGAGTGGGAGTGGTCTGGCTCTCGGGGCAGTAGAAACCAGGGTCACAGAAGTCTGTTGGTCGGATGTCACCAGGACCTAGGAGGAAAATGATCTGGTTGAAAAATGGCGGTTTTATGTATAGGATAAAGCATGGCTCCAAGGTTTTGGTTAAAAATGTAAATCCGCGAGCGAGGGAAAGCCAGAGGTCAAGGTTTTCCATTTTCAATGAAAACTGAGGAGGCGTGTTTGATCCAACTTATGAACCATCTAAATGTAAGAAATACCGGACATTGACATACCTTATAGTGAAACAATATAGTGTGTCGCAGTATAAAAGGAATTTGCTCAAAGCGTGAGTGAGAAAAACGACATGCAGCATGAGTCATGACAAGATACACTGAACAACTTCTCATCACCTGCCCCGGTAGCTCAGTGCGAAAACAGTGGGTTACAAACCTCAAGATTCTCAAGATTACTGATTTAATGTCTGACCCTTAGAAACAGATGATTTTGTAAAAAGTTCTCAGAGATCAATCATTCTGTTGTCTCAAGTTGAGGTCTGGAAATGAAGACAGTGCCTCACATACCAAACTGTGGTGCCATGAGTCTCTTAAATAGAAGTTAGCTAGGATGGTTCATTTTTCTGAAATAGAGTTCCTCAGGCATGGGACAAGTCTCTAACTCACAAATGCATCAATCAAATGAAGATATCAATGACATGGAAAGACCCCAAGCCCACAAAACAAGCCAGTAGTCTGACAAGCCAGTGGTCTGACAATGGAGGACAGATACTGACTCTCCTTGTGTCAGCAGAACAGTGGTTCTCACCTTGACAGAACATGCCTCCTGTGCAGTTGAGGCAATCATCAACCATGGATGTTCCGGTCTTGTTGGCGAATGTTCCAGCAGGGCAAGGTTCTGGGACAGAAGTTCCCACAATGCAGTAGCTGCCCTCCGGACACACATACTGGTTGGGGACTGCACTGGTACCATTACAGTAGTACCCAGCACTGCAGTTGCCTGTCGAGAAGAAAGGACGTCTATAACCAACTTAATAAAGTTGCATATAATATTCATAAGAAGCGACACAAAATATTCAAGTGTTTTGAAAACTGTAAGCACTTTCAGTCAAATTGCCAAACTTAATGACTGGCAGTAACATTTTCAAAGATGCATTTGCCATATTTACTTCTAACCCATCTGATTGGTATTTATAGTCTCAGACTGCACTTTACTAACCTGTCTGACTGGTATTTATAGTCTCAGACTGCACTTCACTAACCTGTCTGACTGGTACTTATAGTCGCAGAATGCACTCTACCTTCAGATATGAAAAACTAATTTTTAAATATACATATGTTATATTCAAAGTCACGTTTATTTCAAATGTCCTCTGATAAGACACTGACCTGTGGGCAGTGGAAGCCCTGGTGTTTCGCAGTACATGCCCGGGGTGCAGGCCTCGGGCTTGTGTGTTCCTTGTGGGCAGTAGTAGCCCATGGGGCAGATACCCCCACTGGTCAGCTCGAAGTCCGGACATACACAGTCCCACATGGGGGCACAGGTGTCGTTGGAGTACAGGTCACTAGGAACACAATCAAACTGATAACACAACAGAATTCAAACACCTTATCATATAATGCACTGATTTTTTATGAATTAGTGCTCTGCTCAAGTAAGTGCCATCCAGGTGTGAGGTTGCTGAGGACCATTTCTAACCAAAAACCCTAAGAGGGCTGTTGTTAATTAATCTTTAGATCCTTATAAAGAGAGGTAGGGATACTGGCATATTTCATATTACAGTTGACTCTTGTTAAGTGAGTTTAGTTTACTGCTGATTTGAACAGTATACCAGTTATATGGCATAGCATGTCAGACCTGCAGATCTAGATGTTTACCCCTTTGGTAAAAGCCACGAGGTATGCTGTGGACAAACGTAGAAACATAATCTGGGATTCAAACTCTTTATAAAGAATTGAGAAGCTTTACTTGCTTAGTGAAGTAGATTTCAATAAACACCAAGCCTTGAAAACCTTTGAGGAGGATGCATGAAATATCAATACTCTTAAATTACCAAAACTTAGATCCATTGGTACAGTACATAAGGACAAACTTTTATCACTCGGATCACAAACTAAGTTAGGCAAACGGTTAGATAAAATCAGTGATTGTTCAATCAGGACTGACAACCATTACGTAGCCTCTTAAAACAGGGATGAATGGTAACTGTGGTGATAGTTCTACCTGGTGGAGCCTCCTGCACTGGTGAGGTTACCAAGGTCATATGGGCGGATCTGGAAGGACTTCCCAGCACAGAAGAAGCCAGGGTCGCAGAGTCCAGACGGAATGATGTTACCCAGGCCTTCACAGTATTCTCCTGGCGGGCAGTCCAGGCAGTCACTCTCAGCCTTTGCACCTACAAGGTCAAGGTCATGCTTAAGTTCAAGGATAAGGTCAAGTCCAAGATAACATTCCTTTTCAAAATGAAAGAATACACAGTAATGATACTCACAAATTTCCTATAAGGGAATGAGTTTTTATTTTTGTATTTAACCAAGTTATGAGATTATCGATAGATTATCTGTCCCAAATGAGTGAGTGAGTATGGTTTTACGCCGCTTTTAGCAATATTCCAGCAATATCACGGCAGGGGACACCAGAAATGGGCTTCACATATTCTACCTATGTTGGGAATCGAATCCAGGTCAGGCATGACGTGCAAACGCTTTAACCACCAGGCTACCCGACCAGCCCTTTGTCCCAAATGAAACAATGATGCAAGTCCTGAGCATCTGGTGATGGACTTCAACCATTTATTCATGAGGTGTGTGAGTGAGGTGGGTTTTCACAACGCTTTTAGCAATATTACTGCAATATCACGGTGGATCAATCATGAGAGACACATGACCTGTAATTATGGGATTGGATATTTGATCTATTATATATTACATTTTAAGAAGTGAAAAAATAACCAAAACATGCATGAAATAGAGAAAACTACACAAACTTCACTGAAGTCCAATTTTTACCTAAAATGGATGACATCACATTATATACTTTCAACAAGACACAAGTATGACAAGTATCATTTTAGTTGATCAATCAGGCTTGATTCTCACAAAATATGCATGCGTGTCATTCACGGAATATACACCCTTATCACAAAATGTCAGCAGATTTGAAGTCTTTGGTAAAACACAAGAGCATCATATTATGATGGTACCCATCACAAGCACATTCTGGCCTGACTAAGGGAGGGAACTCTGCACTGCATGACCATGCCTTCAGTATATATCCCTTACCTGTTGCGTTGTAGTAGGTTCCTTTAGGACATGGATGCTCCACATCGAAGCTGGTTCCCTCGGTACAGTAGTGGCCCATGGGGCAGGTGATAGGGGTCACCGTCTCATTCAGGCAGTAGGATCCTGAAACACACACACACGATAGGCAGGGTTTGATCTCAGTCCAGAATACATATGTCCAAACTATCAAGAACTCATCTGAAAATGTTACACCTGACAACACATCGGTGACCAATAGCATAATACAGAAACAACCATTCAAGGAAATGTGTGTGTACAAGCAGCTTAGTGTTACTAAAACCTGAGACTTCTTACAATCTACATTCTTCCGGCCTTCAGTTGTGCAAACAACTTTGATTATTGTGATTATTTAGAATTCTTAACATTCTTATTTTAAACCCTTTGTTACTATTTTTGCTATATACTTTATGTCCACATGATTTTAAAAATCTCAGTAACTTCAAACTAAAAATGAGATAATTTTTAAATTTTTAATTTTCACATATCCTTTCTTCCTAAACATATCGACAAGGAAAACGAGCAAGACAAGAAAATGAATTGGCTCCAAAATCAATTTTTGTGTGTGTAGCCCTTAGGTTTCCTATGATGTTCCTTAACTGTATATTTATGTTACGGACATAATTAAATCTATGTAAGTCTTAACCCAGGGCCTACTGCACATAGCAATCTTAACGCTACGACTGTCTTAGTCCATGATAGAGTGTGGGAGTTATGATCATCATAGTGCAAAGATCCCTTTGTGAAAGTGGACCCAGGTCTATGACCAACAGTCTTCAAGGGATGGGGACACACAAAGCTGGTGGGCACAGCATCTTGTCTAGAATATTTCATTAAAACTGTGCTAACTTTCTGAAGTTTGTGTTACCAATGTCGTTTGTTTGTTGTGTAATGCTGCACTCAGCAATATTCCAGCTGTATGACGGTGGTCTGTAAATAATCAAGTCTGGACTAGACAATATCCAGTGATTGACATCATGAGCATTTCACTACGCAAACCAGATACGATGACATGCATAAACCAAGTCAGCGAGTCTGACCACCCGATCCTCACCTCTTACGACAAGCATAGTCATCTCTTACAACAAGCAGGGTTGCTGAAGACGATTTCTAACCCGGATCATCACAGGTGTTATCTATATCAGGCCGCATGATCAACCCCCTGAATAGCGGTGAATTGGGTCTAAATGATGTTCTCTAATCAGTATATGTACATATCTGGTTTGAAGTCAATGAACACTGTACCTGCTGGGCAGGGGAGGCAACTGGGCACGGCCTGACTGGGGGAGTAGGATCCCGGCAAGCAGGGTACAGGGAAGGTGGAGTTGAGGGGGCACTCAAACCCAGGCGGGCACACGTCTCCCTCGCCTGTGTGGGTCACGCTGCTACTGGGGGACTCCATATTCACACCTGCAACATGAAGATAGTACTGGTAAGTCATTATTTACTGGAGAGGTAGGTGGTCCTGTGCAGGATGTAAAGGGCACACGTCTGGTTTGTGGGTGACTTTGGTTTTATGCTGCTTGAAAACATTTTAGTCATATCACAGTGTGCCAGCTTCATGCAAGTGGAAAGCACGTTTTATATGTCCACCACATCGGTGAAACTCACAAGCATGGTATGGCGCTGTCAAACCAAGAAACAATCACAGGTTCCTGGCACACGTCGGGGACACAACTCTGCACAGAAAATTGTGAGGCTTTAAGAACTGGGCCTCCTGTTTCCCCACAAATAGTGTTAAATTCAACAACTCTGGTTGCAGGGAGAAGTGGATGGGTTATTGCAACTGACAAGCATGACTTTTCAAACTTCATACTGGAACTTATGTTGTAAAACATGATGTCAACTTTGACCTTTTTCACCAAATCCAGTCATGGTGCCCAGTAGGATGGTACATTCAAAACCATCTGGCAGATAACAGCTTGGGTTGTATACTCCCCAGGAAGCTGAGAATGCCATATGAATACAGGTCCTTCTGTTGATTCGTAATGAGATCATAGTGCTGAACATCACATATATAATACAGTCAATGCCATTCATAACACCAAAAGAAGGACATCATATGTGAATTCATGTTAGACAAGCAATGAAGTGTTTAGTTGTTCATAAAAAAAAATAGAATCAAACAATGAATTTGTATTTCAATGATAGGATTACATAATAAGTCTGATAATAAATTGGGCTTCACAAAGTGAACCCATGTTGGAAATCGAACCTGGGTCCTCTGCGTGACAAGCGAACGCTTTAACCACTAGGCTACCTGACCGCCCCTTCAACACAGACACAATGGTGTTGAACTGTACCAGAAATGTTTACTGACCTGTGACACAATAGAATCCCGCAATGCATGGTCCGGATGGTGCAGTGAGGTGTTCACTGTCGCAGTAGAACCCACCAGTACAGGGAGTACATTGCGACACGTTGCTCAGTCTCTCGCTGCCCCCAAACGTCCCCACAGGACAAGACTTGTAGTTGCTGCCCGACCCTTGGGGACAGTAGTAGCCCTGGGGGCAGGGCTCAGCCTTGGCCCCGTCGGTGCAGTAGTACCCCTCAGGGCAGGGGTCACAGGCTGCCGCTCCGGTGCGGTTCATGAAGAAGGCTGGTGGACACTGTGTGGGGATGTGAGATCCCTCGGGGCAGTAGTGACCCACGGTGCAGATGGCTCCTGTTGTCCCATCTGAAATATAGACAGTGTAGAGTTTACATTGGAACATCACTTTGGACATCACTTTGGCCAGGCTGTGCTCATCTGGTAGGTGTTTTGGTTTTTTGTTGTTGTGAAGAGCGCTCTTTTGTCCATGGCTGCTTTGACAGAGGCTGAGAGCTTAACAATCTCTGATTTAAGCTTGCTTTCCTTTTGGGTGGCAAGTAAGAAAGAAATGGCCTAACAAAGTAAATTAAGATTGAAAAGCACCTGTTGGATTGGGAGACCTTAGAAGTAAGTATATGTTTGCCCACCTGTTGGATTGGGAGTCTTGGCACCACTGACGCAGTAGTAACCTGCCATGCAGTTGCCGGTGACAGTGTTGTTGCCTTCTTCCAGACAGTACTTGCCTGGATCACAGTCCACACAAGACGTTGACAACTGTTTGCCTGGAATATTGTTATGTACATGCGGATCATTGCACGAGTGGCTGAGTAAGTAGGACATTTCACACATCTTAGCAATACAGTATCTACACCACTGCAACCTTAGTTCTCAAAAACATACAAATGAATTATTGAACAGCGAATATTAAAGGATATTACCTTTGCAATGGTGATTTTGGATCAATTTCATCACAATTTTAACTAACATAACTGGTGCTTTGTCATGAATTCCTAACCTGTCTTGGTAATAATCAACATGTTACAGACACTAATAGCTACATGAATTGGATAATAAACTTTAGTGAAAATACCAGTTTACAAGTCACGAACTTATTCATGGCGAATCACCACAATCAGTACTGGCAATTACAACCTTGCTAAACTTGCTTCATATTAATCTTTTCTGTAATTGGACTAAGTCATCACAGCTAATAAAAGTCAATGCAGCAATTATGGTGATTTTATCCAAGATGGCAGACATTTCCAAGTAAAAACATAAAATATAACAAACAATGTGTATAATGAACTGCTGTCTCCATTCTCTTTTAGTTCATTATATCCCTGCTCTACCGTAGTACAATATCCGAATAAAAGCCCCATCCGTGGGTGGTTTAAGGGAAGGGACTTCTTTGGCCTCTGACTTGGTAAAATGCCTTGGTAGACATGAATGCTGAGAGTGATCTACAGAGTGTTGACTGCCTACCTTCTGATGGTTGGTATGTTCCTTGTGGACACGGCACTGGAGCAGGGATTCCCTCTGGACAGTAGTGTCCTGACGGGCAGTTGTAGCCGTAAGACTGACCCTTGGGAGAGGGTTCGTTTGAGCCGTACTCGCAGTAGTATCCCGCGGTGCAGTAGGCGTAGGGGACGATGAGACCCGGGGACGGGCAGTACTGGCCGGGGTCACAGGGAATGCATTCATTGGCTGCTCGCAGGCCGGTCAGGTTGTTGTACGTGCCCACTGGGCAGGGGTCACCTGGAGCAAACCAAAACATGTCAAGAACTTCCAGAACAAGCATATCTAATACCTTGACACAGGACAACCATGGGGTTTTCATCAAGGAAAGTTTGTATCCATATTTAGTAAGTTCTACTTATTATGCAAAGATTATCCTAGATGTCTATAAATAACAAAGTGTGTATTTTGTTCAAACTCAGCAAAGTTCAAGCCATATAATGGCAGTCTGTAAATATTAAAGTCTGGACAAAACAATCCAGTGGTTGATAGCGCTGGCAACAATACATGTCATCTGGGTACGATGACAATCAACCAAGTCCCCAAATTCGACCAGCCGGCCCATTAAGTCACCTTACAACCATCCTAGATTGTTAGGGACCTGATCAGACCGGGAACAAAATCCACAGAAACCTACCTTTTCCTCCTTTCAACATTAAGATCAAATTAACAACAAAAATAAGACAAAAAATAAAAATAAAAGTCCAATCAAAACTTACCATCAACAGAACCAATAGGGCAGTACTTGCCCCTGGGGCAAATGTCTCCGGTGATACCGTCGGTGGGTGTGGAGGTGTTGGCGCCCTGGTCACAGAAATAGCCAGCCAGACAGTCACCTTCGACATCAGTCAGGCCGGGAGTCTTACAATACTTGCCGAACTCACAGCTCGTACATTCACCTGGAACATCAGGACAAACTAGAAAGGTGTTTGCATTACGTGCAAAGAGAGAAGCAGACCCATCTGTTCCTGAATGACACCCAATTTTCCCACTGGAAACATCTACACCACTGCAACCCTATCGTGAACTATTTGGACTAGGGCTGGAATGAGTCTAAATTTACGACCCGGATACTCAACCCCCTACTAGCTAACCATACCTTGGTACCCACTGTACGACTCAAGACTTCGGTACATAATATCTGATTGGGAACTGTTTTACAGGAGCCCTGGCAGATGCTATTTACATACACGAATAGTCTGTCTGTAATGTTTGGCAAGTCTAGATTACTGCAGTATCAGGTTTACAGACCCTGAAACAAATATATCCAATACAGCCCATGCAAGTCTATAATGTTTGGCAAGTCTAGATTCCTGCAGTATCTGAAAATGAAGAAAGGGCTCCTTTTTACTATATTTTTTAACAATAATTGAACAACTGTTTTTTCTGTAAAATATGTTAATTTCAGAGACAAGATGTTAGTCTAATACACGTATGAAATGATCAGATATGCATACACTGAAGTAGACTGAAGTTATATCTTTACTCAAATGCATAAAAGTCAGGAACAATGCATGCATAGTCAGAAAGAATTGCAAACATAAGCAACTTTTATTATTATTTTATTTAAACAACATATTAGACTATGTGACTAACCACTGGTCCGGGTAGTCCTGCAGATACCCCGACTCAGGACCCAACCGACCTGAGTACCAGAGTTGCCTGTCCCAGGCCTAAATTGGACCTTACCAAATCAGGTGACTTCACCCTTATCCATTGATCTCTTTGATCTCATGTTGTCTAATGTAGTCCAACTTCCATACCTATAGCTACCCTTATTCATGTTACAAGCAGGTCCAGTTTAAAGCAATGACTGCTGGTTTGACTGTTTGTTTGTTTCACCAAAGTGGTAAACATCTAAGACATGCATCACTTTGTGCTTTCCTCACATATTAAGCGGACATGCAGTGACACACAATTTAGTTTGAAGAAAAAGACATAATTAAAGAAGAAATACAGTACCTAATATCCAAAAACATGACTCATGTATTTTTATCATTGCCTTGGGACTATTTGAACTGAGCTGGATTTAACACTGATTTGAACCAATTCAGTTACATTTCGGTGTTTTCACATAATGAAATCAACATAACACACAACACATTTTACACATTTGAAAATCAAACCAGATCCTTCCACTAGACTTCCGGTACTCATGCCTAAGAGAGAAGTTCAAAAGTGCAAAGTAGGATAAAAAAAACCCCTTAACTCCTTACATTTTGAAATATACCCCTATCAAGCCTTTAAAACTTATTTGTGACCATTTTGTCAATCTCAAAGAGATAATTTTGTCAAGTGAATTCTGATGTGGCTGAGCTGTCGAGTTTTCAAGTTGAATGCTTTTTTACTCAACATTTTTTATACGTTCAATGGAGATATACTTCATTTTCTGAGTAAAATATGATGATTAGAGATGTTATTTCTGGACATAAACTGTAAAAACACATTTTGTTGGGTGGAAAACTTATATAAACTTATATATGATGTGACATCAGGCTTTTGAATTCGAAAAGGACCACCTACCCTGATCCTCCAGGTCTCCGAAGGGACTGTAGGTCCCCGATGGGCAGGGGAACTCATGCTTGTACTTGGTCCCGGTGGGGCAGTAGTACCCGGCGGGACATGGCACGGGGTCGATGATGCCCACGGTGGAGTTGCCAGGGTCACAGTAACTCCTGGATAGGCACGGTTCACATGTGGGCTCACCTTCAAAAGCCTGGTATGTTCCTGTAACACCAACCATGTACTTCAAGCTCAAGACTGATGTAGGGTATTGATTAAAGGTTGTTACAAGATAATTTCATAAAATATTGATCCATTAACCAATATAACAATTTCAATTCTTATGTCCCAACAGTTTTCAAATGCAGAGTGGGGTCTTTATTTTTTTGCTATAGTGCTATATATCAAATGACCCCTAAAATCTTTAATTTTGAACACTAGGATAACGACAAGAACCGCTGGTCAAAAACTGCTTAATATAACATTGATTTAGGTCATAATTACTGGTATATATGTTGGTGTGTGGCAGCATGTTCAAACCCGTTTCTATATTGCTTCAGAATTCAGAAGCCTTTAGTTGTTGGCCAGGTAAACCCCAACATTAGGATAATGTGAACGACATATAAATACACGGAGAGATGTTTCATTATAATCCATATAAAATATCTTAAATTATCTTAAACAATCCTACAAAGAAACAAACAATAATTAAAACATTGTTTCCAAAAGGTTAATAATGCTTTCAGAACATAGTCACAAGAAATAAATAACTTCAGGTTATTTCAATTATTCTGGAAACACTTAAAAGCTTCCTGCCTAGAAAGTTTACCTCGTTCACATCTGAGAGGGAGGGCGCTACCTTCAGGGCAGTACATGCCCTTGGGGCACATAGAGGATATGGGCGTGGCTGTGGTCTGACCCTCTGGACAGTAGTAGCCTGCCCCACACAGGCCGGTCTCCTTCACCAGACCGGTCCCATCACAGTAGTAGCCTGCAACATGACAACAGTTCATATACCACTCACCCGTTGGTAGGGATACTGAAATATTCTGTATAACAGCTGACTCACTCTAAGAGGCAAATCAAGGGACTGAGCCAAAAGTATCCAGTCTGCCACTTATCTGACAAGGGTGTATTAGTCTCTCATCGACCTTTAGTAAACACATTTACAAAGAGACTTTCATAGTAAGGAGTTATTTTCACTTTAGGTAATGATAAGTTAAGATGGCAAACATGGCATGCATTGTCTCTGAAATGTTCTAATAAATTGATGAGCTGCTGTAAGCTGGCATTCACTACCAGAGTGTTGGACACAAGTTTCCTTGTACTTGAACAATTAATTTGCCTATATATACTACTCAAAACAAGTTAAAGAACACCCTCAATTTGAAGGCTGTGTGTGCAATACCCACCAGCCATGGCGGATTAACTATACTCGTAGGAAACGAATCGGGTGTTCTTCAACTTCTTTTGAGCAGTATAAAAGACCTCAGGAGACCAGGAAATGTTCCACTTATGCAAAAGTATCTACACTCTAGTCTAGTTCTCTGGTCTCTATGAGAGTCAACTGAATTTACATATACACATCACAAGTAACGGCTGTGGTGTATAATAGACTAATAGGAATATTTGTATCTGACTTTGAGCAGTTATATATTTACAGGGTCTATATTCATACAACAATCAGGGAACTTCTACTGTTCTACAGATCATGTAGGTACTACCTGGTGTACAGGCTTTGCAGTCGGTGACATTGACGTTGCCGGTGGAGTTGGAGAAGTGCCCTATGGGGCAAGGTACGGAGGTCGGGGACCCCTCAACACAGTAGTACCCCGCCCAACACACGAAGTCAACAGGGTTTGCCACACTCCGGCCCGTTGGACAGAAGTAGCCAGGATCACACTTCGCTGAAACAAAACAAGTTGCCATTCCATGAAGTATTTGAGATACGCTGTACCAGATAATCACTGACGGTGGACATATTGGAAATCAGATCTGAGTCTGATGACCGAGGCCAATAATCATGAGTTTTAGGAGTGTATATTTATTCTAGTTTAGGTCATGCAACTAACTGAGATTGTTAAATGAGCATGTGTGCCATACTGATTCTACGAAATGAGTGTCAGAATTCTTGTATTTTACAAGCAAGAGCAAGGATAATACATGAATTCTTACACAGGTTTCGTAACATCAGTATGACACATATGCAAGTGTTTTAATTTTTTTATTACCCATTATTGCTATTCTATAATCCTATTGAGCTCAACTTTAGAAAATGCAATGATCACCACCGCTGTCCCCCAAAACCACAATTTGTCGAATGACATCAACAATCTCCAGCTTTGACGTTATTTCTAGTGTGACGTCATTCCGACCTTACATAACAATAATATTTCAATGACGTCAACAACGCTGTCTGGATAACAGAAACAATACACTGGCGCGCAACAAGTGAGATTTGTATGGACTGTTATTTCTAACCCTACGTAACATACCTTTAGGGGCCGGTAGTTCATAGTCGTCACAGTACCACCCCGCCTCACAGCTGACAGGCATGGAGGACCCGAGGGGACAGTATGTGCCTGGCTGGCACTTGCCCCCGGTGTAGTTGTATGAGGGGCACGGGCACATGTCGACACTGGAGAAGTTACCTGGTTTAGGACAAAATCAGTCACAATAATACATCCTACAGAAGAACATTATAGGGATGAACAAAAAGCTACATGTAGATAGAAGAGTGACATTACATGGCGTCAAACTTATCGATCCTCTCTGGGATATATCCGAATGTAGGCTTGATTTTTGAGTTTCATGTGTACAGAACTGTGAGGAAAACACTAACTGCAGGATATAAAAAATATAATTCCACAGTTTTCCTCTTTACCTATAGAATTGCAGCATGAGTTACTTGAAAAAAAGCTCCAAAATTGCATTTAGTCTTTTCTTTCGTCAAAATCCATTCCATTTTGATCTGACACACTGATCAATATTTCAGCATATACCACAGTGGAGGACACTAGAAATTGGCTTCACACATTGTAGCCAGTTGGTGAATTAAGTCCTGGCCTTTGGCGTGACCAGCCAATGTTTTTACCACTCAGCTGATGTACTGCTTTTTTAGAATGACTGGCTTTAGCTGGTCAACACTAAGAGCATCATCCTACCCAGTGTGACTGGCTTGGACTGGACAGCTCCCCCTGAGCAGAACCAGCCTTCACTGCAGTTGCCTGACGGTGTCTCCAGACCTTCCCCAGCACAATACAGGCCAGGGGTGCACATCAAACAGGCCCCCGAGCTGTCCATGGTGGTGTGGGGGTTGTAGGTGCCCGCCTGGCACTTGTACTGGGTGCCGTACTCAGTGCCCGGGGGACAGTAGTGACCCGTGGGGCAGGGGAACACTGTGGCGTCGCTGGTGTTGCTGAGGCAGTAGTAGCCGCCGGGACACTGGTCACATGAACCCTTTCCTGTAAGCAGAATAATACAAGTTACATATTAGTCTTCAAATCTCACTGGGACACTGGTCAAATCAACTTTTTTCTGGAAGCGCAATAATACATGTTACACATTAGTCTTCAAATCAAACATGAACCCTTTCCTGGAAGCGGAAATTACCAAATACACATTAAGTCTTCATAAAGTCTCCATCTGTGAGTTAGTGATGTTACACCCTGGTCATCTCCAGTCCTGTTACATCACAGCAGCCTCTGGAGTGAACCTCTGGAGGAGCGTGGGGGAGTGAGCCAGGTTCTGCCCAATATCAGCAGTATTTCAGCTACACCATGGTGGCCTTGATGGTGTGATCAGAAGTGTATGCATTGATCCACTCAATCAGGAAATGATAACTAACTAAATTGGTCATAGACGGTCTCCCCAGAAAGTCTCAAAATTGTGAGTGAGTTTCATTATATCTCAGCCTCATACAATCAAGTCAAACCAGTGGTCAATAGCATGAGGAACAATCCACATTGTTTGGGTTGACAACACACTATGCAGTAGGTCTCCTAGGTCCAAGATTAAGTCTACTCTTACAAAAATGGATTCTCCAAAACTCTGATATATGGAGAATCTCACCTGAATGTCTCTTGATATCAAATATATCTACACAAGCTGATTTAAGTTGAAAACTCCAAGGCTTGCCGAGGAGTTTTCAACTTTTATCGACGAGTGTTGATATATTTGATATCAAAAGACACAAGGGTGAGATTCTTTGTATCATCAAACATCATTCTTCCAACGTTTTCAGTTTATAGACAGTAATAAGCAGCGTCTTAAGAGTAAAAAGTACTGCTAACAGCTTCAGTAGCAGAGCCATTAGTGATGTCATTTGATTGTGACATCACAGTCACCAATGACGTCACAATGGTCTACAAAGCATTGTGATGCAATTTCATTGCAGCGATATCAACAATGTAGATATCGCTTGATCTCACCCAAGCAATATCTCCTATGGTAGCATGTTTTGGAGGATAAAACATCCAAAACTGGATTTCACAGGAGATATCGCTTGAGTAAGATGAAGTGACATCACAATCAAGTGACATCACAATCAAATGACATCACTAACCTCTCTGCCACTGAAGCTGGTTAGTTGAAGCTTTTACACTCATGACATAACTATTACTGTTTACAAACTGAAAAAGTTGGAAGAATGATTTTGGATGACAAATATAATCTCGCTAATAAACTTTTAAAACTCTTCGACAAGACTCAAGTTTTAAACTTATATCAACGAGTATTAATATATTTAATATCGAATGACACTTGGGTGAGATTCTCCATCTATCCACGACGTGCAGCTTACTTTGTGTGTCGGTGTGAGTGCCAGGAGCACAGGGCAGGGGCTGTGCTGATCCCTTGGGGCAGTAGGAGCCTACTGGACACTCCGCTCCCGACCCCTTGTGGCCACCACTGTCAGCGGGTGTTGCCGTGTCGACGCCGTACACGCAGTAGTAACCTGCCTGGCACTCTCCATCCACATCTGGGGATCCTGGGGTGGCACAGTAGTTTCCACCTGGAGGTCATGGAAACCAGTGTTAAAACACATTCTCAGACAATAATATTTTAACATGAAAACAAGTCCATCAAGAGGACAAAATAATACCAATGATAAATAGAAAAAACAATTAAATCAGTTGACAGTTATAACATCTCATAAATAGAATGACTAAACACGTTGAAATATTTGAATGGTATACATATTATTGGAATGTCAAAATTTCAATTTAAAAAAATATTTTTGTCTTGAAATAATTCATACAGTACAGGACAGTCACATTAGCATCATAACAAAAATGTGATCTTCACAAACAAAACTATCTTAAACCACTTATTTACCTGTACATGGTGTGCACTGGCTCTCCTCAAACAGACCCGTTGTGTTGCCGAAGGTTCCAGTTGGGCACGACTGAAGGTCAGCTCCAGTACCTTCAGGACAGTAGAAGCCTTGACGACAGATGTCGGCACGGTCTCGGTTGACGCAGTAGTATCCCTCAGGACAGATGTAGCAGGCGGAGGCCCCAGTGTGGTTCATGAAGGTTCCATTGCCACACGGTGTTGGGCCGGGGGACCCTTCCTCACAGTAGTGTCCCTCGGGGCAGATGGCACCTGAGGGGGACATTAACTGACAGTAAAGTTTTGGTTTGACTGCTTCTTTTCCTTGAAATCACAAAGGTGAACGGGACACTACTCCCTGGACAGTTTCAGTCATTGTTATGTGACCTCTGACTTACCTGGTTGACTTTAACACCAGCTCTGTCATTAACAATGGGTCATCTTCTGACAACATTTGTTCAATATTTGATGAAGATGTAATATGGAAACTCATGAATACCAGGCCAGTTCTAGATCATGTTACCTTCACTCAAGATATCTAAGTTGAAATGCTTTCATAAAGGATTTTAAAACAGATTTGGATGTAAAACATCAATATTTTGGTGAGTCATAATTTGACAGGAGTCAGTGGATGAATGATGGGCTTTGTATAGTCTTTGCTGGTCTACTGCCAGTTCAACATTGGTGGAGTCCTCCATTTTCATATTATTCAATAAATAATACTGTACCCATGATGCCATCGACAGGTGATGTTGTGTTTGATCCTAACGTGCAGAAGTAGCCTGGCCCACAAGGCCCTGTCACATTCACCAAGCCATATGTCTCACAGAAGGAACCTGCAGTCATCAAATAGAAGCATTGATTTGAAGAGTTTAGCCATACATTGGGTTAGAATTACATCAATTCAAAGTAACATTCATAGTGCTTGTGACAAGCAATTACCACAACAATATCCCGTCATTAGTATGCATGTTAAAGCCATCATTGAACCAATCAGCATAGGGTTCACAACTACAAAATATATTTCAAAAGTCCCCACCTACTTTTTGTTTTGTTTTAGCACTATGATCTCCCTGTAAGCATGGCAGCTAGACAACGTACCTGGAGTACACTTGGTGCATTCATCGATGTCCCCTGTTCCGGTGGCATACTGGAAAGTTCCAGGGGGACAGGGTTCCGGGACGGATGTTCCGTTAGGACAGTAGTGTCCGGCTGTACAGTAGTCCCCATAGGTCTTCCCAACTGGAGCTGGCTCCTCGGCTCCAAGGCTACAGTAGTGGCCTGCAGCAGTACATGTTACAAGCTTCTAAACTGGCTTCTTCACATGCAAAGCTTTAAATATTTTTGTAGTAGGACAGATTTTGGATTGTTATGATTAGTTATTACACTTTCCTGGTTATTATAAGAAATCCTACATTTATCTCAACAATTTCTTTCTTTTTTTCTGATTGATCCAGAGTCAATTTAGTCCTTCACAACATTGGGTCTTGTTCAGACAGATTAAATTAACCTGCAATTTTAGGGTATAGAAAGTCACCAGATGAGCAAGATATAACAAATCGTAATGGATCATTATTCCACAAATTGTTAAATGCTCCCCTAAACAGTGTGCCAAACACTAAGCATTAATATGTAAATGAAGTATCAACAGTCAGTTTTAGAGCGGATCTTGTCCCTCACCTGCCCAGCAGTGTCCAGACTCCTGGGTGAGTCCAGTCTGACCGCAGTAGTAGCCAGGTGAGCAGGCGGTGCAGTCTGTGTCAGCCTGAAGCCCTGTCCTGTTGCTGAATGTCCCCACTGGACATCCCTCCCCAGTGATGCTGCCGTTGACGCAGAACCGGCCCTGTGGGCAGATGTCGCCGGTGGAGCCATCAGTGGGCGTGGCATTGTAGGCTCCATGGGTACAGTAGTAGCCTGCGGCACACAGTCCACTCGGCTCCGTGTTACCTGGTTATAGGGGAAGGAAGGAGACCTTATCAACAATGGTTCTGTATCAGCTGAGTGAGTTTGGTGTAACGATGCTTTCAGGATGGTATTTCAGTTGAATCTTGGCTTGAAAAGCACAAAGTTATGCAGGTCATTTATCACTTTGATGAAACCCACACAGGTAAGGTGCCAGCAATCCTAGAAACACAATTAAACAGCACAAATACGTTATTCAAACAAAGGATCATAGATTCCTGGCACACACATGGGACATGACTCTGCACAGTGAATTGCTGCAACTTTGATGGCTGGTCCAAATGTGCCCTCCTGTATCATTTGAACAGAAGTTTATCAAAAGACAACATGTAGCTCCATGATTCAGTGATGGCAGAAACAGATATATAAATATCGAAGACAGCAAGACCTGAGGTTGTAACAGGGGGAATTGAAATTTACTGGTTTGTAAATCTTACTCATCTGAATTGAAGTCTCGATTAGGACCACTATTTCAAACACTCAGTCACGTCACTTTCAAAGCTATGGTGGCAAATAGGTCCAGAGTATTACCAGAGACATAAAACACTGGACAATAAGGATGGTGGAGTTAATTACAGAAGGGCAAACAAACAATTGCAGTAGTAACTTAGCCTATCCTCCTTGCCTACCTTCCCCTGCACAGTACCTGCCTCCTACCTTCCCCAGCACAGTACCTGCCTCCTACCTTCCCCAGCACAGTATCTGCCGCCTACCTTCCCCTGCACAGTATCTGCCTCCTACCTTCCCCTGCACAGTATCTGCCGCCTACCTTCCCCTGCCACCTACCTTCCCCTGCCTCCTACCTTCCCCAGCACAGTATCTGCCGCCTACCTTCCCCTGCACAGTATCTGCCGCTTACCTTCCCCTGAACAGTATCTGCCGCCTACCTTCCCCAGCACAGTATCTGCCGCTTACCTTCCCCTGCACAGTATCTGCCTCCTACCTTCCCCAGCACAGTATCTGCCGCCTACCTTCCCCTGCACAGTATCTGCCGCCTACCTTCCCCTGCACAGTATCTGCCACCTACCTTCCCCAGCACAGTATCTGCCGCCTACCTTCCCCTGCCGCCTACCTTCCCCCAGCACAGTATCTGCCGCCTACCTTCCCCTGCACAGTATCTGCCACCTACCTTCCCCTGCCGCCTACCTTCCCCCAGCACAGTATCTGCCGCCTACCTTCCCCTGCACAGTATCTGCCGCCTACCTTCCCCTGCCGCCTACCTTCCCCCAGCACAGTATCTGCCGCCTACCTTCCCCTGCACAGTATCTGCCACCTACCTTCCCCTGCACAGTATCTGCCGCCTACCTTCCCCTGCACAGTATCTGCCGCCTACCTTCCCCTGCACAGTATCTGCCGCCTACCTTCCCCAGCACAGTATCTGCCGCCTACCTTCCCCTGAACAGTATCTGCCGCCTACCTTCCCCAGCACAGTATCTGCCGCCTACCTTCCCCAGCACAGTATCTGCTGCCTACCTTCCCCTGCACAGTATCTGCCGGGCTCGCATGGAGCACACTGGGTGTAGTTGGCCAGGCCTGTCCTGTTGCTGTAGCTGCCAGCCAGACACAGGAACTCTGTCGCGAACTTGGTGCCCTCTGGGCAGTATGACCCTGGTGGACAGGTTGTCGGTATGGAAACTCCTCTGTAACTACGGTATCGACCTGAGTAGTTGCCACTGGACGTCACGTTGTCATCAAGATATTCATAGTCACCTGAAAAGACATATTATTAGGCATCTTAGACGACAACAGGAGAATAAATATTTATGAGCTCAGTCATTTGCTACAATCACAATAAAATAAGATCATGCTAACTGAGACCATCTAAGTTTGTAACTCGTCTCATACCATTGTTTTAAGAACTACCAGTAATCAAGCAACTATGACAGATTAACTCTAGTAATTTAAGCAGGTGGTCCTTTACATATTTTTAGTAGTATACTTTCTTATTTTCATATATTCTGCCGCAATCAAATTTTCATGCCTAAAAACCCAATGATAGCTACTATATTTTCCTGAGTATAAAAATCGTGACTATCAGTTTTGTGTAGGTTCTTCTCACCAATGGCTGTGCAGTAGGATCCAGCAGGACAGACGTCACAGTCACTCTTCTGCCAGTGTTGTTGGTAGCTCCCCGACGGGCACCCGCTCTCGTTCCAGCTGCCCTGCAGGCAGAAGTGTCCAGGACTGCAGGCCAGGCTGGTTGGGCGGGGCACCTGTTGACCCTCGGGGCAGAAGTAGCCTTCGTCACACGGTCCATTGGGCACTGCACGGCCATATTCCTGGCAGTACTGGCCGGCGGTACAGGGGAGGCAGTCCGTCAGGTTGGTGTTGCCCTCGCGGTCTGGAGAAGTAAACAACAGTCATGTACAAGTGAACAGAGTTCAGCACCAGTTAGCAGATGTGTGCACTACATATATGCCAACACAAGTATGCCAAAACCATGCCAACCACATGCCTACACTATGTCCAAGACTATGTAAGCACGATGCAAACAATAACCTACACTATGCTTAAACTGTGTCAGCACCATGTAAAAAATATACCTACAATATGCAAACACTATGTCCACCCTGCCAAGAATGTGCCAAAACTATACCAATACCATGCCAGTTATTTGCCAACACTACATTCATGCTGAATTCAGCAATATTCCTGCTAAATTTTATCAAATCTGGATCAAGTAAACTCTGGAATTTGCACACTCAGGGACATAACTCACACATAGCTAACACTTAGTATGTTGTACGTAGGACCGCTGTGCTGCCCAAACACACATAATGACAACACGTGAGAGGTGGGCAACTGAGGTTATCAATGTTGAACTACCCACCTCCTCACCTATATAGACATTTTTATGACAACCGACCTGAAGAACCTTTTACCTCAAAACACAAAGGTTACTATCACAGATATATTCATAAAAACTAAATAAATCACAGCATTTCAACACTATTATTTACCTGAGAAAGTCCCAGGTGGACATGCCTCTTGCACTGTGGTTCCTTCTGGACAGTAGTGCCCCTTGGCACAGGGCACGGGGTTGGGGACGATGGCGCTGCCGTTACAGAAGGAGCCAGCATGACAGTTGCCTGTGGGTGCTTCCAGTGCATGGAGCTCGCAGTACATTCCCAGGCTGCACTGCTGGGCGAGCTGACTGCCAACGGGGCAGTACGTCCCTGGAATATACGTGTACAGTTAAATGTGTCTAACAAGCAGGTGAATGTGTCTAACAAGCAGGTAAATGTGTCTAAAAAGCAGGTAAATGTGTCTAACAAGCAGGTAAATGTGTCTGAGGAGCAGGTAAATGTGTCTAACAAGCAGATATATGTATCTAACGAGCAGGTAAATGTATCTAACAAGCAGGTCAATGTGTCTAACAAGCAGGTAAATGTATCTAACGAGCAGGTAAATGTATCTAACAAGCAGGTAAATGTATCTAACAAGCAGGTCAATGTGTCTAACAAGCAGGTAAATGTGTCTAACGAGCAGGTAAATGTGTCTAACAAGCAGGTAAATGTGTCTTACAAGCAAGTAAATGTGTCTAACAAGCAGGTAAATGTGTTTAACAAGCAGGTAAATGCATCTTACAAGCAGGTAAATGTGTCTAACAAGCAGGTAAATGTATCTAACAAGCAGGTAAATGTGTTAAACAAGCAGGTAAATGTGTTAAACAAGCAGGTAAATGTGTCTAACAAGCAGGTAAATGTATCTTACAAGCACGTAAATGTATCTTACAAGCAGGTAAATGTGTCTAACAAGCAGGTAAATGTATCTTACAAGCAGGTAAATGTGTCTAACAAGCAGGTAAATGTATCTTACAAGCACGTAAATGTATCTTACAAGCAGGTAAATGTATCTTACAAGCAGGTAAATGTGTCTAACAAGCAGGTAAATGTGTCTAACCTGCAGTCACACTGTCACTGATTCACAGCATCATTAAACAATATTGTATCAGTGAAACAAGGTTCACTTTTACAGGCATACAAGAGCAAACTTTCTTTTTGATATCGATAATATATTGTTCAGACTCACTACATAAAGCTAAGAACATGATGGGTTTAATACTTTTAACATTTTTCAAATAATTAAGTAATTTTATCAGAAAGGTCTGATCTCTTGACTTAAAAATACAATCTGATGACTCACCTGGAGTACAGATGCCCCCGGTGAAGTTGAGGGAGTAGACCGGGCAGGTGCTTGTGTCGGTGGTGTTGACCACAGGGGTGGGCTTGTCTGTGTAGGCTCCACCCATACAGAACCACCCTGGGGCACAGTTCCCTGTAGGCTCCGACAGGCCATCCCCAGCACAGTACTCGCCTCCTGGTGGTGGCAGGGGAGACAACAGTGGTTTCATGATTAATTGATTTAGTTTTTATGGTGAAAGTATTACTTTCGCTTGATACACAAAAGATAATAGTATTTTTGTATACTTTTTAATTATATGCACTTTTTGCTGAAGAAAACAATTGCTTACCTGGACACGGCAGACAATCAAACATGTCGTCAGCCATTGTTCTATTGTTGTAGGTACCTGCAGGACACTCGAACTCTCTTGCCGACTTGGTGCCGCTGGGACAGTATGCACCTGACACGACAAGAAGTATTTTGTAATCAACAACTGTTACTTCGCTTCCAATACTGAGTGAGTGAGTTAGTTAGGTTTAACGCCACTTTTTAACAGTATTCCAGTTATGTCATGGCGTTTCAGCTTAATGTGGGAGGACAGCCATATTGACAAACTTAGACATATCTTATTCACAAAATAGTTAACTGATTTTTGAGGGAAGAGAGACTGTCTTTAAAAATTAAATTTTGTTCCACAATGTGAACTTTTCAGTCAGAGGATCTGAAAAAACTATTCCATACTGTGATTTTAACCACTAGTCCAAAGTCCGAGTCTAGTAAATTTTTCCCTGGTCTAGCAAGATGAGAATGTTATTGTCCATATACTAATACTAAATTATACTGAAAATAAGGCCAAAATCAAAGTTTGTGATGAATTTCAAATGAAACACATATTGCCTCAGTGATGGTGATGAATATTGCAGTTCACCTTTAGGACATGGTGTGTCGAGGTATGTGGATGAGTTGGTGAGACAGTAGTATCCCATCTGGCAGGGCGTGCAGGTGTCCTGGTGGGTCACGTCGGTGTAGGTGCCAGCAGCACAGCCCAGGGGGTCAGTGGTACCCTCAGGACAGTAGTGACCAGTGGGGCACCATCCTGGGAACAAACATAATGCCAGGAATATAGGCTAGCAATGACCTCTGACACCTCCATGCTGTCCAAACTATTGAAAGATTTACATTGACTGTCAGCTTACATTTACTTATGTCACTTACATGACAGACTATCTCTAGTCATGTAAAAAAAAAGAAAAATGGGTGTTCTTTAACTTCTTTTGAGTAAAATAATTGAATATGCAAATGATATTTGGAAAACAATTCACGCGAAAAACTATAAAAAAATCTTTTTTACCAAAAATAACAATTGTTTTTTAATAGTCCTTAACATTTGTGTAAATATGACAATTTGAAAAAAAAAGATTTAATTTCAGTATTATGTTTAGATATTAGAAACCACAGAAACACATTAGACAACATTATCTTTATTTTGTAAGTGACAGAAAAAAACAACCAAGTCCCAGCTCACCCCCAAATCCGGTGTTGTTGTTGCTGGGTGCAGCTGTGTTGACCCCGCTCTGGCAGTAGTAGCCGGCCGAGCACATGCCGGTCACATTCACCTGGCCCGGGGTGTCACAGTAGTGCCCCGGGTCACACGCCGTGCACTCCGCCTCGGCCATCAGCATCTCCACGGGGTTGTAGGTTCCTGCTGGGCACAAGGACATGTTGAACCCTGTGTTGCCCTCACAGTAGCGGCCCTGGGGGCAGGGGTCCGGTCTGTCCTTGTTGACGCAGTAGTAGCGCGGCGGACAGATGTCACAGGCGCTGGCCATTGTGTGGTTCATGTAGGTGCCTGGGCAGGGAGAATGGTTGCATCAGAATGGAGTAAGACCATGAAAAATATTACACTTAGTTTTCTTGCATGTATATATACAGGTAATAACTGTTTTGTCATCTATAAATTGTAGCAGAGATTATTGGTATAGATTCAAACAAATATTTGTTTTCCAAACCCTTTTTTTGCTTCAACTAAAAAAGAATCAGTTACTGATGCCCATTAGGACCACAAGGTATAGAAAGTCTCAGTAAATTCAAAAGGTAAAATTGAGTCAGTTGCAGAATTTCTGTGATACACAAAAGTCATAATAACAACCATCATCATCATCATCATCATCATCATCATCATCACCACCACCACCATCATCGTAATAATGATAATGATAATAATACGTCAACTTTTATTGCACATAACTCCAAGCAGAGTGCATGTTTGAAGTGCACAATCATAGTGAAAAAAGAGAGAGTTAATCTCAAAAGGCAATCAGAAACACAAGTTTCCAGGTGAGATTTGAAGAGTAAAAACCTTGGAACCTGTCAGTACACCAGAGCTACAGATAAGCAGCATATTTGCGTAAAATACCCCCCCCAAATATTCAAACCCAATTACTTTCAATTAACATGGGAACAGAAATGCATGCATTAAATGAAAAACTCAAATGTATAAAAATAGCATGCATAAATAGCCAATGAAGCCTTTTCAGCATGTGTACAAAAGAACGTTTTTCCCGAAACATAATTACGAGCTAATTTACTTTCCAAGTCAAGCCTATATATATAGAACAGTTATTTACATCTAAAACATTATTTTTCTTAAATCTTAAAATGTTCACTAATTTTTGGAGAAAAAAACAATAAAGTAAAGAATAGATGAGTGAAAAAATATTGGTAATCTAATGAAAAATGAAATAACCCAATTAAAATTGAAACCATAGTGTAAAAACTTAATTGCTTAAAAAGTTATCTGGAGCTCTAGTACACAATACTGGGTAATGTAGAAGGAGTATGTGTTAACATTGAAACTGACCGTCATCACAAGACAGAGGCAGATGTGATCCCACTGGGCAGTACGTTCCCACAGGACAGATGTTGCCGGTGATGCCATCAGTTGGAGTGTTGGATACAGCCTTCTCCTCACAGTAGTAGCCAGCATCACAGTCCCCTGGAGGCAGATGTCAACAGGATCAGCACGAGCATGGCTTATGATCATGGCAACATAACACAAACAGCCACAGATCCTCATCACAAATATCACACAAAGTACCGTATTCGATGTAATAAGCTCCGAGGTGCTCTCAAAATTAGAAAAAGGGGGCTTTCCTTAGAATATAATTTCTACGTTTGTGTACCTGAAATGATACAAAAGAAAAGCCTGTGTGTATTATACACGACAGATATATTTTTCCAGAACTTAATTGCCCATAATTAAGGGTGCATATAACATGACGGCGTATTATAAACATTATACATAAATAAATATTGTGTAAATTGATCAATCTGAAGAGGTACTAATTGGAATTGTTCACTAGCCAATGTTATTAGCAAATATCACTGTGGGCACTTATTAGAGCTGGGCGCTTATTATGTTGAAAACAGTACCGGTATATGCTTTATCTCTTCAGTTCAGCTACTGTTCCCTATGTAACAAGGCATTTGTGAAGGATGTCATACATGCAACAAGTTGGCTTATACATATGTCTGAATCAATGTCAGCTCTTCTGTTGATGACTATTGAGCTGATTAGCAGACCCATCATAGTTGATACCTTGTCTATTTTTATGAGTTTCTTTTGCCAAAATTTCATAGTAGGTGGTAGAAACTTACTGGTAAATTTCAACCTCCACATTAACTTACCATTAATGGATTAAAAATGAACTGAATTAACTTTGTACGACATTGACTTTTGTGTTGTAGTCAATCATTTTCCACTAATCTCAGCAATTCCATCAACAGTGTAAAACCCACAGATATGTTTGAGGTGAACTACAACCACAATGGTCCATCAGGATTTCAAGTGATGACTTCATAGCAGATCCTGGGTCCCGTTCTACAGAGCGATCTTAGTGGTACGTTGGTCGTAAGCCTATGATAAAGTATGGGAGTTACGACCAACGTAGCTTTGTGGAACGGGGCCCAGGAGCCATCAGTTTGTAAATGGTTGTGGTTTTGTCCTCTTGAATGCTATAAATATCACATACATGTTCCTGGGACTACACCTGATTGTGAAACTGTCATCCTAAAATGTTGTAAGTTACTTTTGTATTTTTTATGTTGGTCAGTTTTGTAAGTCAACTAACAAAAGTAACAAGGACCAAGGGATGTAACTCAGCTAAGCTCTGGGACACTCATGACCATTGTGGTACACCAGTTCATTGATGCATCATTCCAGCCTCCATGGACACTCGAGGAGAGTTCTCTGTTCACCCACCTGTGAAGTTGGAGAGTCCTTGAAGCTCGCAGTACTTGCCCCCGGGACAGTCGATACAGTCGTCCACGGCGTCGCGCCCGGTGTCGGGGAGGTAGGTTCCTGCTGGGCAGGGTATGGGGATTCCTGTACCGGCTGGGCAGTAGTGACCACTGGTGCAGTAGTCTCCGTATGTCTGACCAATGGGGTTCTGTTCGACAGCCCCAAGTGGGCAGTAGTGGCCCGCACTGCAGTTGCCCACAGGATGAGTCAAGCCTGAAGGACAGGTGACAGTCTTTACACTTCAGATACAACATCTAACTGTTATGCCATAATAAAGTAATTTTCATCCAATTTTCAATATGATGGACATGAGGCATTTTTTAAAGACAAATTGTCAGAGGCATCTGTCTACACAACTGTGGTCCCATTTGCCTGGAATGATGTTCATGATGTCAATCACTGGATTGTCTGGTCCAGACTCGATTATTTACTGACCGCTGTCATATAGCTGGAATATTGCTGAGTGCAGTGTTGAACAACAAACAAACAATAACACAACTGTGGATGGAGTCGAGATGAAATGGGGTTTTACGTCACCCTTACAATTGTTGGACATATATTACGACATGCATGCATATGTGTGTATGGCTGCTTGCACTAGTCCAGACTAATACCAGTTTTATACTGCTATCCCACTGAGATACCATGCCAGAGTTCAACATGGATAAACCACTCAGAATAATGGTTTTACAGCGCAACTCAAAGCTGGTACAATACATATATACAAATGTCTTGAGATGACACTGGGGCAATCTATTAAACATTCTATCAGACGTAAAGCTAGTGAATGATGACTGATAACACAACAACATCAAACTCAACCAATCTCCCACCTTCAGTGTTGCAGTATTCTCCAGGCGGACAGTCCTGGCACTGGGTGACGTTCTGCAGTCCGGTGAGGTCACTGAAGGTGCCGGCTGGGCACTTGACGGCCTGGTCAGATCCCTTGGGGCAGTAGGCACCCAGGTCACATACATCTCCAGTGGCGCCATCTGTGGGTCTGGCCGTCTCTGCACCACTGACACACACATAGCCAGAATCACACATGTCTGTTGGTTCTGTCAGGCCTAAAGATAGGACAGAAAACAGATTGTTTTACATTGCAATCACTGAGGCCTCAAGTGATTTGAACACACATTTACTAGGGGTACGGAAATTTGAACTATATTTCAATTAAATCAAACTTAACGACACCTTGGAATACATGTGAAGCCAAAGTTTTATAATTTATCTTGGAAGCATATAAAAAGTTCATTACACAAGGAGACCTTCTACAAGATGGAGTCTTCCAGCAAAAACATTTCATCACAGTAAAATCTAATTGGTAAAGAAGGATGCTGCACAAACATGTATGTTAGCAGAATAAAATGACAGAGACAAAAGACATCATTATAATCTGATTGGGACAGCAAGCCCCTGAATGTGTGAGTGAGGGAGTTGGGTTTAACGCCGCTTTTAACAGTATTCCAGTTATATTATGTCAGCTTAATGTGGGAGGAAAGCCCAAAGTGATGCAGGTCTAGATGTTTACCACCTTGGTGAAACCCACGAGCCTGGGCTGGTGCTGACAAATCTAGAAACATAATGATTCGAACCCATAATCATAGGTTTCTGGCGTGCCCAAAGGGATGCAACTCCGCACAGCGAATCGTGGCGCCTTAGACGACTGGGCCACCTGTGCCCCCGGCCTCTGAATGAATTATACTACTCAACTTTTGATAGAGATAATCAAGTATGTCTGACATATTCAAATATACACTTGACATATTATGAGAATCAGTTTTGTGTATTATGGAAAGACAAAAATATCCCTGTCCAAAGTGGAGTAGTATATGTACGGTCTAACACAAGGAGAAACATTATCTCTTCATGTGTCAGATGGAAATTTGCCTCCAGATTAATAAGAAATTATTCCAACTAATATTTGCAACCTACCTGGGTTTTCACAGAAGAATCCTCCAGTGCATGGCTTGCACTCTGCAGTTGTCTGTAGCTCAGTCTCGTTGCTGTATGTGCCTGTAGGGCAGGGGCTGGACGTCTTCACCCCCGTGTTGAGGGGACAGAAGTACCCTGGGGGACAGGGTGCAGGGGTCGTCACTCCACTGTCAGAATCACCCGTTGTATTCGCTACTTCTGCAGGGTCACAGTATCTACACAGAACAAACAATCATTAATACATCATCCCCCTGAAGTCAACATTATGCTTTCCACATTAACTCAAACAGAAATCAGTGAATTCCCTATGAGGTACTCTCACTCATTGATACATATTTTATAAGTTTTACTCAGTGCAGTATAAGTAAATATAGTTCACATGAATACCCCACTCAGACACAGTATACTGACTCTGAGCCGACCAGTCCTTTTAACGTCTTTGGTATGAACCCTGGACCTTCTGCTCTCCGCTCTATCTCTAGACCATGGAGGTGGTCCACTAAAAGAGCATCCGCAATAAAGATTTCACACCTGTAGCGTGTGTAGGGGTAATAATAGTGTAGCGCTATGAGTTTGGATTATTATTATTATTATAATTATTATTAACCATCCAGGATTCAGGATTAGAATAGGTCCCAAGCAACATTACTGGTTTGCTTTCGTAAAAAGTCGAAACATGGTCTGGTGGTCAGCCACTATCACTTGGTTTCATTCGACCCATGAGGCTATGGATGTTGCCCATAATTTCAACCACTGGTTGTCTGATCCAGGCTTGATTATTTACAGGCCTCTATGATATGACTGGAATAATGCTGAGTGCGGTGGTAAACAGCAAACAAATGATTAGTCTGATCTCATGGCTGATAATTATAATCATGAAAGCTTTATATAAGTAAACTGTTTCTCACTTTCCAGCAGGGCAGTCCTTGCAGTCACTCCTCTGTGTCTCATCCTGGTAGAACCCTGCAGCACACATCACTGGCTTGCCCGTCCCCACGGGACACTTGTGGCCCGTTGTACAGTTGTAGTCCACAGGATTAGGTGAGCTTTGGCCGGCAGGACAGTAGAATCCTGCTGAGCACGGGCCAGTACTGTAGTTGTTGGCAGTGCCGGCACAGTAGTAGCCAGGAGGACACAGGATGCAGTCGGTGATGTTCATGTTGCCGCTGGTGTTTGACAGCATGCCAGCTGGACAGGGGCTTGGTGTGGATGAACCTTTCTCACAATAAAACCCTGTGAAGGAGACAGTCAGTCATAAGGTGAGTGTAGCTTATATAATGGTCTGTGGAAAGAGTTTCAATTTCTCTATGGCAGCGTGAGTAGAGAGCAATGGTTGAGAGTAGCATTTTCCTGTTGCAAATAGTTACATATAGTTATATTGGCATCACTCTGGAAGCATAATTGGAGGAGGGTAAATTCGGAAAAATAATCTAGACCTCAAGCAACACAAGTGGGAATGTAAACGTGGAAGGTCACAGAGCTCTGAGAGTTTCCAGCTGCCGCCTCATGTTAGGGTGGCCAACAGCATAACTAGAATACTGAACCTTCAGTCAACAGAAGAACTTCAACATAAAATGTCCATGGAATGGTGTACTACTGGTATTACATTGGAGTGAGTTTGGTTTAACACTGCTTTGGGAAATATTTCAGTTATATCTCGGGGTGACAGTTAATTATGATGGAAAGCCCACAGCCCTGTTGCACTGATGTAGGAGGCTACCGGTATGTCTGACCTACCTGCAGGCACATGTAGGAGGCTGTCTGACCTACCTGTAGGGCACATGTAGGATGCTATGTCAGACCTACCTGTGGGGCAGATGTAGAAGGCTGTCTGACCTACCTGTAGGGCACATGTAGGATGCTATGTCTGACCTACCTGCAGGCACATGTAGGAGGCTGTCTGACCTACCTGTAGGGCACATGAAGGAGGCTATGTCTCACCTACATGTAGGCACATGTAGGAGGCTGTCTGACCTACCTGTAGGGCACATGTAGGATGCTATGTCTGACCTACCTGCAGGCACATGTAGGAGGCTGTCTGACCTACCTGTAGGGCACATGTAGGATGCTATGTCTGACCTACCTGTAGGGCACATGTAGGATGCTATGTCCGACCTACCTGTAGGGCACATGTAGGATGCTATGTCTGACCTACCCGTAGGGCACATGTCAGAGGCTACGTCCTACCTACCTGTGGGGCAGATGTAGGAGGCTACGTCAGACCTACCTATAGGGCACATGTAGGATGCTATGTCAGACCTACCTGTGGGGCAGATGTAGGAGGCTATGTCCGACCTACCTGTAGGGCACATGTAGGAGGCTGTCTGACCTACCCGTAGGGCACATGTAGGAGGCTATGTCTGACCTACATGTAGGCACATGTAGGAGGCTGTCTGACCTACCTGTAGGGCACATGTAGGATGCTATGTCCGACCTACCTGTAGGGCACATGTAGGATGCTATGTCTGACCTACCTATAGGGCAGATGTAGGAGGCTATGTCAGACCTACCTGTGGGGCAGATGTAGGAGGCTACGTCCGACCTACCTATAGGGCAGATGTAGGAGGCTATGTCAGACCTACCTATAGGGCATATGTAGGAGGCTATGTCCGACCTAGCGGGCGGGAAGATGTAGGAGGCTATGTCTGACTTACCTGTTGGGCAGATGTTGGTTGGTATGTCTGGTCGTACAGCTCCTCCGCTACAGTAGTAGCCAGCATTACAAAGGCCTTCAGGTTGTGTCAGCCCATAGAGGGTGCAGTACATCCCTCCATCACAGGTCACGGGGTAGGGGGATCCCTCGGGGCAGTAGGTGCCTGCAACAACCAGAATTCATAGTACATTCAGAAAACAACATGTACAAACACTTCATGACATTTTGTTGAGGACAGCTTATGTTGTTCCCACAACTCACATAGATTTCAGTGGTTTTCACAAGGTGCTTCAGTGGCTTTTGAAGCAAGACCAACTAGCTTGGTTGACTTCCTGATGCGCTGTAGGAGTCAAGATGACCCAACCAACCCATCCTGCTTGGATGCCCCACACACCCAGGTTAACAAGGACCCCACCATGCTTGGTAGCTAGGATGCCCCACACACCCAGGTTAACATGGACCCCACCATGCTGGGTAGCTAGGATGCCCTACACACCCAGGTTAACAAGGACCCCACCATGCTGGGTAGCTAGGATGCCCTACACACCCAGGTTAACAAGGACCCCACCATGCTGGGTAGCTAGGATGCCCCCCCCCCCCCCCCCCCCCCATGCTCAGGTAACTGATGAACCCACCTGGCCAGCACTTGCCACCTGTGTAGTTGGTGAGAGGGCAGGTGCAGTCTGGGAGGCTTGTGGCGTTGATGGTGGTCACTGGTTCTGCCATATAGGCCCCCCCTGTACAGTACCATCCTGCCGTGCAGTTGCCGGAGGGAGCAGCAAGCCCATCAGCTGAAGAAAATACAGACATCACTGGATGATTAATGATTCCTTATATTTTGTATGTTAAATTACATTTTCATATATTTCACATATCTGCAAATATCAGCCATCCCTTCTGTTAAAGCTTCTACATAACGATTACAAATCCAGTCTCCAGTCCATGCACAAACACCAGGACACCTTCGGGACTTCAGGGCCATACTTACTCTGACAGTACTGTCCTGGTGGGCAGACCAGGCAGTCCTCCTGTCCATCACTGCCACTGGCTGGGTTGTAGGATCCTTTAGGACAGGGATTCTCATAGGGGCTGGACGTGCCTGCGGGGCAGTAGTAGCCCTCCGGACACGGTTGCCCTGTGAAGTTGGTGGAGTTCTCCAGACAGTAGAAGCCTTTGGGACAGGTGGTGCAGTTCTGCTGACGGGGACTGTCACTGTGGGGACAGGAAGGTAAACAGAACTGAGGAGATGTAATACAATAGGCACTTTAGATACTTGCAACAGTGTCAGACTTATGTTTGATTGTTTGTTGTTTAATGCTGCACTCACCAATATTCCAGCTATATGACCGCAATCAGTAAACAGACAACACGAGCATTGATCTTCACAATTGGGACATGACAATTTGCATCAACCAAGTCAGCGAGCCTTAACCACCCAATCACATTACTCTCCTCTTACAAGTATAGTCGCCTTATACGGCAAGCATGGGTTGGTAAAGACCTATTATAACCCGGATCTTCACAGGCCAGTATTTTTAATGACTTATTCTGTAAGTATTATGGTCATTTCATTATTTGATTTGGCTCATCAAGTTTCTTCATGTTACTTTTTGTTCAGATTAAAATACCAGGTGAATTGTGTGATGATGACAGAAGCACACGGGGACATAAGTATTTAGTTTCTGATACACAACCAGTAAACAACTATGTCCTAACTTGTGCACCAATTAGCATTTCAAGCAATGTTCAAATGTCTTTTGAGTGGTCAATGAAAAATATCCCCTGAAACTTGAAACACTAATCTTTTCTTTGATGCTAATGATTCACCCACTTTGAATACATCACCAAGAGGTCAACATATGCTTGACAACAGAATTGACTTCACAGCATGTTTAAACACAATTCTTTCAAAACATTCAAGAAAAAAATCTTTTTTATTTTTTTTCCAAAAGTTTTCCATGAGCCCCTGAACTGTTCTCCCATCTCACCTGTAGCTCCCTGGGGGGCAGGAGAGGGGGTCAGTGGTGCCTGCTGGACAGTAGTACCCCTGGGGACACTCTCCCCCATCACCTGTGTGGTTGCTGGAGGGCTTGTCTGTGTCAACTCCTGCACAGAGAACCACGGGACATTCAGACATGGTCGGCCATGAATCAGGATGATTCTACTTAGGAAGTATTTGTTTTGAAATAACATAACACAATGTACATTTTGTTTTGTGGATTGTCTACAGGCTTTCATGAAGTAAAAAGGGAGGCGATCACAAAGAAAAGACAGGACAAGCAAACTGAATAAGATAAGTCTTTTGGCAATATCTTGAGATGGCTTTACATTCTGAGGATACTTGTTTTATATTAGTCTTGAAATAACTTCTTTCATGTACATGTAGGAATTTCAATAATAATCCATTTTATTTTTTTATTATTATATTTTATTTTGAAAAGTAATATATTTGTGTTTCGAAAAAAATCATGAATTTGTGACCAAACGGGGCAAGCCTCATATTATAGAAATAAGGTTATTCAACGCTCATTCAATATCACAAGACATAAGAAATGAATACCTAAAATACAATATGGCACTGAAGAACAGAATTAATCCAAATGTCCTTGGCATATATGACATCATGAGAGTTACTCACCTAGTCTGCAATAGTAGCCAGCAGCACATTCTCCACTGACCGCCGACAGAGAAGGAGTCTGACAGAACTTGCCCCCATCACACTGTGTGCATTGTCCCACTGAGCTCATCCCCTCCACAGGGTTGTAGGTGCCAGCAGGACAGGGCTGGAGGTCTGCCCCGGTCTTGTATGGACAGTAGTAGCCAGCCAGGCAGAAGTCAGCTCGGTCCCTGTTGGTGCAGTAATACCCATCTGGACAGTCATAACAAACAGCAGCTCCGGTGTGGTTGGTGTAGGTGCCATTGGCACAGTAGAAGTGTTGAGGGGAGCCCAGAGGACAGTAGGACCCTGCTGGACAGATGTTGCCCGTCACACCATCGTAAGGAGCTGGTGTACTGGCACCCAGGGTGCAGTAGAAGCCTTCATCACACTCTCCAGAAACAGCTGGTAGTCCTGTGGTGTTACAATATTTTCCTGGATCGCAGGCATTACAAGCAGACACATTGGTTCTGCGTGGGTGAGGTTGGTAGGTTCCGGCTGCACATGCTGTAGGCTGGTGGCTGTGTTCTGGGCAGAAGTAACCAGCAGGACACTCGTCGCCATAAACTTGACCGACCGGGTTGGCTTCCTCGGATGCATTACTGCAGTAGTATCCAGCTAGGCAGGATCCATTGGGGGCTGTCAGACTGGAGTGGGAGCAGAATTCTCCAGGTGGGCAGATGGTACAATCAGCCTCTGATGGCAGCTTATCTCGGTCCCCGAATGTTCCCTTGGGGCACGGGTCTGGCCATGATGATCCTTGTACACAGTGGGTTCCTTGTGGACAGGGTCCTCCTGATACTGACAGCGCCGGTGTGGGGGAAGTCGATTTCAGGACACAGTAGTATCCTGCTGTACACTGACCTGTTGGTTCGGTGATGTTCTCTGCCTCACAGTAGAAGCCTGCTGGACAGTCTCTGCATTCTCCAAGACTCTCCAGACCTGTTGTGTTGCTGTATGTTCCCAAAGGACAGGGGTTCTGTCGTGCAGTCATTGTGCCGTTGGGGCAGTAGAACCCGGCTGGACAGACCTTAGGGTTTACAACGCCATGAGAAGGAGCTCCAACTCCACTCTGCTGTTCAGTGATTGCCTCATTCTGATCACAGTAAGTTCCTCCCTGGCAAAACAAGCAATCTCCTCTCTCTGGATCTGGCTGGTACTGTCCTGATGGACATGGTGTTTGAACGCCACTTCCTTTTGGGCATGTGTGACCTGCAAGACATTTATTGCCTGGTGGCTGTGGCTGAATGCTTCCTTCGGGGCAGAACCAACCTATGTCACAGTCACCATTGGGAAGGTCCCGACCAGGACCAGCACAGTACATACCAGCAGTACAAGGGAGACAACTGCTGATGTTGTGATTGCCGAACCAGTCACTATACTCTCCTTCTTGGCATGCTATAGGTGAGGAGCTAGCTCGAGGACAGTAGTGGCCCTTTGGACATATATCTCCAAAAGTTTCATTCACAGGATTCTTCAATGTTGAACTAACATTACAGTAGTGTCCAGCATCACATTCACCAGTCACGTTTGCGAGGGCATCGACTTCACAGTAATGACCAGGCAGGCACTCCTGGGGGGACTCTGATCCCGGGGGACAGAACTGACCAGCATTGCACCTTCCTCCTATGCTAGTTGCTGGGCAGGAGCAATCACTGCCAGAGTCCAGACCAAGGATGGAGGGTCTGTCAGTCCATGATCCCAAAGCACAGTACCAGCCTCCTGAACACAACCCTGCTGGCTCCTCATTGCCTTCCCCTGGGCAGTAGTGGCCCACGGGACAGATCTGACAGGCATCGTATGTTGAGGCCTGGGTCTGGTTGTTGAAGGTTCCGTTTCCACAGGGGAACTGGTGTGCGAATTCCGTGGCTGGTGGACAGTAATATCCTGAAAGATGACAGGGATGTATGAGATTAAGCTACTGACAAAAACATACATTTTTCAACTTGTATGAGATTCAAATTCATCATCCAAAACTGGCTCCCACAGGAGATATTGCTTGGGTGAGATCAAGCGATATCTACATTGTAGATATCGCTGCAATGAAATTGCATCGCAATGCTTTGTGACATCATTGGTTACCATGACATCACAATCAAATGACATCACTAATGGCTCTGCTACTGAAGCTGTGAGCAGTACTTTTTACAGTAAAGACACTGCTTATTACTGTCTTCAAACTGAAAAAGTTGGAAGAATGATGTTGGATAATAAATAAAATCTCAGCCTCGTGTCTTTTGATATCAAATATATCAACACTTGTTGATAAAAATGGAAAAAATCCTCGACAAGCCTCGGAGTTTTTCCACCTTTATCAACTCGTGTTGATATATTTTATATTTTTATATTTTATCAAAAGACACTCAGGTGAGATTCTCTATATCAAACTTGTACATATAACACATGCTATGACTCAGTTCCCTGAAGAATGTAGGGTAGGTTTAAAAATAATGTGGAAAGTGTCACTCAGGTATTCAGTATTTTTGTACTTCAGTTTTGAGATATACATGCATTTTTTGTGCATGGATCATTACAATGTTTAGTCATAATATAGCATTTGTATTATGAAGGATAACAAAATCCACATAGTACACAAACACTTCTGAATTAGTATAATACACAGTTAATATACAAGACTTAAAAGAACACTCAACAACTTTAACCTTAGCCACTACAAAATGTCAGTTACCTTTGGGACATATGGTTTTGTTTGGAGCTCCAGCTTCACAGTAGAAGCCCGCAGGACATGCTGTGCAGTTGGACTGCATCTCATTGATATTGTAGTGCCCAGGGGGACAGTCTGTGGGCTGGCTAGATCCTTCCTTGCAGAACGTGCCGGCAGGACAGGGTCCTCCATTGGCAGTGACAGTGGCCGGCTTGGAGGAGATGGAGCCTCCAGCACAGTAGAAGCCTTCCTCACACAGTCCTGTTGGGTAAACTAGGCCAGGCACATCACAGAAGTAGCCAGGCAAACAGTCCTGGCATTCAGAGAGAGCCTTGATCATGGTTTGGTTGTTGAAGGTTCCTGCAGGGCAAGGAACAGGGTCCTGTGTTTGTTGTGTACAGTAGTGACCCACTGGACAGACGTCTGCATCCCCTGTGACATTACCAGTCGGGGATTTGGAATCGGAGCCGTATTTGCAGTAGAAGCCAGCATCACATGGTCCAGTCACTGCGGTCAGGTTGGCCTCATCACAGTAGAACCCGCCAGTACATTGTGTGCACTGGCTGAGGGTGGACAGACCAGTGGTCTGGCCGAAGGTTCCAGCTGGGCAGGACTGCCAGACATAACCAGTACCCTCGGGACAGTAGAACCCTGCTGGACATGGATCGGGATTCGAACCTGTGATGCAGTAGTAACCAGGTGTGCAGAGTTCGCACTTTTTCGTTTTGGTGACATCTGTGAATGTTCCTGGGTCACAGGCTATAGGATACGCTGTTCCTTCGGGACAGTAGTGGCCCACAGGACATTCATTTCCAGTCACATTGTCCACTGGGGTTGCTGAACTGGAGTTGCCTGAACAGAAGTATCCCTCTGTACAGTTTCCAGCAGGTGCCTCCATGCCTGACGTCGGACAATACTGACCCCCTTCACATCCCTTACACTGGTGCAGGTACTCCAGACCTGCAAGTAAAAGAATGGTCAATAGAAGAAAAGTTCTGTTCAAATTTGAGATTCTACTTTAATAATAAGACAAAGTGACCAGGGCTCACAAAGATGAAAAGAGCAATATTTCTTAGAAAATCTGCTTATCAAAAATCAAACATTGCACTGCACCTCTCCAATTGGTATAGAAACTGTACCCACAATTGGAAAAGAATCCAAGTAGTAGTTTTCATGTTATAGGTTGCACACATGTTGAAGTAAAATTCTTTCATAAATTCACAACAAGATACATAATGATATTTTTTTTCAGAAAATACACATATCAAAACCAAACTTTGAACTGCACCTCTTCCGTTAGTATTAAAACTGTTCCTTAAATTTGAAAAGAATCCATGCAGTAGTTTTCAAGTTTTTACTTAGAATTGTTTTACTGAAACATTTGTCCAACTCAAGTAAAAACATGAAAAATGACTATTTTTTTCAGAAAATCCAAATATTGAAATCAAACTTTGTACTGCACCTGCCTCATTGGTATAAAAAGCGTTTAAGTTTGAAAAGAATCTATGCAGTTGTTTTCAAAGTAACCTAGTCAGGGCATGGTGAGACACAAGCAGTCAGGTCATACATTGTAACTATTGATCCTCACAAGTCAGGTCATACATTGTAACTATCGATCCTCACAAGTCAGGTCATACATTGTAACTATCGATCCTCACAAGTCAGGTCATACATTGTAACTATCGATCCTCACCAGTCAGGTCATACATTGTAACTATCGATCCTCACCAGTCAGGTCATACATTGTAACTATCGATCCTCACCAGTCAGGTCATACATTGTAACTATCGATCCTCACCAGTCAGGTCATACATTGTAACTATCGATCCTCACAAGTCAGGTCATACATTGTAACTATCGATCCTCACCAGTCAGGTCATACATTGTAACTATCGATCCTCACAAGTCAGGTCATACAACAACCCCCATGCATGAGGGTTAGAACTGGTCTTTGGCAACCCAAGCTTGTTGTAAAAGGCATCTAATGGGATCAGATGGTCAGAATAACTGCCTCAGTTGTTACAGCATTAGACATCAAACAAGCAAAGCAAAGGTTACCATAGGAACCCATTCTGCTGAAGGTGAGGTAAAATGGTGTTTAACGTCATGTTCAAGACTATTGCCCTTATATAGCAATGTGCGTGTTGTGCTTGAATATGGCTGCTTATACTAGTGCGGAATAATTCCGATTTTATAGTGCTTGTCCACTGAGATAACATGCTGCAGTTTAACATGAATACCCCACTCAGACACAGTATACTGACTCCGAGCCGACCAGTGCAGGGTAATAATTCTCCCAAATAATCCCCATCTTGAAAGAATTATCCTACCTTCCACAGGGTTATAAGTCCCTGGAGGGCACAGAGTTGAGGCATTAGATCCTACAGGACAGTAGGCTCCCTTCTGGCAGATGTTCCCTGTCACACCATCTATAGGAGCTGCTACAGAGGCACCAGACAGGCAGTAGAACCCTCCATCACAGAAGCCGGATGGCGAGGACAGTCCCTCCTGCCCACAGTACTGCCCACTAGGACATGGAGTACACTCGTCAATCTTCTTCAGGTACAAGATGTCGTTATATGTTCCATTTGGACATCTGTGCTCCTTGGCAAACTTAGTTCCAGGGAGACAGAAGCTGCCTGGCTCACAGGGTGACGGGTTCTGGACTCCATGGTTACAGACAGTGTCGTTCTGGATTGTACCGTCACAGTAATACCCTTCAGGGCAGTCTTTGCAGGATGCCTGTAATTTAAGCATTAGGTCAATAATTTTGGTTTAATGCTGCCTTGTACAAAATTTCGGCTATATCAGCCCATGTAAGCTTAATGTTAAGATAGGATATCAGTCGGTAGGATGTTGACAGATCGAAGATCATCATCGTGGCAAATTTGAGACTTGATCTCAAAATCTGTGGATCCTGGCATGGATAAGGGACACAACTCTGCATGGTAAATTGAGTAAGAAACATTGGAATCGGAAAATCTTATATCCCTCATAATTAAAGACAAAGTGTCGCTGTATGGCGCCATGTTTTTTACTCATTAAAAATGCTTTTTTACTTAATAAGTATTTTGATTTCTTGTTAAATGAGTTCTTATTGGATTGATTTCCTTGCTAAATTCGTCATTATATTCTTCATATATCTTCATAATCATAAAATCCAATGTGCTTACTCTCTTGGTTTCTTTTGTAACAGTCTTAGTGTATTTAACATGCCATATGTGCTACGGTACATCCCAAATTCTTTTAGAATCACCACTGTACTTAGTAATCAAAACAAAATGTACCCTTGGTACATGCATTCAGTGAATTACCTTGCCAAATTCATCTTGGTACTTCCCGGATTCACAAGCCTCTTCCATCTTGCTCCCCTTGATGCACAAGTGGCCGGGTGTGCAGATGTAGGATGTCGGTGTGCTGGTGTTCTGGCCTTCGGGGCAGTAGTAACCCTCACTGCACAAATCTGTCGGACTTTCCTGACCATAACTGTCACAGTAGAAGCCTGGAAACAAAGATACACACTATACTACTGTGGTTCCTGCATAGCTTTTGACCACACTCAGCTACATTCCAGCAATATGATGGCAGCCTGTAAATAATCTTGTCTGGACTAGACAAACCAGTGATTGATATCACGATTAATATCCCATGCAGTCAGTGTATGATGACATGCAATCAATCAAATCATCAAACTGTCTAAATAGTCGCCTCCCATGACCAGCATAGGTTGCTGCAGATGTGTTGATAATAACTGTGGAATGACATTCAATTACCTTGAAGTAAAAGCTCAAATAAGTCCCACTATCTTTGTTCTGTTTGTAGCAGGGCATAGAGTCGTCCTACAGATGACATCCTGGCTTGCTGACGGGGTTAACCTCTTTGGTCATGTGGACAAGTCGTCCGACCTCGGTCAAATGGTCCGTGGTTCGAATCCCATCACGGGACTCGGAAATTTTATGGCCACTACATGTTTTACAGATTTCTGACAGTAGTGATTGAGTGAGTGGTGTTTTTTACGAACTGTTTCTAAAAGTATACAACTCAAAAGAAGTTAAAGAACACCCGATTTTTTCAAATGACAATAGTTATTCTGTCATGGCTGGTGGCTGTCAGCCTTCCAATTGTGGGTGTTCATTAACTTGTTTTGAGTAGCATCCCCCAGACACAGACCAGCAGCCATCTTTAATCCATGTGACAGAGTGCGTGAGTTGTATCAGGACCTGTCAGCTTCATGTTGGAGGAAAGCCTGAAGTGATGCAGGTCCCTGACATTTACCACTTCAGTAAAATCCCTGAGTTTGGCACATAGGAAGGAGGCTGATCAAATAGTGGTTCTGTTTCAGCGTTAACAACATTTGGAGAACTGGACCGTAGTCTCGTGTGTGACAAGCCAACACAGTATCCACAATCTTCTTTCTAATACAGTGGTATCTGTCAAAACTGAACTTTTTCTCCAGTCCCCTCAGTTCCTTAATAAATTATCATTACTCAAACTGACCTGCTGCTATCTAAATCCCACTTTCAGACTAAAATGATGGTCCCAATACACCAATTTATTATTGAAAAGAAGCTGTCTAAATCAGACTGAACCAGGTATGACCGGACCGGATGTTCTCTCCCTTTAAAGTAAGCTCAGTCACTGTCCGCTAAAACAACAGTGCTAAACCTGCATGTAATACTATTAGTTTGAAATCACTTGTGTTTCGTATGGGCGACTGTGAAAATGTGACAATATCCCACTAGCACAATTGGTTTCGCATCTCAGACTAGACAAGTCTAACATTTAGTACTCTGTGTAATCTAAACCTCGCCAGACTTTTTTACCGGTGCAAACTGAATTGGACAGATTCCACTGTATATGATAATACGACATGTCATAATCTCTCTTTATTACTTGCCCGTGAAGAGATCACCCGTTTAATAAACATACAGCTGTATCACACATTGTGTAATACCAAAACGCGTGCTTATGTACTCTCCGAACATGTTTCTAGAACAAATATTGAAAGCTCTCAACATCCCTTGGCTCATTCAACGACATTGCGTGTGGAGATGATAGATCACTGAGAGGAGCTTATGCACACTCAACGACCCCAGCAACCTTGTTACTAGGCTGACGTCATATGGCATTGTTTCCCCGAAGGATCTTGCAACAAAATTCCACAAATTACGTCATCGGGTATTGTGACGTCATTGTAAACTTTGAGCTGCAAGGCCCCGTTCCACAAGGCGATCGTACTGTAGCACGACAGTCGTTGGTCTAAGTTAAAGTATGTGAGTTGCGATAACCTTAACGCTACTATAATTTTGTGGAATGGACGCCTGATTTGTAAAGGTGGGCCGTTGTATGGTATTAAATTCATACGTTTCAACTTTTGACGTGTTTGAAGTATTATTGTGTTAAATTCAATTGGATTATGCCTTGGATCATGTAGGTGTCAGCCTATTCACACTCAACAGTATAATTCTAAAAATGTTATAAATGGCAAGTAATAAATAAAATACTATTCTCGCTCCCGTGTAAAACCAATTTTATGAAACTCGTGAAGAGATGTGGTATCTGACTCGCTTTCGCTCATCAGATACCACAACTATTCACTCGTTTCATAAAATTGGTATTACACGGGAGCTCGTTTAGTATTCTATATTTATGCTTGCCCTCCCTGTTATTATCATCAAAGTGCTGCCTCACCTGAAGTGCACAACCTGCAGTCACTGAGCTGCGTGTTCCCTGTCGCGTTGGTGTAGGTCCCTGGGGGACACTTGATAGGGTCTCCTGTTCCCTTGGGGCAGTAGGCTCCCTTGGGGCATGTCCCCCCTGTAGCATCTCCCTGGGGGTCGGGGCGGATGGCGCCAAGGGTGCAGTAATACCCTGCTGTACATGGTGCAGTTGCATCTGCTAGGCCAGCAGTCTCGCAGTAGGAACCTGTGGACAGGGACAATATTTGTAATTGTTATACAGCTGTGTCATGTGGCCGAACAAAGTTTCATCTGCTAGAAACCAACAAGGTCTCTGCGAGTGCCAATGCATAGATTGCCGATCTTGTTCAGAAGATCTCACATGATTGGAAATGAACCACGTTAGAAAGGAATTTGGGCACAACAAAACAACTGATTACTATTGGCAAGGTCATTACGCCAAAACAAGGACCTGACCCCTGAGGTGGTCTGATTGGACTGAAGCCTCATTAAGACCTTGCCAAGAGTAAGTATTTGTATATCAAAATAAAAGAACAAATGACAGCTTGAATACAACATTTCAAGCACTATTAGAACTCATACAACCTCCTGAGAGGATGACTTTAGCTGAACATGTCACACTGTTGAATATTATACACATTCACCTTGTCATTCCTAAGATCTTTATTTTATCATCAATTTACAAATACATGTACCAGTATTATAAACTATGGTGTATCTTGCAACAATATTTCACAAATTACGTCATAGTTATTGCAACATGTTTGTTATGTTTATGGTACAGAATTATTAGAAAGTTTCTTAAAATGTGCAACATGAATATTTCTATGTCTAAAAATAGAAAAGGGAGAAATCTTGTCGGGTGTTTCCTTTTCATGGAGAACCTGATAACCCAGAAAAGATAATGTTATTGACGAATAATGTACTTCATTGAGCTTTAAGGTAAGCTACACTTACCTGGTTTACACAGCAAGGGTTCACTGGATCCGCGGGGACAATAGTAGCCTGGCTGGCATTGTCCACCGGTGATGTCTGCTGGGCAGGTGCAGGAGGTGTCGTTGGCCGTGTAGTTCCCAATCTCCGTGGGTTTAGCTGTCCAGGCTCCCCTCACACAGTACCAGCCTTCAGTACAGAGGTCTGTCGGGACAGTCAGTCCAGGACTTCCACAGTAGTGCCCTGGCTCACAAGTCATACAGTCAGACGCACTCTGCTTTCGGGTGTAGTTATTGTACGTCCCTCGCTCACATGGGTACTCGTATTGGTCTTTCGTTCCTTCTGGACAGTAGTGTCCTGTTGGGCATTCTGTGCCGGAAAAGTCAGTTGAATTCTCTGGACAGTGGTATCCTGCCGGACACATCAGACACTGTGCAAGACCTGTAGATGGACTGTATGTTCCAGGCTTACACCCAAGAGGATAGGAGGTTCCATTTGGGCAGTAGTGTCCAACAGGGCAGGGTCCTCCTGAGGAGTTCAGAGTTGGGTTGTTGGGGTACTTTGCTCCTGTCAGACAGAAGAAACCCTCATCACAGGGTCCTGATGGTGCTCCTAGACCTTCCTCTCCACAGTACTGTCCATACGTACACTGGATGCAGCTAGTAACATCTATAGCCTTGAGGTTTGGATTAAAGGTTCCCAGGGGACATTTCTGAGGTGTGATAGTCTTTGCTGGACAGAAGTGTCCTTCTGGGCAGGGTCCTGATACACCTGTGACATTCGTCTCCGGGGTGGGAGAGCTGGAACCTTCTGTACAGTAGTATCCCTGTTCACAGTCCCCAGCTACCACTTGAGCACTGGGAGCATCACAGTAGTGGCCTCCAGTACACTGAGTACAGTTGGCGACATCCCACAGACCAGTGGCAGTGCTAAATGTTCCTGGAGGACAGCTTTTGTAAACAATTCCTGTTCCTTCTGGGCAATAGTAGCCAATTGGGCAGACACTAGGTGGGTTCACACCGTCACACCAGTGCCCAGGAGCACATGGTTCACAGGTCTCGGCTTGAGTTGACTTCTGATAGGTTCCGTCTGGACAGGGAACAGGGACCTTAGTTCCTGGTGGACAAAAGTGTCCTATAGTACAAGGAGCTCCTGTTGTCCCTCCGTCATTGGGCATAGACGAACTTGCTCCTTGGGTGCAATAGAAGCCACCCGAACAAGGTCCTGTTGGTTCCTTCAGACCGGTGGCATCACAGTAGAATCCTCCAGAACAGGCTAGACACTCAGAAGCTGTTCCTAGGCCTGTGCTGTTGGACCAGGTTCCTACTGGGCAAGGGTCTGGGGCAGCTGTTCCAGCCGGGCAGTAATAGCCCTCCGGACAGCGGTCACCGGAGATCCCATCGACTGGCGTGGGGATGGAAGAGCCATTGATGCACCAGAAAGTGATATCACAATCACCTGAAAAAAACCCATACAAAATAATGATATACCCAATACATGCATACAAAAAATGACCAACAAATACACACATACAAAATAATGACATACCCAATACACACATACAAAATAATGACATACCCAATACACACATGAAAAAATAATGACATACCCAAAAATGACATACCCAATACACACATATAGTTCAAACTTGACCCAATGACAGCAAAAAACAAATTGATTCTACACAAGCTGAGTGAATGTTGTTTTATGACACAGGCAGCAATATACAAACAATATCACATCAGCCAGTAAAAAATCAAGGCTTGACCATGCAAACCAGAGGTTAATAACAGGAGCAATGACCAACACAATCAGTCATAGTGACCACCTGACCCTCAGTTTTGTCTGCATGCCCCAAGGCTGAGGCTGCCCTTGGACCACCACAAGTGTTCAAGAGAGTGAGTGAGTGGGTGAGTATGGTTTTATGCTGGTTCTAGAAATATTTAAGCAATATCATGGTAGAGGACACCAGAAATTATCTTCACACATTGTACCCATATTAGGAATGAAACCCGGGCCTTCGACATGATGAACAAATGCTACCACCAGGCTGCCCCACTGCTCCCTTGGGGGAAAAAAGTAATCAAACAGATTTAACCATACCTGTGACGGCCTCTTTGCCGGAGGAGCTGCAGTATTTGCCAGCATCACACGGGGTGCACTGAAACACAGTCTGCAGCTTGGTGTTGGGGTTATAGGTCCCTGCTGGGCAGCCGAACTGGGTGGACCACTTGGTACCGTTGGGGCAGTAGTACCCCTTGGGGCAAGGGTAGGGGGCGACGGAAGACAGGTCAGTGGAGTCATCACAGTAGTAACCTGGGAGGAAGGAACATGGGTAACATCTGTGTGTCTGATCATCATATTGTCACAAGCAAATCAATCTCATTAAAATCAGACCTTAGTTCTCGCTACCACTAAACAAAGATCTGAAGATATCCCATTAGGGGTCACGTCAGAATGACCTTTCATCCAACCAATCACTGCGTTGCTTACAAGATTATGAAAGTGACAGTCGGAATGTGATTTCTAATCATGCAATCTCGAAAACTTTAACATGGGGTATTCCGAACAATAGTTACGGGTTTAATGACTGAATCCTTACAATCTAGACCATCTATTAGCCATTCCAGAATGTTTTTTTGTTCAGGTTTCAAATTTGTAATTGAGAATTTGTCAAAATATGTTTCGAAGCGTAGTCGCCAATTTGAAATTTGTGCCGTAAAGCACGAGAAAGCTGCCTTCTGATTGGTCATTCCATTGGTCTGTCAAAGTTCACGCAAAGTCAGTCTGACGTGACCCATAATGGGATGTCCTCAGATCTTTGTTTAGCGGTAGCGAGAACTAAGATCTGATTTTAATGAGATTGCAAGCAAATAAATTAATTTTGTAATAGTACCTTTTAATAGGATTGTATTTGGGACAACACTCCATAGTAAGTCACACAATGATTGGAAGAATGAGTCAATGAGAAAAGTTACCAATGGACACACACACTTATAACACAGAAGGGGCACATAACCAAGTGACATCAGATGAAAGGACCAAAATATCTATAAATTACAATATTTCCAAAACTGAAAAATCAGACTGACCCAAAAATGGCCAAACAAATTCTATAAATGATGAAATTTTGTATGAGCTGAATAATCAAGATATTATCAAAAGAGGCCGAAAGATCAATACATGATGAAATTTGGCACGAGGGGTGAGATATTGTTTTGCTAACAGTCACAAATATCCTGACAAGTTTGGACTACCGTATTCGACGTAATAAGCGCCCCGCTCTAATAAGCGCCCACGGCGATATTTGCTAATATATTGGCTAGTGAACAATCCCAATTAGCACCCCTTCTGATTGATCAATGTGCACAAGACTTATTTATTCTCGTATAATACATTTGTTATATGCATCATTAATCATGGGAAATTAAATTCTGGGAAAATATATCTGTCGTATATAAACATTTCAGGCTATCAGCATAAACCACGAAATTTACGATCTTTCAACTCTGTTGTTTTCACTTAAATAATATTCTAATAAGAGCCCCCTATTTCTAATTTTGAGAGCGCCCTGGGCGCTTATTATGTCGAATACAGTAAGTCAATATGTGAACATACCTGCCACACATTCCTTGCAGCTTCCTTGCCCCGTGCTGTCTTGGTAGGTGCCGGAGGGGCAGTGTGTTGGCTGGATGCTGCCAGGGGGGCAGTAGTGACCGGTAGTGCAGGGGAACGGGTTACTCAGGTTCTGGCCAGGGGGACAGAAGTACCCTGGGAAGCAAACCGGAGGTGAGTGAGGCTACACAGCGGTTTCTGTCATGTCAGGGTGTGTCAGCTTCACATGGGAGAAACTACCAAGACGACTGATTGTAGATGTTCACAACTTTGGTTAAACCAAACCAGACAAACCAAAAATCCTAATGGAATCTGGGATTCAAACTCATGAACAGACATAGTTAATGTACAAAACCTTCACAGAGTTGTTTGCCTAAGAAACCAGTGCTTCCCATGACATCATGTAATTAGTGTAGAGGCAAATATTTATTTACCAAATCTTAATTTTCAACATGTTCTGAACAAAAAAAACATTTCCTAAAATGAGAAATTTCTTTGTCCTTAACAAAGTCTGCTTTAGTCTGTGCATTAGTCTGTATGAGCTAAAAAACACATTTCATTTCTGCTGTAAATGGTTAAGATAACTGGTAGTTTTGGCATGCCAGTTGATATTATATATTGAACAAAAAAGTTAAGGATATTTGGGGGGATGTTTTTGTGAAATTGCGTGCTGCGTCTTCACAACAAAAATATAACCTAAAAAATATTCATGATCCCAATTTGTTTCAATGGCGTTTGGTATCCATATCTGGTAGTCTATAAAATTCTCAATAATATCTCAATGTGTTTACCTTCGTCACATGGTCCTGAAGGTTCTGTGAGCCCCAGGTTTCCACAATACATTCCCTCAGTACATGGAGTACAGTCACTTGCAGCCTGGTTGCCGGTCCGGTTGGAGAAGCTTCCCAGAGGACACTTTTCCTGGTCAGTCGTTGTTCCAGTTCCTGTGAAGAATTACTTGAACCTTGCCAAACTAGAACCTTGCCAAACTGGAACTCATTCCCATACATCACAACCTGGCAGACATCTTTAACCACACTCCATCCCCCATCCATAATTGTCTTTGATAAATGTTATTCTTTCCTACCATAGTAGCACCTGGAGAATATATATAAGGAAACAACAGCCCCTGTCCCTATGATAAGGTAACATCATTCTCTCTCACAATAGCATCTCCCTATCACTGTGATAAAGCTTGTATCATTCTCTCTCACAAAAATATCTCCCTATCACTGTGATAAAGCTTGTATCATTCTCTCACAAAAATATCTCCCTATCACTGTGATAAAGCTTGTATCATTCTCTCTCACAAAAATATCTCCCTATCACTGTGATAAAGCTTGTATCATTCTCTCTCACAAAAATATCTCCCTATCACTGTGATAAAGCTTGTATCATTGTCTCACCACAATAGCGCCCTGGGGGACAGATGTCTCCTGTAACAGCATCTGTGGGGTCATCACGAGAGGCTCCTTCGGCACAGAAGTAGCCCGGTCTACAGGGCCCCGTCACATCAGCAAGGCCTGAAATAACACACAGCATTCATAGAGAAAAGATCTCACACACATAAAATATTTTACTTGCTGTTAAATATTAGGGACACAAAAGTGATCCAATTTGAAGGAATATGCAATGCAAAGTCTACTAACTCTACTCTACATATTTTACTTGGCTAAAGTTTCAATGAGTTATGTATTATTCACAATACTCCAGCCATACGATGGCAGGGGACACCAAGAATGAGCTTCAGACATTGTGTCCTTTCAGGGGATCAAATCAGGCTTGACGAGGGAATGCTTTACCCCCTACGTTATCCTACCACGTCCCCAAAATTAACAGTAGATGTGACAATGCCAATGGAAGAAGGGGGTGTCACCTGGTGTGGAACAGTACTGCCCCTCTCTGCAGATGGTGGGTTCCTGTGATCCGGTGGGGCAGTAGTACCCAGGCCTACACTGCCCTCCGGTCGCATTGCTTGGACACAGGCAGTCATCGAAGGTGTAGTTGTTGTAGTCAGTGGGCTTACTGGCCCATGCTCCCAGCACACAGAAGTACCCTATGTGGAACAACAGGCATTCAACATACTTTGCAGGTAAATTGAGATTATATTTCAAATAGTCTGTTGCAATCTGGACACCATTTATTTAAATGTAATGTGAAAGGCAAGTTACAATTTCTATTTTCTATGTTTCATTCACATTTATATAAGAGTATGCATAACAGTAAGAAAGACAAAAACTATGAGTAGTAGTTGTCCTTTCTTCAGTCAAAAGAGGTGAGGTTGTGTGAGATGGTGTAAGGTGGTGAGAGGTGGTGAGAGGTGGTGATAGGTGGTGGGAGGTGGGGCGAGTTGGATGGGGTTGGGTGGAGTTGGATGGGGTTGGATGGGGCTGGATTGGGTTGGATGGGGTAGAATGGGGTTGAATGGGGTTGGATGGGGCTGGATGGGATAGAATGGGGTTTGATGGGGTAGAATGGGGTTGGATCGGGCTGGATGGGATAGAATGGGGTTTGATGGGGTAGAATGGGGTTGGATGGGGCTGGATGGGATAGAATGGGGTTGAATGGGGATTGGATTTGGTTGGATGGGGTTGGATTTGGTTGGATGGGGTTGGATGGGGCTGGATGGGGTAGAGTGGGGTTGGATGGGGGTTGGATGGGGGTTGGATGGGGTGAGATGGGGTTGGATGGTGCTGATTTTGAGCATGCCTCCATTCCTTCTTTCAACTCTTATAGGTAATAATTAATATTATTCAAAGACCATCACAGTCTATCAGATAAAAGTTGTTTTTCTTCTTGCCTTCATCACAAAGACCTGAGGGGTAGGACAGGCCCTCAGTGCCACAGTAGTGCCCCCCAGGGCACAGCACACAGTCCTCCACCGACTGGCCCATGGAGCTGCTCCGGGAATAGCCCCTCGGACACGGGAACTGGGTGGCAAACGCTGTACCGTTGGGACAGTAGTGTCCCTGTGGACACGGGTACAGCTCGTAGTTGGTGATGTTTTCTGGACAGAAGTAGCTAGGTGGACACTGGAAACATACGTCACGTCCTGTGACATTGTTGTACGTTCCGGCCGGACACTCCAAGGGGTAGGATGTTCCAGGAGGACAGTAGTGGCTCACAGGGCATGGTCCTCCTTTCTCGGGTTCAGCTCCTACATGGGTGGAGATTTGTATAGACCTCAGGATGACCATTTATAAGACTTCTCAGACACAGTGAAAACTCATAGCATTTCATTTTTTCATATATGCTTATGTGTGAAAACCTGTAAATATGAATTCCGGATGACCAATGAAAGTCTGTCCACTTCTCTGTGGATAGTGACAAGCAGAATGCCAACATCAGATCATAGAGGTGATCAAAACCCTGCTAGCACCACAAAGTCCAACTCTTCTAAAAGTATATACATGTATCCAGGAAAATTAGAACTTGATGTTTCACTGCATTTGATTAAGCCTTCTGAATATTTACTAAACTGACTTTTTCTCCTGTTTGTGTTTTTACCCCAAAATATTTCTCAAATAGTTGTCTAAATATGATTACTATCTAAAATTTCTTTCCAGTTTTATTACTATTATTACAAATGCTTCTAAAAACTGAAAATTCAAAAGACCTGAAACCAATGGGACCATTCTTCTCTTTCAAGAAACAGACCCAAATAGTTAAAGGACTTCTTTGTACTGACAATCTGTATCTGTAGAACGTGTGGTGACAAACCTGTAGGATTGGGAACATTGTTTCCTCGATAACAGTAGAAGCCAGGCCAACAGGGGCCAGTGGAGTCGGACAAGTTGGTGGAACCACAGTACTGTCCCAGTTTGCAGTCCAGGCAGTCGGTGGGGTTGGTGCCCATGATGGCGTCCCTGTAGGTGCCATTGGGGCACGCAATGGGGTCCTCTGTCTGTTGGGGGCAGTAGAAACCGGCAGGACATGGCCCTCCAATGCCAGTGGTTGTTGCATCAGTTGGCGTGCTTACATTCACACCTTGGAAATACAATGGTTTGAAGTTGATGTAGATGTCATGCAAGGTGAACAGGTTACCATGGTCTATTTGTTTGTATACACATGAAAAGCACATGGTGGTTCATAAGTAAAACACAAAAGGATATAATAATAGATGAGGGCAGCAGAAAAAACGTAACTTGTTACTTTACTTTATTTGCATGAATAAAAATACTATAAGGTAACATGTACTTGAACTACATAAGCATGAGTCTTGTGAGACAACACTTCTGAGCATTCCCCTCTAACACAGCCTTCCTATTCATGACATTTCACATTTTCTGCACAAGCATGAGGTTCATAGTTGTCTCCAACAACAGAAGTTGTATGCATGTTTCTGCCCTCACCCATCACAAGTCTACAGATGCCTCTTATATCACCCCATCATAACACAAGTCTACAGCTGCTAGTGATCTCAGCCTACCACAACCCAAGTCTACAGCTGCGAGTGATCTCAGCCTACCACAACCGAAGTCTACAACTGCTCCTGATCTCAGCCTACCACAACCCAAGTCTACAGCTGCTAGTGATCTTAGCCTACCACAAAACAAGTCTACAGCTGCTAGTGATCTTAGCCTACCACAACCCAAGTCTACAGCTGCTAGTGATCTCAGCCTACCACAACCCAAGTCTACAGCTGCTCCTGATCTCAGCCTACCACAACCCAAGTCTACAGCTGCTAGTGATCTTAGCCTACCACAAAACAAGTCTACAGCCGCTAGTGATCTCAGCCTACCACAACCCAAGTCTACAGCTGCTAGTGATCTTAGCCTACCACAAAACAAGTCTACAGCTGCTAGTGATCTTAGCCTACCACAACCCAAGTCTACAGCTGCTCCTGATCTCAGCCTACCACAACCCAAGTCTACAGCTGCTAGTGATCTTAGCCTACCACAAAACAAGTCTACAGATACCTGCAGTGTTAGCATACCTTGTTTGCAGAAGTATCCAGCTGCACAAGGTCCAGTGCCAGTGTCATTCTCACTGAAGTCAAAGTTCTTAGCTCCGAGGGCATCACAGAAGTAGCCTCCCTTACAAGGTCTGCAGTCATCCACATGTGCCATTTCTGGAGGAGAATGTGACACACATAGTATACAGTCGAATTAAGTACAGCTCATCCCATGACTGGTTATATTTGTTGAAAAATAACATAACAGGCATTCTGTTCACAAAACATAATTCTTTATGAGACTAAGATTGATTGAATCACATAATGACACAAGAAATAGGCTTCACACACTGCACCAATGTGAGTAAATTAATTCCGGTTCTCGTCCTGGCAAGCCAACACTTTCATCACAAGGCTACCATATCAGCCTAAAAGTTTATTTAGTGACTAGAGCATTGGCAAGAAATTCCACAAGAACATGCCAATGATTACACTACTTGGTACCAGTGTTACACATACCAAAGTCTGGGTTGTAGGTTCCCCTGGGACACTTGGGTTGGTCAGTGGTGGTGTTTCCAGGGCAGTACCTCCCTGGGGGACATCTGAGCGGGATCTCACCGTCCGAGCAGAAGAAGCTTGCCGGGCAGTCCATACAATTGGCTCTCCCTGTCACATTGTTGAAGGACCCTGGCGGGCAGGGTAAAGGCTCACCTGGCACAAACACAACATCAATTATTATCTTCAAGGTCAATAATAAAAGAAAAGTTACTGAGATTTTAAAGCGCTACCAGCATGCGTAACAAACAGAGCATGTTGTGGCATCATAGATTTCAGGGCATACTGTACCCCAGATAGGGATTAACAGCACCCAGATAGGGATGAACAGTACCCAAGACAGGGATTAACAGTACCCAAGACAGGGATTAACAGTACCCAAGACAGGGATTAACAGCACCCAGATAGAGATGAACAGTACCCAAGAGAGGGATTAACACTACCCAAGACAGGGATTAACAGTGCCCAGATTGTGAGTAACAGTACCCAAGACAGGGATTAACAGTACCCAAGACAGGGATTAACAGCACCCAGATAGAGATGAGCAGTACCCAAGAGAGGGATTATCAGTATCCAAGACAGGGATTAACAGTGCCCAGATTGTGAGTAACAGTACCCAAGACAGGGATTAACAGTACCCAAGACAGGGATTAACAGCACCCAGATAGTGAGTAACAGTACCCAAGACAGGGATTAACAATACCCCACGCAGTGATTAACAGTACCCAGATAGGGATTAACATTGCCCCAGATAAGGATTAATAGTATCGCAGACCGGGATTAAAGGTACCCCATACAGAGATGAACAGTGTCTCACTGATGGCAAGCCATGGCAAGTGTCTATCTTGTACAGGGCTATACATTGAAAACAGTGTCAGAAAGGGGTGTTTTACAGCATCATAGTACAGTGGCCCTAAATCTTCATGTTTTAACATCAGTGGTCCCTCAACTTGCATGCCTAATTTCAAACACTAGAATGTAGTTTTTCTTGCACCAAGAAATGTACACAAAATAGGTAACACAACACAGCATACCTGTTCCTTCTGGGCAGTAGTTCCCTTTGGGACAAGGATCCCCTGTGGCACCACCGTCACTGGGCTTATCTGTGCCAGCTCCACCCCTGCAGAAGTACCCAGGCGCACACACCCCATTAGGTTCAGTGAGACCATAGCCATTGCACACCCTGCCAGGGTCACACAGGGTGCAGTTCTCCTCTGCCTGTAGCCCTGTGTAGTTGGTGTAAGTCCCGTTAGGACATGGGCTGTGCACATACTCGGATGTTCCCTCGGGACAGAAGTATCCAGGTGGACAGAGATCTCCAAAGGGCTGGCCGATTGGGGTGGAGGTGTTTGATCCAAGGGTGCAATAGTGTCCTGGCTGGCATTTGGTGTTTGGATCTGCAAGGCCAACATATTCACAAGCTTCACCTTGAGTACACGGGTTGCAGTGATCTTCTTGGTATCGGCCTACATCTGGCAGGAAGGTGCCCCTTGGACATGGATTAGGGAAGTCTGTACCTTCAGGACAGTAGTAACCCTTTGGACATAGGATGGGTTCAATTGTTCCAGTTCCATTGCAGAAGTAGCCTTGAGCACAGAGGTCACATTCTCCAGATCGGCTGGCTCTCTGGTAGCTTCCCTTGGGACAAGGTTCCGGTTTGAAGGCTCCTGCTTGAGAGTAATGTCCGGCTGGGGTGTCGAACTGAGTAGCAATACCAGAACCACCGGTGCAATAGTAACCAGCGGCACACTTCTGGGAGGCGTCAGTACTACTAGAGCCTGCGCAGTAAAACCCAGGGTCGCATGGGATACAATCAAACTCTGTCTTGGCCCCTGGAGATTTACTGTATTTTCCTACTGGACAGGATGCAGGATATGCAGTTCCGGGTGGGCAGTAGCCTCCAGCTGGACACACCCCCCCTGTAGGTCCATCAGGAGGGGCAGAGGTGTACGCTTTCTCTCGGCAGTAGAAGCCAGCATCACAAACATCAGTTGGTTCAACCCTGCCGATGCCGTCACAGTAGTAGCCTCCTGGACAGGGGGTGCAGTCTGTACTTCTTCTCAGCTCCGTGGAATTACCGTAAGTACCCAGTGGACAGGGTTGAGGGAATGTGCTTCCACTGACGCAGAAGTACCCTCGTGGACAGCTTATTGGTGTTGCCAGACCTTCTCTGTCACAATAGAAACCTGATATACACTCTGTACAGTCTTGGAATGACTCCCTGGCAGACCCATTTCGGTAGAACCCTATTGGGCAGGGGTAAGATTCAGGAGCAGCTGTTCCTAAAGGACAGTAGTAACCACCAGGACAATCCCCTGCAGGAGTTGACAACCCTTCAGGAATACAGTAAGACCCGGGGGTACACTGAACACAGTCAGACACTTGTTTTCGGCCATAATCAGGATTGAAAGTGCCATTTGGACACGGGACAGGGTAGGGGTTGACATCTCCTGCTGGACAGTAGTGACCAGTCCTGCATTTATCCTCGATCAGATCGGGTTGTTTGTACATCCCTGGCGGACACTCCACTCCAGCTGGGCAGATCCGGTCTGTGGTCATGAAGGCAAGGCTGGTAGCGTTCTGGTCACAGTAGTACCCTGCCTTACAGGTTGTACACGAGTCAGCGCCGGCGGCCGAGTAATTTCCCTTCTCACAGGGAAGTGGCTCAATGTTTGCCAGTCCAGGGCAATAGTAACCGGCTGTGCAGTCTCCACAATCGGTCAGCTTCTCTCCCTTGGTGTCTTCACGGAATGAACCACTGGAACATTAACAGAGCAGACATATTGATGTCACAAGAAATATATTCAAATTTCCATCATCACATAATGATATCTACTGATCTGTTCAACACGTTCATTTTTAATTGTATTTTCAACAGTCGAAGTCTTAATCTCATGTTTAAATGATGTGACTTAAGCGTCACTGATCATTCTGTAGCTCGAGATTCAGTTAATTAGTAAAATGCAGAGTTTTGTGAAAAGGAAATATGTAAACATATTTATGAACAGAAATTGTCATCCACATCACAAAACACATGTTCCAGAAGTATCACAGTCAGTAGCTGATGTGCTTACAAAACTGATGATTTCATTTTGATACTGCATTGAAATTAATTCATATCTTTCAAAATTAGATCTTGGTAAATGTGTACCAATAGCTTGCTAGAGCCTCTTGGTTTTATTCTTAGCAGCAAAACCAAACAAGCAGCCACCTTTACTGTTCCAAATACTCCAATCAGATAGCACACATATAATGCAGCTCACCTACATGTGATTAAACTAAGTAAATCAACAGGTATACAACAAACAGGCAGCAAGATGCATTCTGTGTAAGACACTCACGCTGGGCATGACGTTGGCAGTATGGAGGCCTGTGGACAGTAGTTGCCTTCTGGGCAGTCCACACACTGCTCCCATCTGATGTTGCCCGTGTTGTTACTGTAGGAGCCTGCGTGGCAGGGGTGCTGATCCCCATACTCTGTGCCTGGAATGAGTGAATGAGTGAGTGAGTGAGTGAGTGAGTGAGTGAGTGAGTGAGTGAGTGCATGAGTTGGGGTTTCAGGCCCTTGAACAATAACTTAATTGCATCAAGGCATGTCAGCTTAATGTTGCAAGTAATTTTGATCCCAGGGTGACAGAGGTGTTAGAAGTTTATCAATTTGGTTAAACCCAGGAGTAAAGTATCATACTGACAGACCAGAGATCATCAGTGGGAAACTGGGATTTGAACCCACAACTAGCAGATAATAGATCGATGAGTCAGTGGATGAGAATAGGAAAAGCATATTCTGATTTAGTTGTATTCCAGAAACATTGAAGTAGCATACCAGAATCGGCATCAAACTTTTCATCTAGTTGGATTAAAAACCCAGCAACATGAACCAAGATACTAAAACTGTGTCCCTTACAATGCTGCCCCACAAAGTACCCCTGATCATGGCTGCTTTAAATAAAGGTCACTTGGTGTGATCTATCACCAAAATTGGTGAAATATATATACAAAATACTAAATGCTACATAAATTTAATGAAATGAAATAATTAAAAGCCTTAAATCTAAAAATACACTGAACACTCATTTATTACAAAATAGGGTAAAAACATGAATAACTGGCATGCTTCACTATGGATTTGTTAAGATGACATTTGAGATGTTTTGCGCAAGCGGTAAAGTTTTTACTTTGGGGGGAAAATGGTATTAAGAAACAAAGAGAATCTCTAAACAGCTGTATTTTTTAGAAAAAAGTGAACACATGCACCAAAAATATATGGTGATACTTTTGAAAATTGAATGTATTTTGAGTACTCACTGATCACTAGTGTAGTCCCTACATTGTCTACTTACGTTCAGGACACCAATGTCCCTTGGAGCAGAGGCCAGTTGGAGCTGCAGACCCCTGCAGACAGTAGTATCCCTTGGGGCAAGGAGAGCATCCCTCCTGGTTGGCCAAGTTGGTCAGGTTGGTCCAGGTACCTGCAGCACATGGCCACTGGGTTTGGGCTCCTGTTCCTTCCTTACAGTAGTGACCTTTAGCACATGCAACAGGGGGTTTCTGGACGCCTCCAGTCCCAATGAGACAAGCTACGGTTTCAGGACATTTCTCACACTGTTCTATAGCAGTCAGGTTGTTATTGTTGGTGTATGTGCCAGCAGGACAAGCATATTCAGACTGGTTGGCTCGGTGATTGCCTCCCGGACAGTAGTAACCAGGTGAACATCGGGAGTTGGGTTCAGTGAGACCGTACTCTGTACAAGCTTGACCAGAGGTGCAAGGTTTGCAGCTAATGACATCGCCTTGTTCAACATCCGGGTTGAAGGTTCCTGGAGCACACTGAGTTGGGGTTGGTGTTCCAGCAGAACAGTAGTGGCCTGCCGGGCAGGATCGACAGAACTCCAAGCCAGTGGAGCCTGTTTCAGCCGTGTACTTCCCAGATGGACATGCATTAGGGGAGCCAGTTCCTGACGGGCAGTAGGACCCCCTTGGGCAGACATTGGCATCAAACCAGGGATCTGTTGTACCCTCTGGACAAAAACGACCCTCGGGGCAACTAGAGCACTCACTGACTTGTACATTACCGAGATTATTTGAGAATTTTCCTGCAGGACAAGGGGATTCCTTATAGTCTCCAGTTCCAGCACCACAAAAGTGTCCCTTTGGACAAATCAGACTTGATGATGGCTGCCCTGCAGTGCCCTCTGGGCAGTAGTAGCCTTGAGGACACTGTTTACAGTCTGTGTCAGCAACATATCCAAAAGCATCTCCGTAAAATGCTTTAGCACATGGCAGTTCTGCCTTTCCATCAGGACAGTAGTATCCTAGCTTACATTTAGCACTTGGGGGGTCTTCCTGTGTACTACCTTCAGGACAAGCATAGCCCACCATGCAAGTACTACAAGCTATGGACTTCTCAGGGCTGTACTGACCCTCTGGACATATGGCTGGTTTAATGCCCTTGTTGGAACACTGGAATCCTGCTGGGCAAGTAGTACAGGCTGGCTGACTTCCTAAACTGTAGAAACCATCTGGACATGCAGTCCCTGGAGCTTTAGTATCTGGACACTCCTCTCCTGAAGGACAGGCTGTGCACTCGATCTTCTTGGCTTCAGCAAATGTTCCTGGAGCACATGCAATTTTGTAGCTGTCGTAGATGGTGGGGCACATGTAGCCCGCTTCACAATCCACACACGCACTTCTGCCTCCTTCGCTGTAGGTTCCGTCCTGACATTTGGTCTTGGTGTCAGAGTCAGTATTAGGGCATGCATACCCAGCAGGACATGTCGTACATGCAGTCTGTTTACCAATAGAGTAGGACCCAGCTCCGCAGGTGACAAACTGGTCGGTGTCAGTTGCTGGACATGCTTTACCTACGGGACACTCTGTGCATGCTGTTGCGTTTCCTACGGAGTAATATCCCTGTGTACATCTAACCCTGGTGGTGGCGTCCGCCGTGGGGCACTGCCAACCTGCCTCACATGGGTTGCAGGAAGGTGAGCCACTCACGGCATAGAAGCCCGCGGGACAGGCGGTGCTGGTGTCGGTGCTGGTGTCGGGACAGAAGAATCCTGCTGTGCACACCGTACAGCTAGACTGGTTACCCAGGGAATAGCTTCCTGAAATAACAAAACAGCAAATTAGACACAAAAAATACACAAAATTATGGATATATGTTTGCCAGAAGAAAAAATTACAGCAAGGACAAGTCAATTACTCCTTTTCTTTCTTCTTTTCTTCATCAACAAATTCCTCATTAAAATAAAGTTCGAAGTTATCACTTCTGCTGGATGAAGCGTGCACCTTAAATCTATTATGCCTTACTGTACTGAACAATGCATTATCGTATACTGAGATTAAGGATAAATGGAGATCTCGATTTTTATTTCATAATCTTGGAAATATAGTTTCCCCAGAGATAAAAACTATGTTTAAAAATAGCAAACTAGGATTATTTAAGCCTCCTGAAAAAATATCTTAAAACATTTTGACACAAAGAGTAGCTAATATTCTAAAATATTGTAACTATTTAACATGATTTCATATAACCTACAGATCATAGCACAGGATGCACCAATGTGCATTTGAACCCAGTTCCGTATATCATGAATGAACACCCTTATAATAGGCCTAGCCCTCCATCCATGCAAAACTTGTTTTATTCGTAATTTCAAACAATTCTGTTGTTCCAACTTACCAGAAGGACATGTGTACTGGTTGCTTCCTGTTGTAGTGGATGGACAAGCTGATCCAACTGGACAACCTTGACATGCTGGCTGGCCCGTGACAGCGTACGTTCCGGACACGCAGGATGTGGGAGAACCAGCCCCTGCTGGGCAGGCATAGCCGGCAGGACACTTGGTGCAGGCGTCGGAGCCACTCAGACTGTATTCCCCGCCCACACAGGGCACTGGGGCAGTGCTAAGGTGAATGAATAAGAGCTTTATGGGTGAGCGGCAAACATTTATCATTTCCTAATTTTCAAATATTCTTTTTTACTTTTTTTCCATCTCATCAAATATGAGCATTTCTGATTAAATTCAATGTTTTTATACTTACCTGATGCTACACAGTGCCCTATAGGTGTAGCGTCAGGTAAGGTAAAACTTACATCTTAGTGCTCGTTACAGCTACACAAAGATCTGCAGACTTTCACTTTTGTGATGTCATTGTCAGTGACGCTGATTGGGCGTGTGAAAGGTCGTAACAGGATATCTTCAGATCTTTGTGTAGCAGTAACAAGCACTAAGACCTAAGTTTAATGAGATTGGACATTTTGGAATGGGTCAATTTGAAACCGCATGTCCTCCCATGAGGTCCTGCTGAACACTTACTTGGTAGTAGGGCACTTGCTACCAGCAGGACAGGTAGTGCATGTTGTTGATCCAGCAAGGGCGTAAGATCCTTTACGGCAGGCGATTGGTCCAATAGATGGCATGGGGCACATAGACCCTGCTGGACATTGCTGACACGTCATGGATCCTGTGCTGTAGAAGCCTGTGGTGCAGAGATCCAGGACATCCTTGGTGGAGTCACAGCCTTTTCCAGCAGGGCAGGGCAGGCAGGTGCTTGTTCCCTAGGAAGGAAGACACCACATACACCTCAGCTAAAAGACAGTCTAGGTCTGGGGGAAATTAGCAAAACTAATGAGCTTGATTCAAGAAACTGAAAACCCTCTGTTTCTCTGCTTGCTCAAACTTTTCAGATGCATATAATCACAGACAGGAAATGCCAATCTCGACTTCACTTTTGACTGAACCTTAGATCTTTAATAGTGACTACAATTTGGTTATCATTTTATAAAAGCTGTATACAATCTGTTTAATGGGTTTTTTTAAAAATGATATGGGGCCATCTCCAAACAAAACAAGAATGAACTTCAGAAAATTATCCCTGTGTTATATCCGCGTGTAATGAGTTTTCAGAAGCTTAAGAAACATTCTTAGTTTTTTCTCTAATCACAAGAAGAACTGTAAAACATCTCACTCAGTTATAAAAGATGACTTTATCTTAAAAACAGGCCATCATCTGAGTATTTACATTGTCTGTGCGATGCCACACCCTTTGCTGTAAGTAAATTGTGATAAACATGGCCGTCTAAAAAACCTATGATCCAACAATACTTTGAACACAGACAAGTGCAAGACTCACAGCAGGACTGTAATAGCCATTTATACAGTTGATTGGAGAGGCGGCGGGGTCCAGGCATGACTGACCGGTAGGACAGTCCACACAGGCGGTCAGACCTTGGGTGGCATATTGACCAATAGCACACAGCATGGGGGGGTCGGACTTGTTGGGACACTCATGGCCTGCCGGGCAGATAGTGCAGCTCTCCACCTATCAGAAATACAGAAGTCAGTCCAAACTTTTCAAATAATATCACAATGGAATATGTGAAACAAAGAATGAGAAACGTATGTGACACATTAACAAAACATTTGCACCAAGGTACTGTTGCTCACCAGGTATATTCAAAGTGGTCTGAACGTTATATTGATGTGAAATCTGTAGCCATGAACTGACTTTGTAATGTGGTCTGTTTTATTACAGGACAGTACAATCCCCAAAAGTAACATCTTGAAACAATAAAGATTGATTGAGTGAGAGAGTTGGGTTTATTCCAGTTATATCACAGCAAAGGAGGAAAGCACGAAGTGATGCAGATCTCAGACATTTACCACTTCGGTGAAACCCATGAACATGGGTGTGGTGCTGACAAACCTATGAACACAATAGGGGCAAACCAGGATTTCAACCATGGATCCTGGGTTTCAGGCAAACCCAAGGGAGGCAACTCTGCACAGTGAATTGTGGCACCTGAGATAACTTATGTCCCATACATCAAAGAAAACAATGATGTAAATGAACATTCTACCATGAATTTGGAATTTACTCGATTCTGATTGGTCAATCAGAGGCTATTAAATCACAATAAACCCCCTCTGATTAAAACAGCTGGTTTGACGTTAATATTCATAGAATAGTACTATTTTCAGTCATTGTCGGTAGGCATATGTAAATAATTATATCTACAATTACAGGTTACAAAATGCACAGATGCAGTTACTACAATATTCAAAGGATGTGTGGCAATACATTTTGTGAAGAAAAACACGACAGAAATCAACAAAGGGAATGTATTTACGTTTTGGAGTCAACAGAGAGCTTGGAATTTTGGCGCTTTACTATATACGACTGTGACGTCATATCTTTTGCGTCACTTTGAGCGATATGACGTCATAATGGTGACGTGCGATGTAGAGCGAAAGCCTTGCAAAGCTTGCTTTGTTTTCTTTAGGGATGCCCACCTCATGTTAGCTTACCAAGTTGCTGTGCTTATATGCTTTCAATGCCTGTCATATGTTCGAGTGAAGTATTACGGTGTAAACAAACTGCTTGAGTATATACGGCACCATATTTAGTTTGGTGATTCCGTAATTCAGATCGATAACCCATTCAAAACACTGAACTCAACCCATGCCGCTTCATTCAATATGTTTGCTAACACCAAAGAGTTCACATTTTATTTAGTCATGGTAGAATTGAGATAAACATACTGTGTTTTCAATGTAGAGCTAGGTTACCTGTAGATTTAACCGCGCTAAATTTAACATTTGAAACCTCACGCTACGCGTTCGGTTCCAAATTCAATTTAGCGGGGTTAAATCTACAGGTAACCTAGCTCTACATTGAAAACACAGTATGTTTATCTCCTAATTCATGTAAAACATCACCACATTTAGTAAAGGTATTATTTTCAGAATGTTGTCAACCATGGCCAAAATTAATTTCAGATTCTAATCACCATAAGTATGCTCTAATACACAAGGTACTTAGGGCCTCATCTGCCCTGTAAACCCCATAGCTCCGGCTCACCTTGCCCTCCAGACTGTAGTATCCTGTGAGACAGTCAGTTGGTGTTAGGGCAGGATCACTACATTTCTTGCCAGCTGGACACAGCGAGCAGGCTGAGGAGCCCCCAGTGCTGTAGGTGCCTGTCAATGAAAAATCCCATTAGGACAAGAATTCATGCAACACTTCAATGAAAAACAATTAGGTCTAGTCAAAAACGAAATTAATAAATTCCTGTCAGTTGATTCCTTTCAAATTTATTTGTTTACATTATTGAAATTGAAACAGAATTAAATGCATCATAGAAATCCATCACTTAAACATAGTCATCCAGCATCCGTTTCACAAATGGATGAATGTTGGCTTGTTTAACAGTTTTGTAAGATACATATGTTCAAGATGTTGTGTTCATGTAGGAGCTTCCATTGTTACATATTTAGGCCATGTGTTACTTCAGGTCTTATTCAACTTTTAAGATCCCATTAAAGTGATTTAATATATTCTTTGAACGGTTAAGAAACCATATCCAGATGGCATAAATATATTGAACAGCTTTAGTGCAAGAGAAAACATTACAAAAACTGCAAATGCTGCCTTGTATCAAACAACAAAATGAGAGAAACAGCATTTCCATTGTGGATTCCAAGTGAATGTCCACGTCTTCCCTACGAATCTAACTACTGTTCAATTTGTATATGAAGAAGTGCAAGTTTAATATAGTCTTACGATCATTTTATTCAATAGAAATAATAAGAGTAACTAGGAATAATGTATTTTTTAAGAACATAATGGCCTGGTAACACTTATTCTAAGAACTAAAACAATCACAGTTTGACAATATTCCATGAAGCAATACTTTCAATTTCTTATTAAAGTAAATATTACGAACTTTCTGTTAAATGAAGATTTCCAAGAAAACTTATCAATTAAAATATTCACTGACAGTTGTGTGGATAGTTGTAAGGATAGTAGCATATCCCGAATAAACAAAACAGGAAGTAAATTGAAGGAAGAGAGCAGGTGAAAATACATATTTTTAGAAGTATTAGCATTAAAGTGCTTGATGGATGCAAATAATCCACACTAAGTTAAAGGCAAAATAGTGATACATCAATGTTTGCAAAAGGTTGTCATAATTTCAAAAAGTTAAAAATACAAATGCTCAATAAATAAAACAGTAAAAAGACATTATTCATCCACACTACTCAGCACTCATGAACACTGAAAAAGTTGTCAGTGACCTTGACAAAGATTTCCTTGTAATTGTTGAACAATCCCTCAAGAACTTGCATACAACCCTCAAATAACCCTTGCACAAAATGGGAGACATATTTGTTAAATTTGAATCTGAAAAAGTAGTCAAAACAATTGTTCATTGGAACCTTACTTCGACCAGACCAAATTAATGACAATGTGCTCTGAAAAACAATTTTTTCTGGCCTTAAGGATTCAAGGATTATTACAGTGGTAGGTAGAGTTCTATGTATATTTTCTGAGCTTCCTTTGTAGGTTACAAATAAAAAAAAATAAAAAACCCATTAGGTACCACATAACCCTTATAGCCTTGTTCCCCTGAGGCATGAGGAACAAAAAGTTGAAATCTGGTGTATCACTAAATTTGACTTGACAACATCATTTCTTAATATCTGTCTGCTGTCTGTCTGTACATACCACTGAACAGAAGATAAAGAACATCTGATTCTCTCATATTATTAATTTGTCTTGGCAGATTACCTATAGTAATTTGAAAGAAATTGAGTGTTCTATATCTCTTTAGTTGTATATATACATTGTGTGTGTGTGTGTGTGTGTGTGTGTGTGTGTGTGTGTGTGTGTGTGTGTGTGTGTGTGTGTGTGTGTGTGTGTGTGTGTGTGTGTGTGTGTGTGTGTGTGTGTGTGTGTGTGTGTGTGTGCGTGTGCGTGCACATATAAAAAGAAAATTAACAATTCTTAATTTGTAGGTCTCAACTCTGCTTTCCATCTGTGGAAAATAAACCTGCAACATTGCTACATGTATCTCACCAGCATCACAGTCTTTACAGGTGGCCTCTCCCAGACGACTGTACTTCCCAGCGTCACAGTTGACAGGGGTGATGAAGTTGGTGCCATCGAAACACATCTGTCCTGCTGGGCAGGCGCTACACGTGCCAGCAACAGCAGCACTGTAGTACCCTTCCGGACATCTCTGAAAATACACAGCAGTGTTTCATATAGGACAAAGACTGGAGAGTGAGTGAGTGAAAGGGCTTTACACTTCTTTACACAAAACCAAACATTCACTTCACACATTTGACCCGTGAAGATCTGGGGTAGAATAGGTCTTCAGCAACCAATGCTTGCTGTAAAAGGCGACTATGCTTGTCATAAGAGGTGACAAACGGGATCAGGTGGGTGAGGGTCGCTGACTTAGTTGATGCATGTCATGATGCTCATGATGTCAACCACTGGATTGTCTGGTCCAGACCGCCGTCATATAGCTTGAATATTGCAGAGTGAGGCGTTAAACAACAACAAACTTCACACATTGTACCCATGAGAATGCTGGTGACACAGTCCACCTAAAAGCCTACCCCAAAAATCACACACACGTTATATAAACAACCATTATAAATTTTACCACCTTTCACCACCCCCAGAACCAGCCACTGACGTGACTTCAAAACAGTTAATTTGTTTTCTCAATTACTTGAACCTATAAGCCCAACAATAACAGCTGTTCTTTTCTTCTTCCTCCTGCACCATTTTCCACCCAATGTCCTGGAACTAATACACAGCTGGGTGGTTACAACTGTGTAAGTAAGTAAGTAAGTAACAGTCATTCAGTCACATCAAAGCCTGTCAGCTTAATGTGGGATGAACGCCTCATGTGGTGCAGTCTTAGATCTTTACCAAAAACACAGGTATGATGCTGACAAAGATTCATAATTAGGGCACAGTCTGGAAAACCAACAATCAGCAAATCCTGGAACATCGAAGGGACATAACTCTGCACAGCAATAAATTTTTCCTGAAACAACACTGAGTTTAAAACTTTTATTAAAGTTGTATGAAAAAAAAGAAGAAAAAAAGAAAAGATACCATTACGTCGCTGATCACCCAAGGTGCAGCAGAAACAAAGCTGCTGAACTCACCGTGCATGTTCCCTCCCCAGCAGCGCTGAAGAATCCAGCAGTACAGTCAACAGGGGTGGCAGCGACATCCACACAGGACTTGCCCTCGGGGCAGGGGTTGCAGCTGGTCTGCTTAGGGGCATCTTGGTAGGTTCCTGAAGGGCATGCCTGTGGGGGGGTGATGGGGGAGGGACAGGCCGATCCTGCAGGGCAGTCCGCACACCCAGAAGCACCCACATACTCTCCTGACTGAAAGAGTGCAGAGAGTCAATGTGTAATACAGACTGATCAGGTTCACAATTGTCAACAACAGTTAGGCATAGGGACTTTAGAACAGTATTTCAAGCCTTGTCATCCCAACTTGAACAAATAGTGCCATGGTGCTGTAGCTCACCTGGATATGTAGTCAACATATTTAAATATTGACAAAGACACTAACAAATGTTGCTGTCAGCATTGCTGTATTGAAATATTTTTTGCATAAATCTAAAAGGCCAAATGTATAAACAAGTAAGAAATAAGTCCTCAGCAACCCAAGCTTGCCGTAAGAGGCGACTATGCTTGTCGTATGAGGCGACTAACGGGATCAGGTGGTCAGGCTTGTCATTGTATCCTAATTGCGTAGATCAATGCTCATGATGTCAGTCACTGGATTGTCAGGTCCAGACTCAATTATCAACAAACTGCCATCATATACATGTAGCTGGAATATTGCTGAGTGCAGCGTTAAACAACAAACAAACAAACAAACAAACACAATGTTTCCAAATCAGCAAGAAATGAATGTACTATGTTTTACCATTGTTGCAGTGACATTTAGTTCACACAAAACTATGAGCCTAAAACACCACCTAATAGTCTATAGGGAAAATACCAGTATGACATTTTCAAATACCATAGATCAATTCAATTGTTTTACAAAAACACACAGTAAAATCCTAATGAACAAAATATGACGTCATCATAAGGAGAAACAGACATGCCAAAATTCTGCATCCTCAGCAAACTCGGAAAAGATACATGCATCTGAGAGAATTTAAGAGCATCACAGTACATCTAGAGCAGAAATGGCAGAACAGTGTTGTTTATTTCAATAAAGCTGCCATATTAAAACCCTGATTCGAAACCTCTTGAACACATTCAGATGTCATCATTGGTAGGAACTAGCAGGTGAAATTACAGCTTCATTTGTCAAGTGTTTTTCTGAGGAGATGATGTTTACAGTGCAAATCAATGCACTTCGAGAAAAATTAGGAGTAGGTCCAAAGTGCAAAGTCAAATATAAGTCCAAATGTAAAATAATGTGAGAAAAGGAATACATGTGTTGAGCCTCACAACTGACTACACATATACCAAATTTCATTATTTCATTGTTTAACAATAATGACAGCGTAATGGCCATAAATAGCTTTTTCAATATGGCTTCCATGAGGCCATATTGCAAATAGGATTCAAACCATTAGAACAAATTCAAGTGCCATCATTAGTAGGAACAAGCAATGTGAAGTTTCAGCTTGGTCCGTAGGTTTCTCAGGTAAATGTTTTTAGACATTGGTGACGACAGACAACGGACGACAGAGAAGCAGCCCATGATATAAGCTCACTCGACTTTCAGACAGGTAAGCTAAACAAGTTAATCAGCACCAGAGTACAAGTTAAAATATTCATTGTTTTGCTTTATTTACTGGTGGAAACAAACTGACTATTTCTAAGAAATGAAATCTCAGTCTTTTTCCGACATCGGCCATCTAGGAACGTCGGATAAATAACGAAAAAACATGTAAACAGAGCAAGAACCCACCTGACATGATGTGGGTGTTCCGGTACCTCCGCACACTTGACCCGGGGGACAAGACTGACATGCTGTCGACCCTTCATTCGAAAACTGCCCAAACAGAAACAATACATACACAATGTTCAACAGTCTGACACCATGTTTCACCGTGCTGGCTGTGCACGAATACAAGGCTCTACACATTGCCTCCGAGTCAACTGAACTACGACATCAGTCAACTAACTATCATATCAGTCAACTGACTATTATATTGGTCAACAGAACACAGCCCATCCACCAGGGCCTTGTTGTCCACCTTTCTGCTACACAGCTCCAGTTTATTCAAGTCAACAATACAAGTTGACGTTGATAAAGGAAACCAGAATAAATGAGTGTCTGACAGGCACGTGACTCTGAACACTGAGAGATCTATCATGTTGATACAAAGAAAAAAGTCCTGAGAACACATGGACCCATTTATCACAGATCTCTTTTGTTGTCAATCATTACTTATCATTACTAAATAGGTCTTATATCAAGATTATTCCAGTGTGAACAATATACAATCTTAAGCATGTGTTAAACATGCACGAGGTACATTAAAGGTACCACTGTTTTGGACATTTAATTTCAGTTTTGTATATACCATATTTCCTCTTTTAGACACCTGGACATCTATGAATTTTGCACAAGCCGTTGACCCGGTGTCTATTAGAGGGCAGCTTTTATTCTGTTTAATGGTGGCACAGTGGCAACTCACTACCTTACCAAATCCTATATTTTAGTCATACAAAGAATACATTTACCGAGAACAGTCATTATTAAGTGCAGGAAGTCATCATTACATCCCAGAAGTCTAAGGGGCCATTAATTTCATCAAATGATGGACCCGGCCTCTATTAGAGACTAGCTTCTAACAGAGACCCAGCTTTTACTTTTTGGCCACTGTGTATGATCTGGCATTAGGTAGAGTCATCAAATTGGTCAGAGCACTCAGGCCGTGGCTTGATTTGTGGGTTAAAAATAGGGACTACAACACAAATGGGCCATACGTATTCACTGATGAATCAGTCTATACAAACATTGATGATGTTTAACATTGAGACACACATGGTTTCATGTATTACTAAAGCCAGTGACGGCATGTACCTCTCCGCTACTGCAAGCAACAGGGCTGACGGTGGAGTCCGGACACTTGTAGCCTGCTGGACAGATGGTGCACTTGGTCTGGCCGCTGCTGGTACTGAAGTAGCCATTGGGGCACTGGAACATGATCAAAATACTCAATCCATCATGACAGCCTTACTCACTGACTTGGACCCATGAAGATCTGGGGTAGAATGGGTCTTCAGCAACCCATGCTTATCGTAAGAGGCGACTAACGGTATCAGGTGGTCAGGCTTGCTGACTGGGTTGATGCATGTCATCGTATCCCAATTACGTTGATTGATGCTCATGATATCTGGATTGTCTAATCTAGACTTGATTATTTACAGACCACCATCCTATACCTGGGATATTGCTGAGTGCAGCATTAAACAAGAAACAAACAAAACTCGCTGACTAGTAAGTGTGCTCTTGATCCCATGAGGGATTAGGGGCAGAATCAGTTGCCAGTAAAATAGATATACCTGTCTAAAGAGTTGGCTAAATGCATCCAGTATCTGGCAGTTGCCTGGCTGATTGCATGTCATGGTCATGTCATGGTCATGTCATGGTCATGTCATGGTCATGTCATTAGAACTCTACATTCATTATGGCTATTATCATTAGGCACAGCTGATCAATTTGGGGAATATGAATGTCAAATGGAGCATTGTTTTGCTGTTGTTGATGCCTTTGTAAACACTGGGTATGTGCCATAGAAAAATTTGTTTGGGTAAAAAATAATTCAGTTCATTATAGTTGGTGATTCTGCAATCCCCAAAAATAAAAGATATTGGCCTAAAGGCCTTAGGAATAGATTGTTGAATGTCATTCCCAATTATCATTTTTCCAGTAGTCATTTTTTATTTAGTTGTATCATTATCAGAAAATAGCCAGCAAGGTGAAAAGGGTTCTGTTTGGCTAATTTTGTTTTGTATTCATTAATTATCCGTATTCTCATCCTAGTGGGTTGTGTAGCTTTAACATTGTATGTTTTCTTTTCATTCCTTATCAACCATCTCCACAATCACTCATTGTGTTGTTCACAAGGTCGTACCAAGTGATTAAGCAGAATTCACATTTATGGGAGCTGATGAATCTTGATTTGAGAACATGTGAAAGGAACAGGTCTAATTGAAATTCCACAATGCCAGTCTTTCACACAAAGCTTCAAGCCTCAGTCAGGCACAGTCTGGTCAGATTTCACCCCGACCAGGACATCATCAAGTTTAGAATGACTTCACTCAATACGTGGACCACGTCTTGGATGACATCCTCTTGTGACAGTGATGGTGAGTACAAACAACTGCTCACTAGGACACTCACACAGACTGGCAGGGACAGCTGATACAGCAATTAACTATATTTGTTTGTTTGTTTGTTTAATTTTATAACATCTTAAGCACATGCAGGTAAACCTCATAATAATTTCAATATGTTAGTTTTCATATTTTTGGGGGAAATGTATAAAAGCATGCACATTTTTATGCATTTCCCGAAATGACAGTTAATATTTCTAAGTTTATTAAATATTTCTTTGTTAAAAAAGCTATGTGAATGATGTCTTACAGTTTTGCAAGAGTTGGAGCCAGTACTGTCCTGGTATTGCCCTGTCTGGCATGGCACTGGCGCCACGGTCGGGTCCACACACCGGTGACCTGAAATACATGGCATACACATGTGTGTGATTGTAAAACATAAATACATGAAACATACAGAAATATATGTCATACATGTGAGATATAGATATATGCCATGCAAATGAGAAAAACATCTGTTTCTGATTTCTATTTCTTAAAAACAAATATGGTTTTGGCGCTTCCGGATGAAAAAAAACCAACCACGCTATAATATTGTTGTGGATATTGTATACATCCATTTGTTTATGAGCACAACTGTATTTCACCCCAAAGAATGTACTATGGAGGGTACAATTGTGTTCTGGGGCAGTTCTCTTTTGATAAGATCAAAATATTTGAATCTAGGTGGTAAAGAAATCATTTGACTGAATCATTTTAGAAGGCAGACGTTCGATTGGCTCAAGAACATATCTTTCCCTTTGACTTCGTGCAGGGTTCACCGTCTAGTGTGGCGTCTTGAGATCTTCAAGCAAAGAGTTATTGTATCGGAGTACATCTGATTTTAATGGAACTGGTTGGCATGCTCTATTTAGGGCTGTACATAATTCTGCAGTAGAGTATATAGAAAGTATTTTCTACTACTTCTCAAACGATTGCAGCTCAAGGAAATAGTGATAAAATTAATCCCTTTTTTTCGTAGATTTAGTCCCAATTAAAATCAGAATAATAAACTTATGACCAAACACAGAATTGAGTTCCAAAGTGTAATGATTCCCTTCTAATTTCTATGATATTGGAAAATAGTGAAAAAATTATGCCCCCAAATATGTCACCCCTTTCAGCCCGGTGCATTATCTAATTAAATATATTACAGACTACCTGGTATTCACTAAATTCAGGTAAATCACCACATGAGGATAGTAAGAAGCAGCCAAACGGATCCGATGGACTCGGTGACATGGATGATTGTGTGTCATTTTACCCCAAATGGCGTGGATTGTTGGTTGTAATATCAATCATCATATCAATTATTTACATCTGCATTGTATAGCTGGAATACTGCAAAGTGTGATGTTAAACAACAAACAAACAAAGCGGTAAGTCATCTGTTTATCCCTGTTCTTATTATCTAAGACCCAATAACATAAGTAACAAGCTAGCCATTTCCAGGGGTCAGCTGACCCTGTGGAGCACACTTAGACTTGAGACACGGTCAACAAGCCACAAGGAACTAACAATAAGCTCTGTCAACACTTCAGTTCAAAATCTCATAAAACCCTCATCTTGAGTGATTTCTTCCCCTTCGTTATGGAATGATTAATGATATTGGCAGGTCAATTTCCCAGCTTTATGTAGCTATAGGGCTTACTGTGATATTAACCAAGGAAGAGGAATTACATTCACGGCGTCTTGGATTGAACCAATAACTGAGTCATAAAAACACATTCCTTGCATATATTCCAGTTCTGATTTCCTGCTGAACAAAAGGTGGTCAGCGGTGCATGTGTGCTTCAAACATTTATACCCTCACCGGAGCAGAGCACTTTGTATCCTGTTCATGTGATGTGTCAGTTCTTGCACTATTGTTGACATGACATTGTGTTAAGATTTCTTACATGCCCTGTACTGGTTCTGCAGACACATGGAGGAGACATAATTATTGGGTTGGGTGTGTGGATGACAGTGAGTATTTTTTCTTATTTGGAGGGGTTGGTAGGAATGGGGGGGGGGGAAAGCAGTTTTATTAGGGGCAGGAAAAATTAAGGGATGGGCAAGTCTGAAGGCTATAAAAATATGGGAGCAAAGTATACTACTCAACTTTCGATAGGGATATTTTAATCTTTCCATGATAGACAAATCTGATTTGCATACTGTCAAGTGTACATGAATATTTAAATAGAGACATATCTGGTCCCTCTTATCAAAAGTTGAGTAGTATAACAGACAAACATGATCAGTCAACCACAAGGCCATAATAAATAAATTATTAGATTTGATACCCAGCCCGCTTCACTACAAAACACCCTGACTCACATCATCTAATATTCCCCAAGTACCTACAGATGAACAGTTTGCACAAAACATAACAAATCAGGGCAAGAACAGCAAGAATCAGCTTCACCCATGTTGGGAATCAAACCCAGGACTACATGATAATGAGCAAACGCTTTAACCACTAGGCTACCCCACCACCTCTTAAGTTGGATGTAATATTTTTAATATTTCATGGACATCATTGTAATTACCAGCTGAGCAGTCTGTGCAAGATGTTTGTCCTGTGGCAGTTTGGTAAAGTCCGTCTGCGCATGTCTGACATGCAGTGGCGCCACCCGCTGCACTGTATTTGCCCTTGTTACATGGGGTCTGTGTAGTCGAGGTACAGTATGACCCCGCTGCACACTCCGTGCAGGCCGATGACCCTGGGCTGCTGGCATAGTGACCTGCAAAACATACAATACTTGTCACTATTCCAAGTTGGCATTTTTGCAAAATCATAATGTTTCTTCATCTAATCTGTAAATATCCTGATGTAAATGACTTTGAACTGTTTTACAATCAAACATAAAACATAAAAAAGCTTCTGAAATCAAATCACTGAATCGAAATTAAAGAATAATTTACACTAAGTATGTGAGAAAACAGCACATTTAGATAAAACTATTTGTGTGAAAACTTATAAACTTAAAATATTCAAAAATTACGTCTTCGTACAAGACAAATTGAATTTGACTGATGTGACTATATTTCTGATGATATACAAGAATACACCTAGAACATCATAACTTGTATAAATATGACAACACCAAAAGCATGAACAATCATGTATAAAAAATACACACTCGATGTACAGTGATACAACAACAAAAATAAAAGGCATTGACCTAAAATGAAACGCCCAATCAAGAGTTAACATGCATCGTAGTATAATTAAGTGTATATAAAATTTATAGGTCATCCATGAATCCAACAAATGAAAGATAACATTCTGAAAAAACTTTGCAGCAATACCTGAACACATAGAGCCATTATTAGGATTAAAGATGATTAACACTTCCTAATATAAGTGAATATCACTAAACCTTAGTCATAAGGTGAGATATTAAACTGAAAAAGTGCTTAATAAATATGCATCAAACGTGACAAAAACAATATTATTTACGTGGGATTAAGTCTCTGAAATAAAGTGCAACTTGTACAACAACATATACGAAAAGTGCTGAAAGAAATGAGTTGTAAAAAATATTTCACATACATATTGTGACACAATATAATTTGTTAAGATCATCATGATGTCACCATATGTGCAGATTAGACTAACTACTTATGTCAATATTATGTATTAAAAGTATATTTTGTCTCAACACAACATGCATACATGCTTTAGTGAGTGAGTGAGTGGGGTTCTACACGATCAGAAGCAATATTCATACATTTGTCACTGCAGCCAACATAATCATACTTTCATAATGTAGTCAGCAATGCCATTCATGGGTTTGTAAGGCAAACCAGGTGTCCATGAGAGTGATAATTTGTTAAACTAGGGGTATAGTTGTTAAGGTCACATTTTAGATATGATCTTTCCTCCACCAACATACATACAAGGACCATCTGATCCACAATGACACCATGACCATCTGATCCACACTCACACCATGACCATCTGATCCACACTCACACCATGATCATCTGATCCACACTCACACCATGATCATCTGATCCACACTCACACCATGATCATATGATCCACACTCACACCATCATCATCTGATCCACACTCACACCATGATCATCTGATCCACACTCACACCATGATCATCTGATCCACACACACCATGATCATCTGATCCACACTCACACCATGATCATCTGATCCACACTCACACCATGCTCATCTGATCCACACTCACAACATGATCATATGATCCACACTCACACCATGATCATCTGATCCACACTCACACCATGATCATATGATCCACACTCAAACCATGATCATATGATCCACACTCACACCATGATCATATGATCCACACTCACACCATGATCATATGATCCACACTCACACCATGATCATATGATCCACACTCATCATGATCATCTGATCCACACTCACACCATGACCATCTGATCCACACTCACACCATGATCATATGATCCACACTCACACCATGACCATCTGATCCACACTCACACCATGACCATCTGATCCACACTCACACCATGATCATATGATCCACACTTTCACAATGACCATCAGATTAAACTTTCCCCGTGGTTCTCCACCGAAGCTCTATCCAAGCATGGCAGTTATTGTCGCCATCTGATCAATTCTCTTACAATGGCATAGCCAGCAGATGAAAGTGAGCTATGTACATTTTAATCACCCCTTTCAATTAGGGAAAAACAGGACAAGGATCTACATTTTCTACCCTTTGACAATATCATTTAGCCACCTTCGCATTTCCCACAATACAGCCTTTTTAAATAGTCTTTTCACACTCATTGTGACCTGTACCTCATTAGAAATCCTTTCTACTTTCTACTTCTTCATTATGACTGAACATGTGACATCTTTAGTCAAGCAGTTTGCAAAAACATGCAAAGCAATCTATCAACAAAATAAATCTGAGGTACTTACTGCTGTACAAAGCTCACACAAGGATCACTAAGCAGCTAAGCTACCAGTATCACCATCAAACATTGTATTACCTTATTCCAGTATGCAGTGCAGTGCAGTGCAGTGAATTAAGTGACAACTAAACATGATTATGCAAGTGAGTGAGTGAACTAAACATTAATTGCCTCCCTTTGCCGCTGTTGCTGGCAAAAAGAAGCAAGCATTGAATGAGAAGCTATTCTGTGGCATGAGGTGTTCTAGTGCTGTGAGCATCATGCGTGTATGTACTGAGGGCATCCTCTACCTGCAGGACAGTTTGTACATCCTGAGTCTCCCTCGTTGCTGTAGTAGCCTGCCCCACAATCTGGTGGAGTTGTTGTGATGGAGCTGATGTCGGTGCAGTTGCTGCCTGCGGGACAGATGACACAAGCCCCAGCACCAGCCGTGCTGTAATACCCAGGTGCACAAGGCTGGCATGCAGCTTCCCCTTCTCCACTGAAAGTTCCCGAAGTGCATGTTGGCAAAGAAGCTGTGGCCATGGCTGGATCTGAACAATCTCTGCCAACAGGGCATATGATACAAATAGAGGCTTCAGCATCACTATGATACCCTGCTTGACAGGTATTACATCCGTTATCCCCATCCCTGCTGTACGTTCCTCCCGGACATATTGGTGGCTGTGACACAACCGCTGGACTGCTGCAGTTTCGACCCGCGGGGCAGAGGATGCAGTTGGAAGATGCAACTGTGCTGTAGTACCCGGACTGACATGGCTTACAGGTGGTTTCTCCATTCTGGCTATATGTCCCAGCCAGACAGTCACTTTCTGACCCTCCACTGCACGCTTTCCCTGCTGGACACAAGGTACAGTTTTCTGATCCTGGTTGGCTGAAGGAGTCTGAGCCACAAGATGAGCAGCCGGCATCACCTTCTTTGCTGTAGCTTCCAGCAGGGCAGTCTGGTGGATCTGGTCCTGTCACTGCTGGGTTGGAGCAATCTTTCCCCGCTGGACATACTGTACACATACCAGCAGCAGCTTTGCTGTAGTAGCCTGAAAGGCAATTCCTGCATGATGATTCTCCTTCTTGACTGTGTTTTCCTGCTGGGCAGTTTGCAAGTGTATTTCCAGAACAGCTTTGGCCAGATGGACAGATGATGCAAACAGTGGCTCCTGCTGCACTGTAATATCCTGATGAACATGATGTACAGCCTGCATCCCCTTCTTCACTGAAGGTTCCTGCCACACAGTCTGGTGGACTGCTGCCAGAGACAGCTGGGTCAGAACAATTCTTTCCTACTGGACAGATTGTGCACTGGGCTGCTCCAGCCTCACTGTAATATCCTGACAGGCAGGTGGTACAATTTGACTCCCCTTCCTTGCTGTATGTCCCTGCCACACAATCAGTCACAACAGTTCCACTGCAACTTTGACCAGCTGGACAGATGATACACACGCTAGCTCTTGCCGAGCTGTAGTGACTTGGTCCACACGATGTGCAGCCGGCGTCTCCTTCTTGGCTGAATGAACCTGCTGGACAGTCTGGTGGATTGATCCCTAAGACAGCTGGGTCTGTGCAATCGTTTCCTGCTGGACATACTGTGCACTGGGCTGCTCCAGTCTTACTGTAATACCCAAGTAAACAAGTTGTGCAGTTTCCTTCTCCTTCCTTGCTGTAGGTTCCTGCGTCACAGTCGGCAAGTGTGTTTCCTGAGCAGCTTTTTCCTGAGGGACATATTGTGCAGGAACTAGAACCAGGAGTGCTGTAGTCACTTGCTGGACATGATGTACAGCCGGCATCTCCTTCTTGGCTGAATGAACCTGCTGGACAGTCTGGTGGATTGATCCCTAAGACAGCTGGGTCCGTGCAATCCTTTCCTGCTGGACAGATTGTGCACTGGGCTGCTGCAGCCTTGCTGTAATATCCTGACAGGCAGGTGGTACAATTTGACTCCCCTTCCTTGCTGTATGTCCCTGCCACACAATCAGTCACAACAATTCCACTGCAACTTTGACCAGCTGGACAGATGATACACACGCTAGCTCCTGCCGAGCTGTAGTGACTTGGTCCACACGATGTACAGCCGGCGTCTCCTTCTTGGCTGAATGAACCTTCTGGACAGTCTGGTGGATTGATCCCTGAGACAGCTGGGTCTGTGCAATTCTTTCCTGAGGGACATACTGTGCACTGGGCCGCTCCAGTCTTACTGTAATACCCAAGTAAACAAGTTGTGCAGTTTACTTCTCCTTCCTTGCTGTAGGTTCCTGCGTCACAGTCGGCAAGTGTGTTTCCTGAGCAGCTTTTACCTGAAGGACATATTGTGCAGGAACTAGAACCAGGAGTGCTGTAGTCACTTGCTGGACATGATGTACAGCCGGCATCTCCTTCTTGGCTGAATGTACCTGCTGGACAGTCTGGTGGATTGATCCCTAAGACAGCTGGGTCTGTGCAATCCTTTCCTGCTGGACAGATTGTGCACTGGGCTGCTCCAGCCTCACTGTAATATCCTGACAGGCAGGTGGTACAATTTGACTCCCCTTCCTTGCTGTATGTCCCTGCCACACAATCAGTCACAACAGTTCCACTGCAACTTTGACCAGCTGGACAGATGATACACACGCTAGCTCCTGCCGAGCTGTAGTGACTTGGTCCACACGATGTACAGCCGGCATCTCCTTCTTGGCTGAATGAACCTACTGGACAGTCTGGTGGACTGATCCCTGAGATAGCTGGGTCTGTGCAATCGTTTCCTGCTGGACAGATTGTGCACTGGGCTGCTCCAGTCTTACTGTAATACCCTGAGAGGCAATTCTTACAGGTAGGTTCACCCTCTTTGCTGTATGTGCCTGCAGTGCATGTAATCACAGTGTTACCAGAACAACCCTGACCTCCAGAACAGATGCTGCAGCTTCCAGATCCTGGAGAACTGTAGTAGCCAGCCTCACAGGGTGAGCAGGTCACATCTCCTTCATTACTAAAGTAACCCTCAGCACAATCAACAGGGGCTGATCCAACAGCGCTTGAACAGTTCTTCCCAGCAGTACAGATAATACACACAGCAGCTCCAGCCGCACTGTAGTGTCCCGAGTTGCAGTTGAAGCACCCCATGTCCCCTTGTCGGCTGTACGTTCCTGCTGGACAGTCGGGCAGAGATGCCAAGGGGAGAGCAGGATCAGTGCAGTCCTTGCCTTCAGGGCATGGAGTGCAGGAGCTTGATCCAGTGTCGCTGTAGTTTCCTGCTCCACAGTTTGTGCATGCTACATCCCCCTCCCTGCTGTACGTCCCAGCAGCACAATCTGAAGGTGTTGCTGCAGGATTGCTGCAGTCCTTGCCAGGAGGGCAGATTGTACAGTTACTGGCTCCTGAGTTGCTATAGTAACCTAAGTGAGTGAACAAGCAGCAAAGATGGGATTATATATATATATATTCTGAAATTGTGGATACATGAAAAGAACACATGAATATGAAGGAATGACTTCTAACAATTGATAACAGAATTTCAGAGAAGTATGGTATGTTTTTGTTGTTGGACACGTCTAGAGAAAAGCAATATGTTAATCAGCAAACTGATACAACTCATAAACCTTTATTGTAATTATAAGCATACCTTCAAAGAATTATTTTTTGTATATCACATCTATGTAAAATAAACCAATGCCAGCAGTATGATCCTTAGTCAATAAAGCATAATAATGAATTAATTGATAAAATATGACATAATGATGATACAGGAAAAAGATTGCACAGTGAAACTTTGTTCCTCTGGACCACTGACATTATGTCATGTTTTCTGTGGTTTGAGAAGTGGAGAGCCAAAGGATTCTCGGTATCAAAAAGCTTCCTTGAGAATTGAACGTCAGCTTGGATGGGTTCATTGAAGAATGAACGATTTAAAAGCGCTGGTTAAACTGTGTGCACTTCTGAGCTTGTGATTGATTTAAATGACATTAAAGGAGTTCAAGGTTTCACTGCATATAAATATCCAGCTTCATAGTACGAGTATGTTGAGAAACAGTCTATAGGTAAGGAAAGGAGGACCTCAAAGAACAAAGGACAGATGTGCTTTCAGATGTTTGTACTTCACAGGGACACAAGATATCAGAGATATTGGCATCAACTAAAAGACACCAATTACGTCCAATCTGTATAAACTGAATATGACCTGAGTCATTTAGTATCAGAGGGTGAGACTGGTGTGATGAGCATTTTAGCAATATTCCATCCCCATGACAACAGGTGTGCATCATAAATGGGTTTCATACCCTGTACTCATGGGAAACCTGCATGACAGGACTGCGCTCCTGCCACTGGAATACCCCACCAGCCCTTAATTCTCTATTTGTTTGTAGTGTACTTGGGATGTTTAGTGACTGAATGAAAACATCATATTCCGTTAAATAAAGCCTGACCAGACACTATTTCATAGGTAGAAGAATCGGTAGAAGGAAGCAGGTGTAGAGCACCGAGGTAATGTGTGTCAGTGTACCTTCAGGGCAGGTGAGACAGCCAGTGTTGCCCCCGGGGTTGTAGGTCCCTGCTGCACACTGGGTGGGGGCGGCGTCACGGACGGCACAGTCGTAGCCTGGGTCACATGTTGTGCACGACCCTGCTCCTGCTGAACTGTAGGTACCTTGGTGAACAATCAAAGATTTAGTGGTCCAAGTTATTATCTACTTTCTTGATGAATCAATGTCTTTCAGCTCTTTTGTACTTGAATATTATATATTAGGAACCAAAAGAAACTGTGCATATGACTTTATCATATGCAGCATTTCTTTTTGTGCCTAGCATAAATCAGGATGGGGTAAGATATTTTGGGCCCGATGTGCATAAGGGATTGGAACAATTTTACTGAAAACGAAAGATTATGATTATGAATTTATTATTAAGAAATGTATTTATAAAAACTGAAATTGAGAATAGGTTAAAAAACAGCTCCGTGAAAGAAGTTGCTGAGATACAATACAGCTGCCAAGTTGCAGGTGCCGACATGTGCTGATACGATGTGAACAAAGGAAAAATAAGGACAATGATCTGACAGTGAAATATATGACACTTGTCACCTGTAAAACTGAAATATACTAGATTATTACAGGGTGTCATATAGCATATCTTAAATTAATAGTATCCAACGAAGTGATTCACACTAGGTGAGTTTTAAGATATTGGGATTTCGTAATCTCATTCCTGACACAAAAGTGAAGCCAGTGGAAGACACAGAGGAAACTATCACAGTTGGTGTTACATACAGCCTTGGGGAAATAGATGATCAGAGGGCCTAGAGCTGGCAGAATCAGTACAGATCATCAGAAGCAGAATAAACCTTTTTCCCTTAGCCCTGCAAAAAGTGAGTTACACAGACGGCTGTAGACAGTAACAAGACATCCGAGTTGGTGTTGTATAGTGAAACATTAGAGACACACAGTGCATGTAGAGATGGAAGACTCAGAAATAACCTTCCCCAAAGGGACTGAACCCAACAGTCAGTGAGTTGCACAACTGGTGGAAGATAGTGCAGAGATTTCACAGCTTGTGTTATGTAGAGAAATCGTGGAGAAATAGATCTCAAGAGCAGCTAGAGACTCAGCAATAACCTTCCCCAAAGGGACTGAACCCAACAGTCAGTGAGTTGCACAACTGGTGGAAGATAGTGCGGAGATTTCACAGCTGGTGTTATGTAGAGAAATCGTGGAGAAATAGATCACAAGAGCATCTAGAGACTCAGCAATAACCTTCCCCAAAGGGACTGAACCCAACAGTCAGTGAGTTGCACAACTGGTGGAAGATAGTGTGGAGATTTCACAGCTGGTGTTATGTAGAGAAATCGTGGAGAAATAGATCACAAGAGCAGCTAGAGACTCAGAAATAACCTTCCCCAAAGGGACTGAACCCAACAGTCAGTGAGTTGCACAACTGGTGGAAGATAGTGTGGAGATTTCACAGCTGGTGTTATGTAGAGAAATTGTTGAGAAATAGATCACAAGAGCAGCTAGAGACTCAGAAATAACCTTCCCCAAAGGGACTTGTTCGTGAGAGCACAAAGACGTATTAGTGTCTTTAGATATTTTAATCCGCTGCAATCGACGAGAAATACACAAATGGGCTTTGAGATTGATGTGATTGTGTTTTACCCATCATTACTTTGTTTTTCTTCGTGACTGGCATGCGAAATCACAACGACATGCAATCTTCTCCATAATATTTTCACCAACACCAAGGGAGATAACTAAAAGATAATTATTACGGACTACCGAACAAAAGAAATAATCACACAAACTGTAAACAAATTAATGCTGGTCATAAACAGGACTGAACCCAACAGAGGGTGTGAGAATGGCATATAGTGCTGCTGCACCAGGCACCGTAGACAGAAGACAGGTGTTTGCCCACCAGATCCCATACCAGGGGTGCAGCAGTAGTGTAGTACAATACCTTCACTGCATGCCTGGCAGCCAGGATTACCCCCGGGATTGTAGGTCCCCGCCGCACAGGGGGAGGGGGCGGCGTTTCTGTTGATGCAGTCATCGCCAGCCACACAGGAAGTACATGAACTCGCCCCTGCGAGACTGTATTGACCTGACAGGATAATCACAAGTTAATATATTGCTATTTATCACATGCTGAAAATAAAAGGTTGATAAATCAATCTTACAAATCACAACCAAAAAAACAATTGGGCAATGCACTTCTCAAAACACATAATATTTTTAGACACAATTGTTTTTTTTAATGACAGCATTTTCCAGATTGAAGGAGGGACACACAGAAATGATCTCTTTTAACTAGACTTGAATAAAACTCTGGAAGATAGAACAGTGACAGGCAGGATGGTCGACATAATGCTGTCGAGAATGTGCTAGAGCTTGGAGAGAAGTTGGGACATCCTTATATCCCATGATGTGAACTGGTACTTCGATGTGGTGATTAGAAGATGCTTATGTCAGAGTAGGTAATGTCTTGCTGTGAGGCTATATGTCCTTGAAGAAACAAACAGCAAGGGAGAATTTGTGAGTTATCTCAGGAGATAATGTCTAGTTGTGAGGCTCAAAGTCCTTAAAGAAATGTACAGAACACAGGACAATTAGTGAGTTATCTCAGGAGATAATGTCTAGTTGTGAGGCTCAAAGTCCTTAAAGAAATGTACAGAACACAGGACAATTAGTGAGTTATCTCAGGAGATAATGTCTAGTTGTGAGGCTCAAAGTCCTTAAAGAAATGTACAGAACACAGGACAATTAGTGAGTTATCTCAGGAGATAATGTCTAGTTGTGAGGTTCAAAGTCCTTAAAGAAATGTACAGAACACAGGACAATTAGTGAGTTATCTCAGGAGATAATGTCTTGTTGTGAGGCTCAAAGTCCTTAAAGAAATATACAGAACACAGGACAATTAGTGAGTTATCTCAGGAGATAATGTCTAGTTGTGAGGCTCAAAGTCCTTAAAGAAATGTACAGAACACAGGACAATTAGTAAGTTATCTCAGGAGATAATGTCTAGTTGTGAGGCTCAAAGTCCTTAAAGAAATGTACAGAACACAGGACAATTAGTGAGTTATCTCAGGAGATAATGTCTAGTTGTGAGGCTCAAAGTCCTTAAAGAAATGTACAGAACACAGGACAATTAGTGAGTTATCTCAGGAGATAATGTCTAGTTGTGAGGCTCAAAGTCCTTAAAGAAATGTACAGAACACAGGACAATTAGTGAGTTATCTCAGGAGATAATGTCTAGTTGTGAGGCTCAAAGTCCTTAAAGAAATGTACAGAACACAGGACAATTAGTGAGTTATCTCAGGAGATAATGTCTTGTTGTGAGGCTATATGTCCTTAAAGAAACATACAGGGCACAGGAGAATTAGTGAGTTATCTCAGGAGATAATGTCTTGTTGTGAGGCTATATGTCCTTAAAGAAACATACAGAACACAGGACAATTAGTGAGTTATCTCAGGAGATAATGTCTTGTTGTGAGGCTATATGTCCTTAAAGAAACATACAGAACACAGGACAATTAGTGAGTTATCTCAGGAGATAATGTCTTGTTGTGAGGCTCAAAGTCCTCAAAGAAATGTACAAAACACAGGAGAATTAGTGAGTTATCTCAGGAGATAATGTCTAGTTGTGACGCTCAATGTCTTTTGAGAAAACATACAGAGACCTAGTTTGATTATGGACCAAAAGAAAACATCTGCATGATCAGCTGAAACATGACTTCAGATGTAAATAAAAAAAAAAAAATCTCAGAAAACACAAGATGGAAATGCATTAGTGAGTTATTTCAGAATAGAGGAACTGAAGGATGTCTTTTGTTCAAAGATGCTGATATCCACACAGAATTAGAATTACCCAAGAGAAAAGACCATTTGAGTCCTCTTCTGAGACATGATAATATTATGAGTATCAAGATACACACTGTTCCAGAAAATCTGAATGTTACTCAAGATGGTGAGTCTGTCGAGTGAGCTTCAGTACCTTCTGGACACGTGAGACATCCAGTGTTGCCACCAGGGTTATAGGTCCCTGCTGCACACTGGGAGGGGGCGGAGTTACGATCCAGACAATCGTAGCCTGGGTCACATGATGTGCAGGTGCTGGCGCCAGCTAGACTGTATGTACCTGGCAGACATGACGAGGTTATCAAGTCAATCATTGTTTACCAGTAGGTACCTGGCACACATGACGAGGTTATTAAGTCAATCATTGTTTACCAGTAGGTACCTGGCACACAGGACAAGGTTATTAAGTCAATCATTGTTTACCAGTAGGTACCTGGCACACATGACAAGTTATTAGTCAATCATTGTTTACCAGTAGGTACCTGGCACACACGACAAAGTTATTAAGTCAATCATTGTTTACCAGTAGGTACCTGGCACACATGACAAGTTATTAAGTCAATCATTGTTTACCAGTAGGTACCTGGCACACATGACGAAGTTATTAAGTCAATCATTGTTTACTAGTAGGTACCTGGCACACATGACGAAGTTCTCAATTCAATCATTGTTTACCTGTAGGTACCTATATTATGCTTGTATACAGATGTACATATGTAATCAGTATTTTAAGATCTTCTTTGTTTTTTACACTTTCACACACTATTCGCAACCATCTTGATTCTTCTAATGATAAAAGGAAAACTGCAAACATTTTCACCATTATCTCAAAAAACCATTTCCTCCATTACCCAGATTATTGCATTTTTCAATATTTTACAGTTTAATTAAAAAAAGGTTGGGAATATATTGAAAATGCATAAAAATGTTATGCAAATAAAAACATATAATCTTTCAACAATGTTCAAAGAACATGAAAAAAGTGTAGGCAAAACAAAATGAAAAACAAACTTCATAACCAACAAAACTAGCCATGACCAAAGCCTACAATGTAAAGCCTGTCAAATATTGCTAAATGTAAGAAGCACACAATAGCAACACCAAAACAGCCATAAAAATGTTAGAAAACAAAAACAAAAACATATCGGTAACATGTCGGCCATAAAAATCATGGTTATGTATTCTTAAAAGCAGACAAGTATTTCTGGTAAACGAGGGGATACAATGGAACACAAAATTATCCAAATGGTTATAAATATTAAACAATGAAACAACAGTGTTATGGAGTACATGTGTAGGTTGTCAAGTGCTACCTTCCCCACACGGCAGGCACCCAGTGTTCCCGCCAGGGTTGTAGGTTCCTATCCCACACTGAGTCGGGGCGGAGCTGCGACTGACACAGTCATAGCCCGGGTCACATGACGTGCAACTATCAGCCCCAGCAAGACTGTAGGTCCCTATAGTGCCAGAGTGTGTAAGTGAGTCAACCAACTACAGATATGAGGATTGTTTAGGCTGCTTAACAACATTCCAAAACACCAAAACTGGGCTTGTTCCCATGTTGGGAATCAAATCTGGTCATGACAAGCAAACGCTATAACCTTTAGGCTACCCAACCACCCCTGATTCCCATATCAGGCACCACCTAAGGGTATTGGAGACTTATTATTCTGTTCCAGGAAATAAATGCAAGGGTCCTTAGCTACAACTGATAATATTTAGGTTCTTCATTGTACAGAAACATGGCATTAGAGAACCTATTATTTTCCATGCACAAGTCTCAAACTATCATTCACTAGATCTTATATATTTAAAACAAGAGTCATCAGAAGATGACATATCCCCCCGACGTGGCATGTCGGTAAACTGTGTGTACCTTCAACTGTATTTAGATTGGCAAGGAAATCTTTTAAATCTAGAAATATAATGAAGGTTATTAAATATTGGTTCATGTAGCTCACTTTCTGATGATCTCATGAAATTGTAATAACAATAACTTCGTAGATTCGCATATGAATAGCTCTGTAGTAGCCTCATGACACAAAGGCATAAAGAGAATGTACTAGGTTATGTAGCTCACATCATATATAGTATATGATATTGGTAAATAGTACACCTTAGAAGTATATGTCAGGGGCTACAAATTAAAAAGATTAAAATCTATAAATAACAAACTGCACTACTAGTGAACATGATTGATACGTGCATAAAGTTTGGTGAATCTCCGTCGCATGGTTTAGAAGATATGCTCCAGACGAGGACATTACCCTAAGTTCATCAATTTTCAATTTAAATTGAAAAAAGAAAAAAAAGGAAAAATCTGTTAATAGCAAAGGCACCACTACAAACCTGCTTGATAGGCATAAAAACTTTCGAGAAACTAAGTTGTATGGTTCGGGAGATATGGTCCGGACAAGAGCACTACCCTCAAATTTCCTAAGTTCATCATATTTCCATGGAAACGACAAAGATATAAAATTCTAAAAATCTCTATATAGCAAAAGGCACTTCTACTGAGCCTGATTGTTAAGTGTACCAAGTTTTGCGAAGCTAGGTTGTACGGTTTAGAAAATATGCTCTGGACAAGAGCAGTACCCTTATATTTCCTAAGTTCATAATATTTCCATGGAAATGACAAAAATTTAAAATTATAAAAATCTCTAAATAGCAAAAGGCACTACTACTGAGCCTGATTGGTAAGTGTATCAAATTTTGTGAAGCTAGGTTGTACGGTTTAGGAAATATGCTCCAGACAAACAATGATTACAGCCGGCCGGACGGCCGGACGGACGGACGGACGGACGGACAGATGGACATACTGATGGCTATATCCCCCCATCATTATATGTCGGGGGGATAAAAATGAACAAACAAACATGACTTTCTAAACTTATATTAAATGAATACCACAAGATTTATCACCATTGCTTGTAGGAAAAGGTGAATTATACAAATGAAAATCTTTATTCTAACCAAAAACAACAATCAGTGATCTTTCAGTATTGTTTCACAATCATAATTATGTGATGGTGTGACCCACAAGTTTGTTTTCATTCGTTTGTAGTATTAATCTGGAAGCTGATAATTCGTCTTCTTTTTTGGATATCACCTACATTGAATTTGAGGCCAAATATATGCAAACTAAATAACAATAAAAATAAAAGTCCCTATTGACACAACATTACTATTTCACAGTTGGGGCATATTTTCCTGACAGTATGTGCAATAGATTCATATTGATGTGATATTTGTTTTCTGTGTGCAGAGGGTTTTTTGGTGTATAACACATCAAATCAGCAACATTACTTAAAAAACATTCAAAACCTTGACAATAGGCAGTTACTGTTACCAAAATTTCATTTTTTGCATGCAATGGGCATTTATTTTATCATTGATGTATTCCAACTGCTTTTTGGAATCAAATGTTTATTTATGGTGCATTATTTTATTGTGCATATTTTATAAGCGTCTGACCCATCTAATTCTTTGAACAATGACACCATTCTTGCCATCTACCCTCCATTGTGAATTACCTCTTATGAATTGAAGATGAAGTAGGGATCTTGTTTACCCATGGATTCCTATAGGCGCCAAAGTCCAACAGACATGCTGCTACTATCACAAAGACATGCTGCTCTGAGTAAGTAAGGCATGCGCCACATTCCCCAAATGTCCCGATGTGTATTACTCAATGTACCTTCACTACAAGCCAGACATCCATCATTCCCTCCTGGGTTGTATGTCCCGGCAGCGCACGATGACGGTGCAACGTTCCTCTTGTCACAGTCCTCCCCCGCAACACATGGCGTACAAGACGATGATCCTGCAGAGCTGCTGTATTTACCTAAATAACCAATCAGTGCTCACCTTAAATTCAAAACTCAAATCAACTTCTTATACATGTACATAAGGATCCTTTCGTATTAGCGATGGCCATCTTTATGTAATACTGGAGCAAGCACACAAGCTCCAGTAATTCATAAACCAACCCACTGTACAAAATTAGTTTTAGCACAAACAAATTAAGCTAATAATTCTATCACATTCAACTACTACAAAACATGGTGAGCTCAATTTTCCAATTAACAAATATATCACATTTTTAGAAGAATTTGGCTCAACAAACCCAACAAACAGCGCAAACCACTCAACCATGACAATGTAATCAACTTTGACAATAACGTTAATAAACCCAGAACTGCTTCAACAATGCACGCCACAACCAAACCATTGACACATATAGATGAAAAACACCTCTTTCAGCTAACATATCTCTCTCTAAATATCTCTCTATCCAAACAAAAGTCCAGATAATCAGGTACCCATTTCACAAAACCATTGCAGAGCGAAGACTATCGTAATGTATTTACTTTCAAGGAAGCTGGGTTTCAGCCATTATTTGACAGCCTTTTACTGACTGGTTTTTCGTGTTGAACATTGCACACCATGGGTGTTCCAAACACTATACAGTTGTAAACATGAATAAATAACGGGCGATGCTTGCTTTTGTGATACTAGTGCAAGTCAGAGCAAAGATTGCACATATAACTGAAAGGATTAAGGAGTGCTCATTGTAATGTAGAAATCTAAATAAAGTGTGTGTTGAACCAGCACTCAGAAATGTGTGGAGGAATTTCCTGAAGTTGATTTTTGTTTCCCAACCAGACAGTAGCCCAGTCTCTGAACATTCTCACTGCATCACTGATGAGAAAGTGTGTCAGTGTTCCTTTAACAAAGACTTATGACTGTCCTTGTGCTACGATCACTTTGTGAAACCAGGCCCCGAATATACCATCACCTTCCATGATTTCCAAACAGGTTCGAGTCATACATATTCTGGTGTAGTAACCTGGTTGTCTGTATGATCGCAGGACAGTAACATACCTGTTGGACAAGCAGTGCAGGCGGTGGACTTGGCTGGAGCGTACTGCCCGGCCAGACACTGAGTAGCCTTTGTTGTATCGGAGCATTCACTTCCTGCTGGGCAGTCCTGACAGGAAGTCTGACCAGTGCTTGTCTGGTACTCTCCTGATGGGCAGGTGATGGGTGCAGACAGTTTCGCACTAGGACATTTGCTCCCTAAAAAAGAAAGAACAAGTAATTTTGATTGGCTGTTGATTTCAACCTGACAAGTGGGCTAAATTCGGTGCTTAATTAGTGAAAATGTCAGCAATGATCAGTTCTATTCGGAACAAATGCTGCCAGTGTAAATGTATCATGGAAAAATGTTCTAGTAAAACATTTCCATGGGAATAATTATCCTTGAGAAAAATAGTACAGAGGAGCAATTTCACTATAGGAACAGATGCTCTTTGGCAATAAAACACATGAAGGATAGTGATGTTATACCCACAACAAAGCTTTGGTGGCCGTTGGGTCCAGAAGATTGATCATAATAGAGTGGAGATACTACACAAAACAAGTTAAGAACACCCAATCTTTTCATAATGTATCATGGTTGCTGGTTATTGCCATAGACACCCCCTCTTCCCGAGGCAAGTGAGTTAACTGACTATAAAAGTCCAGTTTCCACCCTTGCCGAACTAGGCTGGTATTATGGAATTAGATTTTTGCTGGACTAACGAGTCTATGCATAGTCCAATCAAAATCGTGCACCGAAATCAAAATCCGGTTCGTAGAGTGTCATGCAGATTTTGGTTGACTGCAGGATTTGCAAAGCATGTGCACCGCTAACTCGTTGTCAACAGATATTTTCTAAATCTTTTCATGTTTTAATCAAGGTGCTCACGTGATTTGATGCACTTCGCGATGTAAGACACGTTTTATCACAATATAGATCTTGATTATCGATCAGATAGTCTTGACTGAGCGCCACCATTTTGTTTGAAACAAATGCAAGTGATACGAGAGGTTGAATCTGATTGGTCAATAGGAGAGGCTTAGAAAGGACATAACTCGTAATAGCCACTGGTGGCGCGACGATCGAGCCCAGGAATTCCAGCCTAGTTCAGCAAGGGTGGAAACTGGACTTTTTAACTCAGTTAACTCTCTTGCCTCGGGAAGATGTAGACACCCATCCACATGTGGGTGTTCTTTAACTTGTTTTGTGTAGTATATGTAATACACTGGATAAAGAAGGATATGGTCAGGTTGAAATGGGTTTAATTATCCATGATTCAAAATAGGAAACATAAAAAAATACCCATGAAGCAAATTATAAGATATTTATGTAATAGCATAACAGATAATGATGTCAAACTGTCACTGTTTGTTATGTTTGTTCCTTTACAGTTCTTTGAGTAGAAGACACTATGTTTTGACACCACACACAACTGTAAGATGTGGATGAAAAAGAAATTATTACGTTCTCATGTGAATCATACCGATGTTTTTGCATCAGGAAATGCCAAAATCTTGCACAATTTCCATCAAATCAGTATGACGTACACATAACGTCTGTTAATACCGTAGGTGACAATACAGATAACATATCACGGTTGCTGATGGAGCAGACGGACAAGTCAACACATGACAGTGTCAATATTCGTCAGAATTTTTCCTGGAAGCCACCTAACTTATCAATACTTGGGATGTCATTGTAGTAAATTTCCTCATGAGGACGCCTAGAAAATTGATCTTGCAAAAAAGAGATCTTGTCTTTAGAAAACATATCCCTGTAGTCAATGACAAACTAGACAAGATATCTGAATCCAGAGCAGGGAGGACCAATGTGTCCATATACCCCTTGTACTGTATTTGAAGGGTTTAACCCACCTGTCAATGAATAAAAATAAATTACATAGCAAATGTTTAATATTGATTAATACACCCAACGCTCCATCAAAATTGCAAGGTCTGTTCCGAACTTGAGCCCATAATCCTAGTCATGCTAGTTGTGCATTCAGATTAGCAAGCGTAACTTGCTCCACTGCACGTATCTTGAGTGAGTCAGAGTGCTTTGAGCTTTGATGTGATGTGATGTGATGTGATGTGATGTGATGTGATGTGATGTGATGTGATGTGATGTGATGTGATGTGATGTGATGTGATGTGATGTGATGTGATGTGATGTGATGTGATGTGATGTGATGTGATGTGATGTGAGGTGAGGTGAGGTGAGGTGAGGTGAGGTGAAATGGGGTTTAACGTCACGTCCAAGATTACTGCACTTATATAGCAACGTGCATGCACGTGTGTGTGTGTGTGTGTGTGTGTGTGGCTGCTTGTACTAGTCCGGACTGATGCCGATTTATAGTGCTAGCTCACTGAGATACCATGCCGCAGTTTAACATGAATACCCCACTCAGACACAGTATACTGACTCCAAGCTGACCAGTCCTTGTTTTAGCCCCTTAATGCCGAGCGCCAGACAGGGTTACAACAAGTACCATCTTTTAACGTCTTTTGGTATGACGTGGTCGGGGATTGAACCCCAGACCTTCCGCTCTCCGGGCGGACGCTCTACCACTAGACCACGGAAGCAGTGAGTGAGTGAGTGAGTGAGTGAGTGAGTGAGTGGTGTGGAGTGGAGTGGAGTGGAGTGGAGTGGAGTGGAGTGGAGTGGAGTGGAGTGGAGTGGAGTGGAGTGGAGTGGAGTGGAGTGGAGTGGAGTGGAGTGGAGTGAGCGAGCTGTTTTGACCAATGTTCCAGTTATATCCAGGCGTGTTCATACCTTTAGGACAAGTCTTGCAGGATGTATCGGAGACCCCTCTGTAGTTTCCTGACGTGCAGTCTTGACATGCTGTCTTGGCACTGTCAGGTTCAGTCCCTACTGCACAGCTCTACAACATTCCAGGAAGACAGGGACTTGAGCCCATGACACAGGTCAAGCTTTACATGTCATACTTTAGACACCTCAAACACATATACTGGGTACAGAATATCACTTTATAGAACATGTGCTTCATTTTTTATTATACCTATAGTTATATTTATATTTTAAAGACTTTTTCTTCTGAACCTCCATCAACAGGTCAAAGGTTGAAATAGTATTAAAATTAAAATTTTAAAGAAAATAATGGGAAAATACAAAAAGCAATATTGAACATTCAAAGGGTTCCTCTCCATTTTGACCACTTAGTCTTACATTTATCATTACTGAAATAAGTTAACAGACTTTCCCTGCAGATAAATGACTTGAACTTCATTGTAAACTGTGAAAGTTTGGTCAATGGATCCATACAAGTAATTAACAAACACGACCTAACTTTATACTCACCTGTGGCGGCCCTGTGACTGTCGGGCAGATGCTTCCAGTGGGGCAGGCCGTGCAAGTAGCATCACCTTCAAGGGCGTACTCCCCGGAGGGACAGTCACCGGAGATGGAGCCACCACTGCAGATCTTGCCGGCTGGACACGGCGTGCACGCGGACGCCCCAACTCCACTGATCTCTCCAGAAGCACAGTTCTGACAGTTGGAGGCAGTTGTTGCTCCTGTTGTAGCCCTGTATTTGCCGGCTCCGCATGCCACCTTGTAGGCAGTGCCTCCCGTACAGCTGTGAGAGACAGGGAGAAGTGTACACTGACATCATGCAATGAATAGAGATCATCCTGAAGCATATGGAGTTGATTAGTGAGTGAGTGAGTATAGTTTTACACCACTTATATTCCAATTATTTTTGGATATTATATATATTAGAAATATTCCAGGAATATCATGGCAGGGGTCACCAGAAATGAACTTCACTCATTGTACCCACATCGTAAATTGAGCCCGGGTCTTTGGCGTGATGATTGAATGCTTTTACCACTAGGCTACCTGACTCCCCAAAGTTTATAAGTAAAACCAGGGCTGGAAAAATCCTTCTGGTGACATGACTAAAGAAATTAAGATCTCATACATGAAGATGACAAAAGTGTTGATATAAACCATCCCATTGTTTTAATGTGATCTGCTATGTTTAGAGACAAAATTTATAACTACTTTTTTATCTTATGTTCCTAAAGTGGTTTTGGGCTCAAATTGCTGAATCAAAACTATTGCCTAACAGCTACTGACATACAAACAGCAGCTACTGACATATAAACAGTAGCTACTGACAAACAAACAGTAGCTACTGACATACAAACAGTAGCTACTGTCATACAAACAGTAGATACTGTCATACAAACAGTAGCTACTGACATACAAACAGTAGCTACTGACATACAAACAGTAGCTACTGTCATACAAAAAGATGGACATGCTAAGAGTGTTTCATATAGTTAAACCTGTTTAACCGAAAGACCATCAAAAATATTCCGCTAAGAACCAAGGAGATATAGAGGAACTACGGATTGTCTGTCGAACGTAGATTAAATTACTATTTGTGCAATACCTAAACCTTTGACGACATACATCTTTCATTCGTTATTTAATATATTTCTCACTGACATTTTAAGACAAGGGTAATATATCCAGATACTGTCAAACCATGTTATCTCGAACCTAGCGGGACCATGTTGTAACTTTGAGATATCCGGACACTCGAGATAACAAGTCATGAACATTATATAACAAGGCAGTCGGGACCGGAGAATAGGTTCGAGATATCGGTACGTAGAGATAACGCGAATCGAGATAACAAAGTTCGACTGTATCTGCAGTTCGTGACAAGAAGGTTGATATACAGAGACAACATTAATTCTAGCAGGATATTTAGGTTTCAATCGTTCTAGTTTAAAAAATTCATTAAAAAATTTCATGAAGAGAAAATAAAATTCCAGTTACTGAAGGACAATATGGATAATACTCAATAGCCTTCTTCAAGTAACTCAACCCCATTGGGCTTCCAACTGACATGTAATATAAGCTATCCACTACTTAGCCTGTGCACTCCCTTCTTCAGAACACACTAAACAACTGGGTCTCTGCCAAATGGGAAGGGCAAAATACCCTCACATAATATTCTCTCAATAATCTCTTCTTGGCCATGTGCGTGTCCAGGTTTCACTTTCAATGCTTGAGTAGATCAGATGAACAAGATTTCTTGTTGGACAATATGGTTGACATTGTGTTACCTGGATGACTCGTCACCAAACAACCCCGAGATCGGGGAGGTCTCCGCTTATTGAAAGGAAACCTTAGAATGTAATGGAGAAAGCTGTGTTGGTAGAAGTGAAATGGCCATTGATGTCATGTTCATGTTGTGACCATGGTCTATTCAGAGTACATCTATACTTCATCAGATAGCATGTGTTATGGAGTATAAGTACATATACTTTCACCTTTTGAAATTATGTATCAGTCATTGGGTTTGGCTGATAAGAAATTACTGTTTTTCAGAACCTGAAAGCGTATATTTCAAGTGTTCTACATTTGAAAAAAGTTCTTATCAACAAAACTGAACAGCAAGTAGTTCTGAGAAAAGCTTTCAATACATTCACAATTAAATATACTACTCAAAAGAAGTTCAAAGACACCAGATTCTTTCACATTACTGTAGCTAATCTGTCATACTACTCAAAAGAAGTTAAAGAACACCTGACTCTCTCATAATACAATAGTTAATCTGTCATTCCATTGCACGACAGATTAACAACAGTAATATGAAAGAAATAGGTGTTCTTTAACTGCTTTTCAGTAGTATGTTTTTTAGGACTGGGCATTATCCAATCAAAGGATATTTTAAAAAGTTCTAAAGGTCTAAAAAGCAAATGATAAACAAAATCAGTTTAATCTAAAAAGGCAAGAAAAAAGCCTTTTCAACCTGTGGAACTAATGTCGTATTAATTCATCAACAGACTCATGATCTGTAGATAAAGAACGTGGTTCTGCGTGTACACCTGTCACAAAAATGAGATATTAAAGATTTAATTGATTGCCAAAATGTCAAGAAATCCATCAGTGAGTGTTGGAGTCAAGGTAAACACAGACAGCATAAGACAGAATAATCTCCGTGCTCTGATCTGATGTGTACATAATGTTGTTAGGCTCACAACTTTACATAAAGGATCAACAATGTCTTAAAATCCAGGTTTCTTGTGAGTCAGTGAGTTGGGTTTAATGCTGCTTTGAACAATATTTCAGTATATTATGGTGTGTCAGCCTATCGTGAAAGGAAAGCCCGAAATGGTCTTGGTATTTAATACTTTGGTGACACCCACAAGTATGGGTAAGGTATCAAGGTTATAGCAATGTGTGTGCGTGTGTGTGTGTGTACGTGTGCATGTGTATGTGTGGCTGCTTGTACAAGTCTGGCCTAATGCTGATTTTATAGTGGTTGCCCACTTAGCTACCATGCCGCAGTTTAACAGTATACTAACTCCGAGCTGACCAGTCCTTGTCTTAGCCACTTAATGTCAAGCGATAGGCAGGGTAACAACAACCATCTTTTAACGTCTGGTACCACTAGACTATGGAGGCTGTCAAAATCTATAAGGATGAAGTGAGTCAGTGAGATGGGTTTGACGCCACTGGGACATATTGGAACAATATTTCAGTTATATCACGGCATGTCAGCTTGATGTGTGTTGAAAGAATGAAGTGATGCACTCAGATGAAACCCATGACAAACCAAGAATAATAGTCAGGGCGAGTATTGGATTTGAACCCTGCTTCATCATGTTCATTCTGACATAAGTTGGTTGGTTGGTTGTTGTTTAACACCACACTCAGCAATATTCCAGCTGTATGACGATGGTCTGTAAATCATTGAGTCTGGACCAGACAATCCAGTAAATTGACATCATGACATCATCACATTGATCCACGCAATTCGAACACAATGACATGCATCAACCAAGTTTTGACATAAGAATGGAAATGGTATAAATTACTCATGGACTTCTCCAACTCAATATATCTTGGGAGATGATGTGACTTCATGATCAAATCTTAAACAGCACTTCTCTCAAACTGTGGATAACTAAATATATTTTGGGGGGTTCCCGGGACTTAAAGACTAGATGATGTTAACTGTATCAACTTTAAACAAATATTTAACACATAATCACAAAATACACAAATTTGGGAAATGGTTGTGTTGAGTACCTAAATATGGGCAATGGTTGTGCTTAGTACCCAAATATGGGCAATGGTTGTGATGAGTACCCAAATATGGGCAATGGTTGTGCTAAGTACCCAAATAAGGGCAGTGGTTGTGATGAGTACCAAAGTATGGGCAATGGTTGTGATGAATCCCAATTATGGGCAATGGTCATGATGAGTACCCAAATATGGGCAATGGTTGTGATGAGTACCCAAATATGGGCAATGGTTGTGCTGAGTACCCAAATATGGGCAGTGGTTGTGCTGAGTACCCAAATATGGGCAATGGTTGTGCTGAGTACCCAAATAAGGGCAATGGTTGTGCTGAGTACCCAAATATGGGCAATGGTTGTGCTGAGTACCCAAATAAGGACAATGGTTGTGCTGAGTACCCAAATATGGGCAATGGTTGTGCTGAGTACCCAAATAAGGGCAATGGTCATGATGAGTACCCAAATAAGGGCAATGGTCATGATGAGTACCCAAGTATGGGCAATGGTTGTGCTTACCTAAATAAGGGCAATGGTCATGATGAGTACCCAAATAAGGGCAATGGTCATGATGAGTACCCAAGTATGGGCAATGGTCATGATGAGTACCCAAGTATGGGCAATGGTCATGATGAGTACCCAAGTATGGGCAATGGTCGTGATGAGTACCCAAATCTGAAAATTGGGAATTTCATAATTACACATTGGGTGATTCTTATTTCTGAATGCCCATTTCATTCATGAGTGAGTGAGATGGATTTTCAGTATCTTAGTTGTACCCCAGTTGTACCCCAGTATGTCAGTTTACAGACAGAAGTCCTTTCATCACTCCGGTACAAATGAGTATCACAAACTTGACCAATCTGATTACAGCCCATGTGTTGTGTCCAGCCTAAAATGACTACAGTTTCAGGATTTCACTTTACTTATAGTCTTTAGGCATTTAGGGGGCGGTCAGGTAGCCTAGTGATTAAAGCGGTTGCTCGTCACATCAAAGACCCGGGTTTAATTCCTGACATGGGTACAATGTGTGAAGCCTATTTCTGGTGTCCCCCACCGTAAGATTGCAGGAATATTGCTAAAAGCAATGTAAAACCACACTCACTCACTCTCTTTAGGTATTTACGAAGTTTGAAGAACATGAAGATATGAATATTTTATGGATAACAATTCACCTGATGAATGAGGGGCAAGAAGTAGCCCTGAAACGTTGTCACAAACAAAGAAGTGTCATCCTAATCTAGCACATTTACTTTATTTCTCACTGTATGTTTTCTCTGAACATATCCGTTCAGGTCTTTATGGTAACAGCCAAGCTAATGGAACTCTCAAACAAATAGTCATAAAGGAACAAAACATAAATCAAAAGAACCCCAGTATGTTCGACCAATAAAGCTTAACCTCGACAGTTACGGGTAACTGTTGTGTTGTGTCAACATCAGTGATCGTTACCTGACACTCAGGTAATCACTGTGAAAAAACAACAACCTGTTTCTTACTACAGGTGGCGCCAGTTGAGGATGTGGCGGCATGCCAA